CGAAAATCACTCATACCTGGGGGTTCGAACATCACTCACACCTGGGAGGGGGGGTCGAACATCACTCACATCTGGGAGGGTCAAATATCACTCACACCTGTGGGTGTGTCGAATATCACTCACACTTGGGGGGGGGGGGGTCGAACATCACTCACACCTGGGGGGGGGGGGGGGGTCGAACATCACACCTGGGAGGGGGGGTCGAATATCACTCACACCTGGGGGGGGTCGAATATCACTCACACCTGGGGGGGGGGGGGGTTCGAACATCACTCACACCTGGGAGGGGGGTCGAATATCACTCACACCTAGGAGGGTCGAATATCACTCACACTGGGAAGGGGGGGGTTCGAATATCACTCACACTGGGAGGGGATCGAATATCACTCACACCTGGGGGGGTCGAACATCACTCACACCTGGGAGGGTCGAATATCACTCACACCTGGGGGGGGGGGGTCGAACATCACTCACACCTGGGAGGGGGGTCGATCATCACTCACACCTAGGAGGGTCGAATATCACTCACACTGGGAAGGGGGGGGGGTCGAATATCACTCACACTGGGAGGGGATCGAATATCACTCACACCTGGGAGGGGGGTCGAATATCACTCACATCTGGGAGGGTCGAATATCACTCACACCTGTGGGTGTGTCGAATATCACTCACACTTGGGGGGGGGGGTCGAACATCACTCACACCTGGGAGGGGGGTCGAACATCACTCACACCTGGGGGGGGGGGGTCGAACATCACTCACACCTGGGAGGGGGGTCGAATATCACTCACACTTGGGGGGGGGGGGGGGTCGAACATCACTCACACCTGGGGGGGGGGGTCGAACATCACTCACACCTGGGAGGGGGGGTCGAATATCACTCACACCTGGGGGGGGTCGAATATCACTCACACCTGGGGGGGGGTCGAACATCACTCACACCTGGGAGGGGGGTCGAACATCACTCACACCTGGGGGGGGGTCGAACATCACTCACACCTGGGGGGGGGGGGGGGGGTCGAACATCACTCACACCTGGGGGGGTCGAATATCACTTACACCTGGGGGGGTCGAATATCACTCACACCTGGGAGGGGGGTCGAACATCACTCACACCTGGGAGGGGGGTCGAACATCACTCACACCTGGGGGGGGGGTCGAACATCACTAACTTATATTATTACTTATTTCATGTATACATTATCATGTCTAATTTCCAGTATTACTTTTATCACTTAATAAAACAGTTTTGGCAACAGGGCTGGTAAATAGGTCACCAACCAATTCTACGTCTCAATAAACACTGTATAAGCCATAGAACTGGTTGGTGACCTATTTATCAGCCCTATTGGTTAGAGTGGCTTTATGAATACATTGGTTGCTATAATTTCAAAGTGTGTAACTAATACAAAACGTCTAAACTAGACTGGAGTAGCAGCCGATTAACGTTTATTTTCCGTAGTAGTACCTATTTTTGAAAGGTCTTCGGATGGTGGTTTGTTACGTGCATCTGGATGCTTTCTTCTAGTGAGAGGATTGCATTGCAATAGAGGCATTCGTAAGTAGTTACGTCTTGGTGTTCTTGATTGTAGTGCCTATTTATGTCGGTGTGAATTATTTTATCGACGCAGAGATTTTTGTGTGCTTTGTTTTTATGATCTTCCGCTTCCGTGGATGTTTTGAACTTCTAGATGCAGAATTTGCATTTCGTGGTGTCGTGAACTGCTTTTGTGGTTTTTAGAACCTTTGTTGTTTTTCCTAACTCTGTTGGGCTGTGTTCATTTTTCCTTTTTGATGGCGTGGTGGTGTTTATTTCTGTTTCTGTGTTGAAGCTTGTTGTTGCTATGTTTTGATATGTTGTTGCTGTTGATACTCCGACTGGTGGCTCCTCTGTAGTCGTAGTTAAAGTTGTTTGTGCGGATATTACCGGTTTTTGTGTTGTTGAAGGTTATTCTTTTAGAGTTGCTTCTGGGTTTGATTCCTTGCAGTGATTGTTTTCTGGGTTTGATTTCTTGCAGTGATTGGTCCAGTGACTATTCGCGCTGCATGTTTGGCAAGCTTGACGTCTGCCTGGTAGTGCTATTAGAATGTTTAATGTTGTGTTATTTTGATGTAGTGGGTTGTCGTTATAGATGATGAATTTACGGTTGTTTGTGTGAGGTATTGCGGTGATTGTGGGTTCTGTTTTGCTGATGGTTCTCAGTGCCTTTAGTAATGTATTGTTCCTGAGTGCAGGTGGGACCCATCTAAGGGTGCCGCAACCTTGGTCTTTTTGGTATCTTGTGAATTCTAGTTTGTAATGCACTTTTACCTTTTTTGGGTTGTCCACATACGCAACTTCGAGCTAGTTCTAGTTGGAAGAGAAGGTCTCGTCAGGACAACTCGATTAAAGGGTTGTTCAAACGGAAAAAATATTTAACATAATTGGCGTTTTTGTTGATTGTTGTTTATGCAAACTTTCATAATTATTTAAATTTTGAACTTAATACATCTAATGGTTATACATTTAAATAGAGTCAAACTATTGCTATTCTTCTCTAGTTTAAGCTAAATTGACACATTTTCTAACTTTTTTTTATTTTATTCAATGTTGCTATAAAAATAAACACTAAATATCCTGTTTATTTGTGTTACAATTGAATATCTTTAACAATAGAGAGCATTTTTTAGGTTGTTTCCCTTGAATATCTTTTAATCGTAAATGGGAAGTAGCTAACATACTCAACGCTAGACAATTCTAACTCCTTTTCACTATTTCTTTACATTCATTTTAAATTCTGAAACTATGTTTATACATGTATCATTTTGCTTAGCATAGTATAATACTGAAAAGATTAGAATTCATTTTCACCACATTTGCCATAAAGAAATTTTTTTAAACTGAAACAAGTTTAATAAAATATTAAAAAAACAACTTAGGCATTGTAAAATCTAATTATACATTTGAAGTTAAGTTTGATTTCCAAAACTCAAAGTATTATCTTTGGTTTTTCCTCTTGATTTCTTGAAAAACAATGTACGTATTTAATTTAGTTCTTAGTACGCCATATGAATTTACTTTTTATACAAATTAATACGCGTTTTTTTTTGTCAGTAAAGAGCTGTATTGTGGTACTAACAAGTTTTGACCCGATGTTCTGCCTTATGTCCTCATTATAAAAAGTGTCAAAAATGTATTACAACTTCAATTGGGTGTTGCATTTTTAGGACAAGGGACAAGGGTTGAAAACCAAAATATTTTAAAATGTAGTTGCCTGCTTTTACATACAAAATATGTTTTCACAATGTAGCCAACAAAATATTTTTTTAAAGATTTTAGGTTTATTGCTAACCAATCTTCAGTTCAGCTGTTTGGCTACCTATGTCCATCCATACACGTATTGCGGCGCACTGACTTGTGTGTGTGTGTGTGTGTGTGTGTGTATGTGTGTGTGTTTATTGCATTTTTCAATAGCTATCTAGACTAACTTGTTGTTCAAAATAAATCCACCAAATCGCAAACTACGAGTACAGACAAGAAAATGTCGAATTAACATGAAATGCCTTATTTAAAGAATGTAATGAAAAATCTATACTATTCTCATGCATACTTCAGTACTTTGATTCATAAATAACTTCGTGTCACTAACATTCGATGGGAAAGTTTTCTATCACGTGATGTAGCACGTGACTTTCACTCCACCAATCCACAGAGACGACGACCCCTGCCAGGTCTGACACATCACGTGACCTGCTCAGGTCAGAACAACCTTAGATTAGAGTTAAGTGGCACGGCGACAATAAACTATTTGCATACATTAAATTCAATTTGTAAATGTCCCTTATACTTAGTGTTTGGGTGAAAGGTTTTCCACGCCAGAGTACTTCTGTCTATAGCACCAGATTTTTTTATGTCTCCACCACCAGATTTTTTTATGTCTCCACCACCAGATTTTTTTATGTCTGCCCTCCCCCCCCCCCCCCAGATTTTTGTCTGTTTTTGTCCCCACCACCAGATTTTTGTTTGTCTCCACCACCAGATTTTTGTCTGTGTTTGTCTGTCTACACCACCAGATTTTTGTATGTCTCCACCACCAGATTTTTGTATGTCTCCACCACCAGATTTTTGTATGTCTCCACCACCAGATTTTTGTCTGTGTTTGTCTGTCTACACCACCAGATTTTTGTCTGTGTTTGTCTGTCTACACCACCAGATTTTTTTATGTCTCCCCTCCCCCCCCCCAGATTTGTGTCTGTGTTTGTCCCCCTCCCAGATTTTTGTCTGTGTTTGTCTGTCTACACCACCAGATTTTTTTATGTCTCCCCTCTCCCCCCCCCCCCCCAGATTTTTGTCTGTGTTTGTCCCCACCACCAGATTTTTGTTTGTCTCCACCACCAGGTTTTTGTCTGTGTTTGTCTGTCTACACTACACCACCAGATTTTTTTATGTCTCCACCACCAGATTTTTGTCTGTGTTTGTCCCCACCACCAGATGTTTGTTTGTCTCCACCTTAGACTTCTGTCTATCCCAACACTAAACGTCTGTATGTCTTTATCCCCATACCCTTGTCCGTCCCCACCCCAAGACCCTTGTCCATCCCCACCCCAAGACCCTTGCCCGTCCCCACCCCAAGAACCTTGTCCATCCCCACCCCCACTAAACCTCTGTCTGTCCAACCTTCAATGGGTCTACCGTGTTGTGTTAAGTTTGGATACGAAGCGTTAAGAATTTACAAAGTATCAAAATTACACTAATTTAAACTTTAATCAGTTCACAAAGGTAACAAAATTACACTAAATTAAACTGTGATCAGTTCACAAAAGTAACAAGACTGCACTAATATATAATCCTGTCTGCAGTTTACAAAAGTAAACCGTTTATAAAAGCATCAAATATCTTCTTAGAAGTGAACGTAGCTTGGATATTTTAACGTGTTTTTCGCACGATACCGCTCTAACTTTTCGGATTTTCCCACTAGACTGCATTGCGCACAATCTAGGCCTAGGCCTGAACTATTCTATGCCGATACCAAGCAGCCGATGCGCTAAAATACAAAAACTGCAACAAGAAAAGGATTGAGCCGGTCCTAAAACATGGATTTAGATCTAGATCTAGATTTTAATCTAGATCTAAAAGATAATGGTAATATTTACCTCTATTTCTAAAACTAATGGCGCCTTGCTTTTAAAAAGTCCTGATAATTCATGAATTGGAGGTTTTTTAAGGTTTTCATGCTGTTTAAAAGTGAATCTAGAATCTAGATATCTAGTATCTAGACTCTAGCTAGACTCTAGTCCAACTACCTAGATCTAGATCTAGAAAATCTAGATCTAGAATCTAGTATCTATTTTAGATCTAGATCTAGTATCGAATTTCGGGTAATCTATCGTTTTAATTTTAGGTACGTAAAATCGACCGAGACTAATCTTAGACTAATCTAGTAATGTGAAAAAAGGTGACTCATTTTTAGTATGTTCTATGTTTTAAAAGTTACAAAAATGTTTCAAAGTTTCATTAATCTAGATCTAGATTATTCTAGATCTAGAAATCTACCTGTTTTTAAACAATTGTATTAAAACTTTTCATTAAAAAATGAAGACAAGAGATGTTTTCATCAGATGCAACAGTAGCCAGCTTGTTTAAGTTCTTTTTTTGGTGAAATTATAGTTAGAGATTCAGGGGAAACCACTCTAACTTACAGATAGCCGCTTTTTATATAGATCTAGCAAATCTTGCTCGCAAACACTGCTGTTTAAAGTTAAATTCTTGCGTATAGTATATTGATATACAGATATAGATCTATTGAGCCATTGATCATTGATTGATTTTTGGTTTATTATTCAATTAACTATAATATCTGACACAAATATATCACAATGTACTTATATTAAATAAAGCCTTAACAATGAGGCAACTGTTTCGCACATTACTAGCCTCAGCCGATTTTACGCAACTAAAACGATAGTGATAGTAACAGCTAGACTAATAGACTAATTAATACTAATTGAATAAAAAATCACAATCAAGGGCCAAACCAATCATTACAAAATATTCTGGGATGAACTTGTAACAACAGTGTTTGATACAACAATGAGAAAATACAAGTAGCGGCCATCTTTCAAAATAAGTATCAGAGTAGTTTCCCCTTGAGAATTTTCTATTCGCAAGTTTGATGTGTTGATTTTTGTTTCAAAAGTGGTTGTCTTTCAACTTTTCTTAATATTTCTGTATAAAGCACTTAATAAGATTGAATTGTTTTGTAGTTATGATGAAAAACTGATTTCCCTTCCCCCACCCCCATGATACCATAATGGATTTAGAACATGACATTATTGATAAATAAAAAAAAATAATTGAGCTGGAACCGTCTTGTTATCGGGAAGCAAAATGACGTCACACTCAGTCATTTGGGGGTTTGGGGGGTGAGTAGACCCGCATACAACAAATCTGAAGGTACAGGTATAGATTGTCATTGTTTTCTGTTGCCTGCCGCTCCGCTACTGTTTTTAGGCCAGACAAGAATAGAGTAGAACGGTTTTTTACACGGGCCAACAAAGATGAGTTGATCACATGACATAGTGCTGGCTATACCAAATACAATTGCTAACTTTGAGTTGGCGATTTCTGAAAGGCGAGTTTTTCCCCTATGTAGCGCTCTCGGGTGTTTTTTAAAGTTTTAGGCCTAATCTATATATTTTTGAAATATCCAGAACTATTTATGCGTGCATTCTAAGCTAGTTTGAAAGGGAGGGTATGAATAAAATGGTCGAGCCCCCATCAAAGCTGGGTGAACTCATGGACATCCAACAGAGTCAAGTCCTAGAACCGAACTTGATACTTTTAGGTTTGCAGTCGAGTGCTCTATCACCACACAGTCCCCTTTGACGCGTCAACATTTATTTTTCCATACACCACTGAGATCAGCAACCGTCAGGTTTGTTTCGGCGAAAAAATACCCACCGCCTCAATAAGGAAAAGTAAAGGGACCATTTTTACTTTGGCATCATTAGCAGTGTTTATCTTGTTGCACAGTCGATGTAAAAAAAAAACAACCACAAAAGCAAAATCAGTCCATGCAGCCACGTAGAAGTCTATTGTTTGAACTACGTCTGTTTATAGTTCACAAATGCAACTCAAACATAGCTTTTTAATAATTACTTTTTGTCCATTTGAACGCCCCTTAGGGTCAGCACACTGGGCTGTCAGCCACGATTTGAGTGAACGGTTGTGTCACCCACCCAGTGAACCTCAAGCTGCTGACACCTGTGGCTTATGTGATGGGTTCAACTCAAGTGCTCTGGGGTTGTTTTATGTGGCCATATTAAGGTAAAATGTATTGTAAGCTTTGGGTTGTGTTCGTGATTACCTGCTTGTTGCGAGATATGTTTGTCTTGGTTGAGTGGTGTCTTATGTATGGAGGGTCTTGGTTGAGTGGTGTCTTATGTATGGAGTGTCTTGGTTGAGTGGTGTCTTATGTATGGAGTGTCTTGGTTGAGTGGTGTCTTACGTATGGAGTGTCTTGGTTGAGTGGTGTCTTATGTATGGAGTGTCTTGGTTGAGTGGTGTCTTATGTATGGAGTGTCTTGGTTGAGTGGTGTCTTATGTATGGAGTGTTTTGGTTAAGTGGTGTCTTATGTATGGAGTGTTTTGGTTAAGTGGTGTCTTACGTATGGAGTGTCTTATGTATGGAGTGTCTTGGTTGAGTGGTGTCTTACGTATGGAGTGTCTTGATTGAGTGGTGTCTTTTGTATGGAGTGTCTTGGTTAAGTGGTGTCTTATGTATGGAGTGTCTTATGTATGGAGTGTTTTGGTTAAGTGGTGTCTTATGTATGGAGTGTCTTGGTTAAGTGGTGTCTTATGTATGGAGTGTCCTATGTATGGAGTGTCTTGGTTGAGTGGTGTCTTACGTATGGAGTGTCTTGATTGAGTGGTGTCTTTTGTATGGAGTGTCTTGGTTGACTGGTGTCTTGTGTATGGAGTGTCTTATGTATGGAGTGTCTTGGTTGAGTGGTGTCTTACGTATGGAGTGTCTTGGTTGAGTGGTGTCTTTTGTATGGAGTGTCTTGGTTGAGTGGTGTCTTATGTATGAAGTGTCTTGGTTGAGTGGTGTCTTATGTCTGCATATTTTGTAATGTATCTAGTGTGAGTAGATTGACTGTCTTGTCTGATAACCAGATTGTGAGAGTGGACTTGTATGTCTAGTGCCTGTGTGTGAGGCCACACATTACACACCACACAGCCACTGTCTTACGGTTGACATTGTTTCATGCTGTTCCAGCGTATTGACACTGATCTCCCTTTGCTTGCTATGGGTGTCTGTAATGATGAGACGGAGCTTAGTAAAACTGCATGCTGAACTGATCATGATCAGAAAACAACAAGAAGAATTGATAGAAACAGCAAATGTTTTGAAACAAATGGTTAGTATCACTGATATGAAGATAAATCAATTTTAACTCTAACGGGTCAAATTAAAAGTATTACAGATTCCATTGTTCTATTAATGTCCCATTCATTCTACCAAAACTCCACCCATGACGGCCCAATGTAAGGAGCATAACTCTGTATGATCAAGTGAATAGTTTCACAAAATATTTGTTTTTGTCTAAATGAAATTGAAAATTAAGATAAAAACTACTGCTTAATGTTGGGAATAAACCTGGCTTTCCAACAGTATTAAATATAATATATTATATTCGGTAAAAGTACAGTATAAAAATTAAAAATGTCGGAGAAAATTCAAAATAGGTCATTTTCGGTAGTCAACTTTATTTATTTTTGTCTAAACAACTATGCATCGAATTTAACAGTTAAATATCAATTTGGTTATGTTTAACATATATAATTCATAAAATACATGCCTAGATACGTTTAGAGGCATTAATTTTTTTTTATTTTTAATATTAAATCTACTAAAAATACGACAGATGAGTCGAAAATTTCGAGATAGAAAGAAACTATTATTTTTTATCTTTCAAAAGCGCCATTAAAATTAGACGACCGGAAAAGGATGCTGAAACCATCCGACTTCCTGTTTAGTTAAAAATTAGGATTTGTAGGCCAAATTTTAATGAAACAAATTTAATTTTTCTATGCGTATTGTAAGCGGGCGGCAGCGGGCGTTACGGGACATTAACGGTGTCGGGCGGCAGCGGGCGTTACGGGACATTAATGGTTTTAATGGTTAATTTTATAGAGCCGGTTATTTTTTCCCCATATTTTCTATTGTTGTATCAATTAGTTATCGTGTATCTTTCAACCTGTTAAATACCCGCACGCATAGGCATAGGGGAATAACGAGTGGGGCGGCCATCCCGGGCGTCGTCCCATGTGACGCAAATTCGATGGTTCGCCCCGAGCGCCGGAATGAGTCGCCACGCCTCTGCCAACCCATTCTATTAGCCGTTCCATTTAAAACAATTTTCTTTTAGGATTTGACTCCACAGCTTTTGTTCATCCAAGAACAAACTACAAGGCAGCAGTTGTTTGATTTTAGAGTTTTCTCTTATAGATGGGTTGCTGTCCTTAGCTATCGATCCTTATCTGCACTGTGAGGATGGAGGGGTGGGGTGGGGGGCTGTAACCCAGGACTTGTCGGTTTAGTAGTAACCTTGAACTTTACCAACCCGATCAAACCGATCTCCATGGTTGTAGATAATAGTAATATGTTTGAATTATCATTTTAATACAAAGTACATTGGCAAGCAAATGTAAATATAGCGAAGACACAGTATGAGAAATGGTATATATATATATATATATATATATATATATATATATATATATATATATATATATATAGCCTATATATATATATATATATGTATATATATATATGTATATATATATATGTATATATATATATATATATATGTATATATATGTATATATATGTATATATATGTATATATATGTATATATATATATATATATATATATATATATATATATATATATATATATATATATATATGTATGTATATGTATATGTATACATATATATATGTATACATACATACATATATATATATATATATATATATATATATATATATATATATATATATATATATATATAGACGTAAAGTGGTTTTTCAAAACATATTTCAATGTCTCCTCTAACTTAAGTTGTAACAGACCTGCACATTCTCCTCAGGTGGAACTTTATATCTCACTCAACCAAATAGATCAACAGGATGAAATGATGAGACAGCCAATTAGAGCAATAGGGTGATAGGATGAGACAGCCAAATAGATCAATAGGATGACAGGAGGAGACAGACAAACCGTCATTTAATTTTTTTTAAAATCATTCTTAAAGTAATTGTTTGTGAGTAGTTTTTTCTATTTAAATGTTAACTACTTTAGTTGTACGTGTCTACTCACACAACTGTTGTATGTGGTATAAATAAAATGGAATCTACAATTCTTGAGCTGTATCACCATTTAAATACTGTGTGCCGTATACCCTCCAGACTAGTCCCACCCCTTCCACCTAATTCCTGTCTATCCTAGTCATTATGCCAAGTGAATTCTTTATGAATGGGTGTACAGAACATATAAATCAAGTCAAGATTGTTGTAATGATTAATGTTTATTTTCTGTTAATTGATACCAAATTATTTAGCAAACGCTTTCTGATTAATAAAAACAGCTTAGGAAACTGCGAGGGAACGATTAGAAAAGAAGTAATCTATTTGGCTGATAGGCTAAACTTGATGATAATAAGCTAAACTGCATGATGATAGGCTAAACTTGATGATAATAAGCTAAACTGCATGATGATAGGCTAAATTTGATGATGATAGGCTAAACTGCATGATGCTAGGCTAAATTTGATGATGATAGACACAACTGGATAAAAATTGGTGAAGAATACAATTTGATTAAATATTTGAACAAAGGTCTTGCTTTTGTGTTCTCGAGAAAAAATGCATTCCTATTCCGCATGTGATAACTATGTTAACATTGTGCAAAGATATGAAGAGTTATAGGATCATAGCATAGGGGTGCAGCTTCTACATGGGCGGTGCTTGTGGGTCTGTTCTAGAGGACAGGCTGAAGTCTGTGGCCAACACGAGGAGGTCCTATAGAGAAGAGGTCAAAGTTCGTCAGTGTACAGCTCTCAGTCGCGTCTATACAAACACAATGGCTATTGCCTACATTGGTTACTAACAGAGGCGTAGCGAGGGGGCACATGTCCCCGGGCGCCGACCTTAGGGGGCGCCAAAAAGATTTGGAAAAACAAATTGAAAGTTTGAGGGAGGGGGGGGGTGCAAATCAAATGTTTTATCCACGGGCGCCGGGAAGGGTCGCTACGCCTCTGGTTACTAATACTTTATTATATAAGTGTATATTTGGTTTATATATTTATATGTCTAATCAAAAGTGCTTATAAAGTATACATGTAGCAAAAATAAAGTATTAAATATAAAAAGTTAATAATAAACCAATTTGTGCAGCTAATGAAGTTGTTTATACCATTTTGACATAGGCGCACGTCACTCAATGAATTACGCAGGGAACGGAATTTATGAGGGTAGTAACTCCAAATGAACGCCAAAACTATATGTAAGCATATATATATATATAGGCTTATACATATATAAATGCCTATATATATATATATATATATATATATATATATATATATATATATATATATATATATATATATATATATTTGAGCCCCCCCCCCATCCCTCTAAGAAGAAATCCTGTCTTCACATTTTACGATACGATGGATTTATTAAGACAATACTGTGAGTTATTTTACCTTATTCCTATGTCAATCGGGTGTTCTACTTACGTCTTTGAAAATGATCCTGGCATTTACCAGCGTGACAAATGGTTCAATGATCCCAATGGCTCTAGACTCTAGAAAATTAACCGGTTCAAATATCAGTGCTAGGCAACACATTTATCTGGCAGGACTAGCATATACAGTAGTAGTATTAAAATACTATTTCAAAATATATTATTTGAAATCGTTTAAGGTCGATGTCCCGCCCTCTATTATGCAGTAATACCAAAAAAAATCACAGTGTCAAAAGCCCACCCCAAATGTTTCTCGCCATCCTATAGAATGTCTGAAAAAGTAAGTACGAAGTAAAACGTATTTCAACAGAATACCCAGGGACCGGCAAGTCTAAAGCTTATTCTCTCCACACACTATCCTAAGCCCCAAGGAAATTTCCACCCAAAATCATAGCATTAGCTCAGAACCTACCGCTTACCTACACTTACACAAACACCTACTGCTGCACCTAAACCTACACATACACATACACCTACTCCTATACTTACACCTAGACATACACATACACATAGAGCTTCTCCTATACTTACACATAGACATACATATAGGCCTACACATACACCTACTCCTATACTTACATTTTGACATACACCTACTCCTATACTTACACCTAGACATACACATACACCTACTCTTATACCTACACATACACCTACTCCTATACCTACACCTATACCTACACATACACCAAAACATAAATTAACCTGTCTCTATCTCTAGCTAGACACAGCTAGTGCTGATTCCTAATGAGTTTATCAACCGATTTTCTTGCTATCAGAAGTGTCATTTTTCTTGATATCAGAAGTATCATTTTTCTTGATATCCGGTCATTTTTTTTATATCAGAAGTGTCATTTTTCTTGATATCAGAAGTGTCATTTTTCTTGATATCAGAAGTGTCATTTTTCTTGATGTCAGAAGTGTCATTTTTCTTGATATCAGAAGTGTCATTTTTCTTGATATCAGAAGTGTCATTTTTCTTGATATCAGAAGTGTCATTTTTCTTGATATCAGAAGTGTCATTTTTCTTGATATCAGAAGTGTCATTTTTCTTGATATCAGAAGTGTCATTTTTCTTGATATCAGAAGTGTCATTTTTCTTGATATCAGAAGTGTCATTTTTCTTGATATCAGAAGTGTCATTTTTCTTGATATCAGAAGTGTCATTTTTCTTGATATCAGAAGTGTCATTTTTCTTGATATCAGAAGTGTCATTTTTCTTGATATCAGAAGTGTCATTTTTCTTGATATCAGAAGTGTCATTTTCAGTTAAAACGCTACTCCTCACTCCCCCTAAAAGTAGCTGATTTAACATTCTGTATTACGTTAGATGTAAACTTCAAGTTAAATGTCAAACAATTTAAACACGACTGTACTCGTATCTTACCGCTGTCTCCAACCCAGAAGCTGGACCAAAATTCAGACTCAAATCCTTCAGTTAATAATTGGACCTGTAAATGATGTAAGACTTACACATTTTCAATTACAAACATTATAATATGAATGGTTTAAAGACACTAGGATTAAGATATAATATAATAAAACAAATATAAAACCTTACTAACATTAAGTTTTAAATGAATTTTAAATTAAAAAAAAATTTTTTTTTGCTTTCTGTGATAACTGCATTGGTCGCTAAAATGTGTATGAGATTTCATGTGGGACCAAACGTGACTAAAGTGAAACGCGCATTGTTATTTATCAGTCAGTAACTATAACTATAACCCCACCACAACACCACGTCTTAACCTTAAAGTAGTGGGAATAAGATACATCTGGTCGTATGGTTGAGGCAGAAGGCAAAATATTTTAGAAGCGATAAAAAAATTCATTGAGTCTAAATATGAAGTCAACTTCTGGTGTGGTATGTCGTCCAATTATTTAAATATTTAGTCGATATTTGGCGCGGTAGAGTTCCAGTTTATTTCAACTATTCAAACGTTAGCAGTCTGGAATATTTGTATAACTTACATCACTTTCAGGCAGATTAGTAAAGTGATCGCCGAACTTGATTCTGAAAATGTAAAAAAAAAAATTATAAGTCAACCATCCTATCACCTTTAGCCTGAAGACAGTAATGAGAGCATAAAAAGCATGTCCACTGCAGCCGAATTTTAAAAATATATATTCAAACGACTACACGTAACAACAGTAATATTAAATTAGCATATCAATTTGGGCAAGATAAAGCTGCCTAACCTACATATTTACCATACCCAATGCTTGTTTAGTTTGTAGTTTTGATTTAACGAGGTTAAGACACAGATATTAAATTTAGCCATCAAACTAAAAATCAAATCACGTCCTTAGACAGCGTCATACTGTAGCTAATCTCGGGATGTGAATGATTTGTTTGGTAAGACTTACTTATGTTGCTGAGACTGTATCGTATACGTGTTGTTCAGTATGATTGGGGTGAAAACACGCGACGCATTCTGAAACACAGTTGTATGTGCATTACCATGAAACAGCTATATATGCATTACCATGAAACAAAGTAGCTGTTTAGAAAGTACGACAAGTCACAAAGTAACGGTTTAGAAAGTACGACAACTCACAAAGTAGCGGTTTAGATGCATATCTCCAAACGTCAACTTCCACACCCCACTTAACGTCACGTTGATGCCAGCACTTGTTAGTTCAACATTTGGTGTTATGTCAGCCACCACTTCCACGAGAATATTTGTTCTGGCCTTGTCGTCATGGTTACAAAAATGTTTTCATTAATTTAATGGGTCAAAGTCTTGTGTTATAGACTGGTGCCAGCTAAAATTAGGCTATATATATATATATATATATATATATATATATATATATATGGATATATATATATATATATATATATATATATATATATATATATATATATATATATATATAGATGTATGTATGTTAGAGAGAGAGAGATATGTAATTATTACCAAGGCATCTTCTGTGACATAATGTTTGATTACAGATATCAACAAGTTCCTGTAGGTCTCCGAAAGCTGTTAGAAAAATAAATCACTATACAGAAAACAGTTATTCATTTATCGCAAACTTTGATTAAAGCTTTCGATTGCAAAAGATTTCAAGTATATCGAGTTTATTTGGATGTAGAATATAATTTAAATAATTCAGGTGCGTTTAGGTGTATAAGTTATTCCATATTTAACTTTTATGAACGAGCGACTGGTTCTGTCGCACCACTGCACATATCTGAGAATGTAAAACTATTAATTAAGTGGTACGTTAATTGGGGCCGACGAACCACGCTTATTTTAACCAATACCACGAATCACGTGCAAATTGCAAATACACGTAAGATTGGGTATTTGTAAACAACAAAAAACAACTTTGAGTTAATATCTGTGAAGCTTTCATTTACCCCTATTATCGAAACATTGGATTGTCATTATTGTGAAGTTGCCTCTTTATTGGTTTAGCTCAGGGGTCTCCAATCTACGGCCCGCGGGCCGGATGCGGCCCGCGATGTCCTCTCATCCGGCCCGCGGAGATCTTTTTGTCCACGGAAAAAACGCTTGTTGGTGATGGCTGAGGAACTTTGCCCAGAAAAATCAAAGACCTGCCTGGAAGAAACTGGCCCCCGAACTGAAATTTGTTAGTTAATGCGGCCCTCTGACTGAAAAGTTTGGAGACCCCTGGTTTAGCTAATCAGGTTTCCCCTTGATTGTTTCATCAACGACGATCAAAATTTACAAGAAGTCCAGTTCACTGGCAACAGGCTAAAGTTTAAACTAGAAAAATCTTTTAATACTACTTTATAATTAAATAATATTATACGGTCATTGATGATTCGCGTTTGTTCTTAGAAATCGCAGAAGAGTGTGAAATCTGATTAGTAGATAACGGAAATCACGTTAACTGCAAGTTTGAAAAAAATTACGTTAAGCAATAATCAACTTAATCATTAAACTTTTCAAGGGCTAAATATTAATTTCAATATTACTTGCCAGCAAATATAATCAAGGGCTAAATATTGATTTGAATTTCATTTGCCAGCAAATATAATCAAGGGTTTAAATGTTAATTTGAATATCATTTGCCAGCAAATATAATCAAGGGTTAAATGTTAATTTGAATATTATTTGCCAGCAAATATAATCAAGGGCTGAATGTTAGTTCGACTATTATTTGCCAAGAAATATAATCAAGGGCTAAATTTGAAAATTATTTGCCAGCAAATATAATCAAGGGCTAAATTTTTAATGTATTTGCCAGCAAATATAATCAAGAATAAATTTGAAAATTATTTGCCAGCAAATATAATCAAGAGCTAAATTTGAAAATTATTTGCCAGCAAATATAATCAAGAGCTAAATTTGAAAATTATTTGCCAGCAAATATAATGAAGAGCTAAATTTGAAAATTATTTGCCAGCAAATATAATCAAGAGCTAAATTTGAAAATTATTTGCCAGCATATATAATGAAGAGCTAAATTTGAAAATTATTTGCCAGCAAATATAATCAAGAGCTAAATTTGAAAATTATTTGCCAGCATATATAATGAAGAGCTAAATTTGAAAATTATTTGCCAGCAAATATAATCAAGAATAAATTTGAAAATTATTTGCCAGCCGGATTTGTTTTACCTCTTCTGCATCTCCTAGTACGTGTAGCACAGGTGTGTTCTCATGCAGTGCAGCCATCAACGATTTGAACAGGTACTCGTTGACCAACACGTAAAACATGGCGTCGTCTTCCTGGAAGTCTCGCATGGGCTCAGGTACTGGCATGGGCTGAGGCGACGACATGTGCTCAGGTGAAAATTGGTACTTAGCATATGAGCTGCTGATAAACTCCCCCTGTTGAGGTGAAACATTGATGGAAGGAAGCAGGCGTAACTCATGTGCGAGGGAAAGGTGGGGCTTACACGATTGTAGGGAAAAAAGTCACAGGAAAAAAGTCAGAGGAAAAAAGTCAGAGGAAAAAATTTATCAAATAGATGCTAGTATGTAAATTATCGTACAGTATTTATATATGTATGTAACCAAGTTGAGGCTAGTATGTAAATTATCGTACAGTATTTATATATGTATGTAACTAAGTTGAGGCTAGTATATAAATTATCGTACAGTATTTATATATGTATGTAACCAAGTTGAGGCTAGTATGTAAATTATCTTTTAGTATTTATATTTATTAAGAGGATAAAAGTTGAATTAGTATTAAAATCATAGTTATCTTTAATTATTTTATTTTTGTAAATATGTTACTAACACAATGCAAACCACAGTTACACAATTTTACAGAGTTTTACAATTCTGAACAAGTAAACCAAAATATTTCTTCGAGTAAAATTGTGACTTTTCTGTCACTTTATTTCTGTGATTTTTCTCCGATAAAATTGTTCCTCTGTGACTTTTTTCTGTGACTTTTTGTGTGACTTTTTCTGTGACCTTTTACCGCTGACAGGGGTGAATTGACTCAAGGGAAAAGTTCAAGAACATGAGAGAGTTCGAGTAATAGTTACCTTATGCCATGACTCCATGTAGCTGTACGTCGACTGGGGTCCGACCGTCAGACTGTAGTCAAAGATGATTTTCCTATCTTGCCCTGTTGAGTGGAGTATTGATGTCATTAATTAAAGCATCGTGCGAAATTAATTAAATTAAGTATATAAATGCACATGGATACACACACACTCTCACACACACGCATATATATATATATATATATATATATATATATATATATATATATATATATATATATATATATATATATATATATATATGTATATAAACACACATATAAATTAAGCAATTACTTACAACCCAAACTTACATTTCATATCCGGCAAGAGATCATTGAACTGGCCGACAAATTTATTCAATGAGCTACAAACCTGCAATCAAATTTTGAATAATCAATCAATTTTTTTAAAATTTAGTTGCATAATTTCTTGATTTCTTACCACGATTCTCAAACTGTGTGTTGTTCTGTGGTCCCTTGTTTTTTAACTTTGAAAAATTTGTAAAAAAAAAAAAAATTGCAGCAATCACTGAAAATATTAGGGGTCGGCGTGGTCGAGTCGGAAAAGCTCATGGTTGCTGCACCAAAAAGTCTCAAGTTCGAACCCTCGGGCAGATGAGGCTCGTTAGCTGGGGACAGCCACTCTTCTAGGAGAGACAACTCCAAAATTAAACAACTGCTGCCTTGTAGTTTGTTCTTGGTTGGACAAAGGCTATGGAAGCAAATCCAAAAAGAAAAGCAGGCTGAAATCGGAGTCAATGAAGAAGAAGACTGAAAATATTGTCTCTGAGTTTTTTTTTTATTAGAAAGAAAAATCAAACGAGGTGTCTGGTAAACCGTTGCTGCGCTCCGTGTCATGTACTGATGAAAATAACAAATAATACAACAACAAAAGTTGTTCCTGTTAAGTGTGTTGGGTCCCTAGTAGGACAAGTGACTTCACGTTGGAGGTACTGCCCAGGACTACTAATTATCTACCTGAAGAAATCTATGAGCTATTACTGTTTACCACGTGTAACAAAATGCAAACATAGATTCAAATACATTTTAAAGTGCCTTTCCAATTAATGGAGGGAACTTGTTCTCTTATGCAATACTATGCGAAACTATGCAAGCTTGATTGGGGGGGGGGGGGGAGGGGTTAATGTGAAGTAAATCAACGATGTACGGGTAATACGTTACCTCCCTGCTTATCAAGTTTTTGATGTCGAACGTGTAAGCACCAGTCAAGACACTGAACAACTGCATAGACCCGCCAGCATAGCCCATCTTTATATCGCCCACTGTACATTGGCAATAGCCCAGGGAAAGTTTAAGTTTTCCGTCATGGTTGAGTCCTGTTCAATGTTAAAACTCAGTGATTTGACAGATGTCAAAGTTCATTTGAATATTAAAGGTGATAGGTTACACACAAATAATGTTATTAATTCCGTTGAATGCTCAGTTAAACTTGTAGAATCCAGAGTATTTTAACTTCCATTCCTTGTTTTTCATCTAGTTTTAATTCTTATTACCGACATCGTAAAATGTTTGTTTTAGAACTGTTTTTTATAATCAGTCCGTAAACTTCATTACGATAATTTGCTTAGCCGTAGATGGATTAGATGTTGATTGGATCTAATGATTTGGTAAAAACGCCGCGAAAAATAGGAAAACATCTTGACAACGTGACAAACAGGTCGTTGGTAGAGTGACAAATGACATGGTAGCTATATAACAAACAGGTCACTGGTAAAATGACAAATGACATGTAGCAATATGACAGACAAGTCACTGGTAGAGCGACATATGACATGGTAGTAATATGACAAACAGGACGCAGGTAGAGTGACAAATGACATGGTAGCAACGTAACCAAACGACAAACCTGAAAGTAGACGAACTTTTAGGGTCAAAGACGTCAGGTTGATACTGTTGATGTTCACGGTGCTGTGGATTGAGGTGTGTAATTGGGAGTTGTCAGCAAATCGTATTGAATTTGATTAATCGATAAGACTTTTATGGTAATATTTTAAAACAAGGTTGCCGTGTTTTGTTTTTGACAAGTTGTTGTTGTCGGTTCGTCATTTTGATAGTCAAGTGTTGTCCCACGTCGGTCTTGTCTGGTTAGTCTGACCGTCAAGTGCTGTCCGGCATCAGAGTTGTCTGACCGTCAAGTGCTGTCCGGGGCATCAGAGCTGTCCGGCATCCGAGTTATGTTGTACCAATCCTGACTAGTCTTCCTGCCAGTCTCCTACAGCTAGAGCTGTCTAGCAGCTGTCCTACAGCTAGAGCTGTCTAGCAGCTGTCCTACAGCTAGAGCTGTCCTACAGCTAGAGCTATCTAGCAGCTGTCCTACAGCTAGAGCTGTCTAGCAGCTGTCCTACAGCTAGAGCTGTCTAGCAGCTGTCCTACAGCTAGAGCTGTCTAGCAGCTGTCCTACAGCTAGAGCTGTCTAGCAGCTGTCCTACAGCTAGAGCTGTCTAGCAGCTGTCCTACAGCTAGAGCTGTCTAGCAGCTGTCCTACAGCTAGAGCTGTCCTACAGCTAGAGCTCTCTAGCAGCTGTCCTACAGCTAGAGCTGTCTAGCAGCTGTCCTACAGCTAGAGCTGTCTAGCAGCTGTCCTACAGCTAGAGCTGTCTAGCAGCTGTCCTACAGCTAGAGCTCTCTAGCAGCTGTCCTACAGCTAGAGCTGTTTAGCAGCTGTCCTACAGCTAGAGCTGTCTAGCAGCTAGAGCTGCCCTACATCTGTCCTACAGCTAGAGCTGTCTAGCAGCTGTCCTATAGCTAGAGCTGTCTAGCAGCTGTCCTACAGCTAGAGCTGTCTAGCAGCTGTCCTACAGCTAGAGCTGTCTATCAGCTGTCCTACAGCTGTCTATCAGCTGTACACATCTTACAGAGCATCACGAGAGAGGAGACCGTCCATGCTGGATTCAACAGCCACATCTTGTAAGGTCAAGGTCAGGAATCTGGGGTTTAGCCGCAGAGAGCTGTCCCCAACTGTGAAGTTCTTGTACCGGATGCTGAAATACAATCAGTATACGGAGATGATACTAGTGGAACAAAATATTATAGCACTAAAGAAACGATAACGCTGATGGTTGCTATGAAACCAGTTGCTAAAGTGTTAACTCTAGAAGTCACAGTACACGTTTCAACTTACTTTTGGAGACTCCACTGCGCGATATTGTTTACACCTTCAATCTGCGCTGGAAGAAAGTCATTGGAGGATTCTTGGAGGTATCGGACCATCAGGTCTTTGGCTATGGAAACAGAAGCGTAAACGGAAATCTTGTAGGAAGAAGTATCTAGAAATGTGACTTCGATCGATAAAGAGTTAATGTACCGTACACTAGTTAATTAGAATTAGATAGATGGATTATACAATTTCTCTTGGTTTGAAGGTATTGTTTTATACCAACCGAGATAGTAAAACTATGTAAGTATTTTAGATGTCGTTAACATGTTAATCAAAGAAGACGCTCAGGACGTTTCATATTGTACTTTAGTACTAAGTGTTGTTGGTTATTGTGTGGTTTGGCTGTGTGCTTTTGGGCATGTTCCGTTAGAGAAAGTGTTGTTGGTCATTGCGCTGTTGTGCATTGTGGTGTTGCGTATCGAGATGTTGCACTTTGTGCTTCTTGCACAATTTACTGTTTAACAATTTGCTTTTCTACAGTGCTATTATGCAATGTACTTTAGGGCACTCTGCTGTTCTACTTTGTGCTGTTCGAAATATGCTGTCGTATTTAATTTAACACATCGACTGGCTAAACGTAGCACAGATATTTACCATAGTTCAGTCCCTTGTTTGTTATTCTTAGTTTGAAGCCAGGTTCAACAGCGCACACGTGACCAACAGCCAATAGAATCACCAGACACAACATCATCATCTTCAACGTTCACCAGTTCAACCTACGGGAAAACATACCTTTATTACTGAACTTGATGAAATAAAATATGTTTATATTAAGAAAGCAAAAGTAGATCTTTAGTTGAAAATTACATATGTTTAAATTAATAGTAATAATTTTCTAAAATTTATAATAAAAACATAAATTCTGCGACTAATGAAATTAACTTTTAAGATGAATATAAGGAACACAATTTTAAGCCACAAATGTAGAGAAACGTTGTACGCAAGTCTGTACAGCAACTGAACAGGCGGTTAGTTAAAAGCGGATCTATGTTCCAGACGTTATAATCTCCAGTACCGCCAACCTGTCGCAGGGTGCATGAGGACCCGCACCGGTGTGTGATACTTGAAACAGTGGATTAACGAGATGTGTGGTGATTTAATACTGTTCCTGGTGTTAGCAACGTTATGGCGATCGTGATCACAATTATAAATGACATGTTTGTGTTGTTTGTTGTTGGTGATTTGTTTTGGTCATAGATCCAAGTCATACATTTACGTCGCACATGAAAGTCATAAATACATCTCATAGTATATGCGACATATGAATACAATATATCAATGTCAAATATCAATATCACACATCCACGTTACACATCCAAGAAATACATCTATGTCAAACATCTATATCACACATCTATGTCACACATCTATGTAACACATCTATGTCACACATCATCTATGTCAAAAATGTATGTCACACATCCAAATCATACTATCATGTCACACATCTTTGTCACACATCTATGTCACACATCCATGTCACACATCTATGTCACAAATCTATGTCACACATCTATGTAACACATCTTTGTCACACATCTATGTCACACATCTATGTCACACATCCATGTCATACATCTATGTCACACATCCATGTCACACATCCATGTCACACATCTATGTCACACATCTATGTCACACATCTATGTCACACATCTATGTCACACCTCTATGTCAAACATCTATATCACAAATCTATGTCACACATCTATGTAACACATCTTTGTCACACATCTATGTCACACATCTATGTCACACATCTATGTCACACATCTATGTCACACATCTATGTCACACATCTATGTCACACATCTTTGTAACACATCTATGTCACACATCTATGTCACACATCTATGTCACACATCTATGTCAGACATCTTTGTCACACATCTATGTCACACATCTATGTCACACATCTATGTCACACATCTTTGTAACACATTCATGTCACACACCCATGTCACACATCTATGTAACACATCTATGTCACACATCATCTATGTCAAAAATGTATGTCACACATCCAAATCATACTATCATGTCACACATCTTTGTCACACATCTATGTCACATATTCGTGTCACACATCCATGTCACACATCTATGTCAAACATCTATATCACAAATCTATGTCACACATCTATGTAACACATCTATGTCACACATCATCTATGTCAAAAATGTATGTCACACATCCAAATCATACTATCATGTCACACATCTTTGTCACACATCTATGTCACACATCTTTGTCACACATCTATGTCACACATCTATGTCACACATCTATGTCACACATCCATGTCACACATTTATGTCACACATCTATGTCACACATCTATGTCACACATCCATGTCACACATTTATGTCACACATCTATGTCACACATCCATGTCACACATTTATGTCACACATCTATGTCACACATCCATGTCACACATAAATGTCACACATCTATGTCACACATACATGTCACACATCTTTGTCACACATCTATGTCACACATCTATGTCACATATCTATGTCACACATCTATGTCACATATCTATGTCACACATCTATGTCACACATCCATGTCACACATTTATGTCACACATCTATGTCACACATCCATGTCACACATAAATGTCACACATCCATGTCACACATCTATGTCACACATCTATGTCACACATCTATGTCACATATCTATGTAACACATACAGACAGGCGACCATACATAACTTGAGAAAATTGATAATTAGCGCGCTAATTAAATTAATCATTAACAAAATTGAAAACCGTATCTAAATTAAATTACCTAAACATACATAATTAACGAAGTTTACTTTTAATTGTCATTACCGTTTAAGCCGATAGTACATGCCAACCTTGCTCTAATTGTTCTGATGAGTTCAAAGTTCTCAACCTATGAATGATGTTAGGATGTAGTCAGTGACAGGAGTCAGTGTATGAATGGACCGTTGAGATTGTTACACTGGGTATAGTAGATAGCTAGGATGTTAGGATATAGTCAGTGATGTTAGGATGTAGTCAGTGATATGAGTCAGTGTATGCATAGGCCGTTGAGATTGTTACCCTGGGTATAGCTAGGCCTCACATATCCTCCGCAGTGTAGGCTATCAAATAACTTTCTTAACATTTCCTGTTTCTTACTACGAATTTGTTTTTTAAGTGACGGGATTGGCTTATACTGGCTTATAGAGTAATAGCAGCTTTTATAGGTACCCAGCACGAGTTGGAGAAAGTATCAGAAAAGAGCATCATTTTGACATCTTATCGGATCGAAAATCAAAATCAATTTTAATATCCCCCCCCCAACAAAAAATAATTTAAAAAAACTAGTTCAATAACTTGAGAACTCTTTTAGAGTTAAGATTACTGCATCCATTGTTTACTTTGTACTTGCTAGCTAGGGGATGGTCGAGTTTCTAGAGCATCTATTTCGGCTCAACCCACTAGATCGATCCAAAAACCTACTAATTGTCTTATAAAGATAAAAATGTACTTGGAATTTTATTGTGTACGCGCCAAGAGTTTCAGCTTAACTAAATTTGCTTTAAATAGTTGTTAGTTGTTGTCATGTTGTTTTTTTATTAACAGCCAGGGAATAAACTGTCAAAAATAAATCCTCTATTCAAAAGGCACCGGTCACGTGATCGGCCCCGGCTAGAACAACATAAGGCAGGGGTTAAAGGTCACGTCAATCACAGGCAACGTGACACGTCAATCACAGGCAACGTGACACGTCAATCACAGGTAACGTGACACGTCAATCACAGGCAACGTGACACGTCAATCACAGGCAACGTGACACGTCAATCACAGGCAACGTGACACGTCAATCACAGGCAACGTGACACGTCCATCACAGGCAACGTGACACGTCAATCACAGGCAACGTGACACGTCAATCACAGGCAACGTGACACGTCAATCACAGGCAACGTGACACGTCAATCACAGGCAGCGTGACACGTCAATCACAGGCAACGTGACACGTCAATCACAGGCAACGTGACACGTCAATCACAGGTAACGCTTACATGAATCAAGGCTGTGCACTTACATTACCTGGTATACGTATGAAGGGGTAAATAACTTAAGGGAAACTCCCTTCTATAAAATATATTTTAATTAATGTGTTGAACTGTGGTTCGTATTGTTGGGTATCTTCAAGGGATGTGTTTGTAGGTTTGGGCATAATATTTGTTGGGCATCGCTTCAAGAGGTGTGTTCGTAAGTTGGGGCATAATATTTGTTGCGAAGTGTGTTTCGGTACGGGTCGATGCTGAACGTTACGAACAATAGATGACGACGATCCAATGAAGAACACAGAATGACGCTACGATGTTTCTATCTTTTATTACATATAATATCAACAGCTACATAAACGATAGACGGGACGACGACTTCTAGACATCCTCACAAGACGACGACAAGACCAAGACTAACTCTCAACTATCTTCCTAACAACGAAAACATTCTCTCCTACGTCACATCCTTATTTATTCACCATTCATAATCTTTTCTTAATACCGCTACACACATACTCTCAAACCATCCACAACTATATTAACTCCATTCAACTACACACATACTCTCAAACTCATTCCATACACTTAGGTCCATTCACAACATACCCCTCTCCTTTCTTTAGCTGAAAATACATACATAAACCATCAAACTATTTTCAGCTTCAACACATGCATCCATACAATATGCTTAACATTCAACCAAGACAATGTTCTGTAGTCCATGATAATTCATCAACGTGTCAGTCAGCTTGAGCACACACATCTTTTGGTCCCAACCAACACCTTGTCCACACACATCATTTGGTTTCTTGTCTCTGGACATCAACACAAGCTATAAAAAAAATAATCCAGGACCAACATGTACCCAAACCATACAATAGCTTCTAATTTACAATTAAAATTGTTGAGCACCTCTTCCTGTCCTTAAAATATAATATTACTACCAAATAGCAAAGTCACATAGCTTCTAAAAATGTGAAAATTAAATCCCAACTAATATTTTAAATCAATACGATTTGGCCATATATCATATAACTCAATAGATTCCTAAGCATCATAAAACTACTATCCAACAATCAGGAAATCAACAGTCTAGGTAAATGCCAGTAAAACAATTACTATCTAAAGATATTATAGTCAATCTATACAATGGAGTACACTAATGAACTAAATTAGAACCATCAACACATCCAATAAGCCAATACAATATCACATAGAGGAGTATTTCCCGTGAACCCCCAAACACAACAACCAGGTACTCGGCACAACCTCGAGATACCAAAAAATAACGCGGACTGCATCCTCAGTCTCGCAAAACAAAATCATTATCTAGCGAAGATCAATTATCTCCAAAAAAAACAACAACACTAAGCTAATGGGTTCATTATCCAACCAAGAAAATCAAACCTCTTAGGATATAATAATTTAGCACAATGTACCTAAAATACCACGATATTGCTATATCTCAAGTATAGAAATATAATATCTAATGGAGGACAATTTTCCATGACCCCGGGACAAACAAAATATCTCGGCAAACCATCGAGATCCAAATAACCATAATCACTATCCATCATATAACTAAGTTACGTATCAACCAGACAGCATCCAGCATGAATGGGTGACCACGACAATAAAATCAACTACTCTACACGGGAAACAGGAAAAATACTGGGTCCAACAACCAAATCAGAAAATATATCCTCAATTGATATCATATCTAATACACCAAAGAGTCCCTAAACCTAACACTAACAAAGTAACAAATTCCATATAGTTAATACATATTAAGACCATCCACAAAAAGGGAACCTAACGCTATATATTTCAATAACGCCCTCTCTAAGGCGCTTCCCTAAATGAGAATGGTTAATTGTAATTAACATAAGACAAGTTAATTATACATTTAAATTTAAATTATAGTAAACATTATAACTACCACCAAAATTGTATACACAATAACAAAATACAGTACTCTATCTCCTTGATGGTATTTGGAGAGAGTAAAATCATATAGATCTACCAATATCAATTAACAGGTATTGTTAAAACTAATCACCTTAACTTACATTGGTGAACCAGTAACTGGCTGTTATTACCTTACACTAGAATTCACCATGTCTAGACCGACTTTTATATAGATGGTAGATAGTGCCTAGTTGTCCTAATTAATACATGATTTGCTTCTAAATATTAAATAGATCTAACACTAGATCTAGATTCAGAAGTAAATGGCAAAATGGAATGTTACACAACTAGTGTGAACTATGACACTGGTAACTGGATTCTAGATCCAGATCAACGATGTTTGAAAAAAAAATATATATATATATATACCTAGTAGGACCTAAACAAATATTACTAAAAATGAACAACAAAAAAATTGTATTAGATCTTAGTATCTAAAAAAAATGGAAGAGGTGTACTCAACTTAAACAATCCCAGACATCAGGTCTTCATGACAACTCCAGATCCCACACTACATAGGCCACATCAGATTCAGGCGATGACTTGTAGTACACATGCTGGTATAGTCCAAGTCAGTCACACACACTGGATTGGTGACGCAGATTGACGTCGACTTGAACTTCGAGAATCCAGGCAGATAATATAGTTCTTGTAGTTCGGGAATTCATCTCGACCAATACTGGGTTGAACAAACGAAGAAAATTCTCGTCTGTACTGTCGATAAAGTCAACCACGAAGAAATTTGACATGATGAAGGTCAGGGACGTCATCAAAACATGTAGGCCAAACAATTCAGCCGATCACGACGATGTGGGTTAGACGAGGGTGATGACGTAAACTCTTCCAACGAACAGTTGACGATGTAGGAAGAAACCCGAAAATTAAGCATCAGTCATGAAGAAAATCTGCATAAACGACGAAAACAGCACGGCCATTGTAGAGGGTCGGGGACGAGTGGCGATGACGTCATAATAAACAACTGTGGACATCAAATAAATGCCGGCCTTTGGACTACTGCTCAGCACGAACCAAAGATGAAAACGGCCACATCCGTAGTTCTAACCTTGACGGGAATCAATGGACGATGAGAGACCCGATATGGTCGCTGGATATCGCGCCGGTCAACCAGAAGTCCGTCTCCAGCAAACGACGACGAATCGAGCAGGCCACATCAAGCGTCGAAAAGTCCATCCATTACGGTCCAAGGTCAGGGTCTGGTACACAACTGAGTCCCGATCAAATTAAACAACCGTTGATACTGATGATTACTACGTACTGCTGTGGATAACGGGCGAATCTAGATGTAGGCATACTGCTGGCCACAGATGAGATGACATTACGGCAAGTGTAGACGGGAACGTACTGTGCGACAGATAAGTTCAGCAAACCGCTGCTTCCACCATATGTTGCGAAGTGTGTTTCGGTACGGGTCGATGCTGAACGTTACGAACAATAGATGACGACGATCCAATGAAGAACACAGAATGACGCTACGATGTTTCTATCTTTTATTACATATAATATCAACAGCTACATAAACGATAGACGGGACGACGACTTCTAGACATCCTCACAAGACGACGACAAGACCAAGACTAACTCTCAACTATCTTCCTAACAACGAAAACATTCTCTCCTACGTCACATCCTTATTTATTCACCATTCATAATCTTTTCTTAATACCGCTACACACATACTCTCAAACCATCCACAACTATATTAACTCCATTCAACTACACACATACTCTCAAACTCATTCCATACACTTAGGTCCATTCACAACAATATTTGTTGGTGTCGCTTCAAGGGGTGTGTTCGTAGGTTGGGGCATAATATTTGTTGGGGATCGCTTCAAAGGGTGTGTTCGTAGGTTGGGGCATAATATTTGTTGGGGTCGTTACAATGGGAATTTTCGTAGTTCGGGGCATAACATGTTCGTAGGTTGTGGCATCACATGTGTTGCGGTCGTTACAAGGGGCGTGTTCGTAGGTTGGGGCATAACGTGTTCGTAGGTTGGGGCATAACGTGTTCGTAGGTTGGGGCATAACGTGTGTTTGGGGTCGCCTCAACAGGTGGGTTCATAGTGTGGGGCATCACATGTGCTGGGGTCACTACAAGCGGCGTGCTAGTAACGTTAGCTAGCTGGTCCTAATGTTTGAATGTTGTCCGTAGGTGGCAGTGGCGTAGCGAGGTCGGGTGTCACCCGGTGCGGCACTTAATGATGTCACCCCCCAGAGGCGTAGCGACCCTTCCCGGGGACAAACTTTCAAATTTTCTATTTGCACCCCCCTCAAACTTTCGATTTGCACCCTCGCTCAAGTTTTCTCTATGTATATTGCTATTTTTTGCCTTGGTGTCACCCGGTACGGTCCGCATCGCCCCCCCCCCCCCTCGCTACGCCTCTGGTGGGTGACATAATGACCTCTACAGCCCAACTTTTCGTCTAAGATACTCTCACCATTGTCATAGGCAATATCCGTGTACGTCGGATCACGTGACACTAAAACCTCTCGGTCTCTGTTACCGAGGTCGTATTCAATATCCTGGAATGTCACATGTGCAGTTGGGTGTGCCGGCCCAATTGTTGACGTTAACACATAGCTAGCTATCATGTGGGTATTTCCACTTAATACAGATTTAGAATTGCTAAAAACATTGTTTGACTTGTTTTTTAAGGTATTTGCCTAGAGAGAAATACGTAAAGTACCCCACACAAAAACTGGTGTATCGGAGCTTAAATTCAGCTCAAGAAAACTAAGCTCCTATTGTGGCTCATGTATTCTATAACGTTGTTTACTAAACGTGTTTGGTAATTCTTGGCATCGTGCCAAAACCTTCCCAACCACAGGGGAACTTTAACATTGTGACATGCTTACTGCTAACCCTTTCACTGTTACATGATCCAACGTGTTTTATTTACTTTTAATGCTTTAAAAGTTTGTCATTATATAAATGTTTTAAAAGGATATTATGTTTTATTTTTACACGACAGAATAATGTTCTGTACTATTTGCAAAATATATATTGTCAACTGAAACGAAAGTCCTAAACATTCAAATATAGTTTTACATTATTTGTGGGTGTTAGCTTCAAATTACAATACATGAACTTTTTAAATATATGTTGTTGACAGGTTTATTACTATTGATGGGAGTGTGTTTGTATTTTGCCATATTATATTGGTACTTTGTTACATAAGGTTGATGCCATTGGTACTTTGTTACATAAGGTTGATGCCATTTGTACTTTATTACATAAAGTTGATTCCATTAGTACTTTGTTACATAATGTTGATGCCATTGGTACTTTGTTACATAAGGTTGGTGACATTGGTACTTTGTTACATAAAGTTGATTCCATTAGTACTTTGTTACATAATGTTGATGCCATTGGTACTTTGTTACATAAGGTTGGTGACATTGGTACTTTGTTACATAAAGTTGATTCCATTAGTACTTTGTTACATAATGTTGATGCCATTGGTACTTTGTTACATAAGGTTGGTGACATTGGTACTTTGTTACATAAAGTTGATTCCATTAGTACTTTGTTACATAATGTTGATGCCATTGGTACTTTGTTACATAATGTTGATGCCATTGGTACTTTGTTACATAAGGTTGGTGCCATTGGTACTTTATTACATAAAGTTGATTCCATTAGTACAGGGGTCTCCAAACTACGGCCCGCGGGCCGAATGCGGCCCGCGACGTCCTCTCATCTGGCCCGCGGAGATCTTTTTGTCCATGGAAAAAACGTATGTTGGTGATGGCTGAGGAACTTTGCCCGGAAAAGTCAAAGACATGCCTGAAAGAAACTGGCCCCCGAAATGAAATTTGATAGTTAATGCGGCCCTCGGACTAAAAAGTTTGGAGACCCCTGCATTAGTACTTTGTTACATAATGTTGATGCCATTGGTACTTTGTTACATAAGGTTGATGCCATTTGTACTTTATTACATAAAGTTGATTCCATTAGTACTTTGTTACATAAAGTTGATTCCATTACACTTTGTTACATAATGTTGATGCCATTGGTACTTTGTTACATAAGGTTGGTGACATTGGTACTTTGTTACATAAAGTTGATTCCATTAGTACTTTGTTACATAATGTTGATGCCATTGGTACTTTGTTACATAAGGTTGGTGCCATTGGTACTTTATTACATAAAGTTGATTCCATTAGTACTTTGTTACATAATGTTGATGCCATTGGTACTTTGTTACATAAAGTTGATTCCATTAGTACTTTGTTACAAAATGTTGATTCCATTAGTATTTTGTTACATAATGTTGGAGCCATTGGTACTTTGTTACATAATGTTGGTGCCATTGGTACTTTGTTACATAATGTTGGTGCCATTGGTACTTTGTTACATAAGGTTGGTGCCATTGGTACTTTGTTACATAATGTTGGTGCCATTTCATCCTGTGATAAACAGCGACTCGAAATATATTTCTCAAGTGTAAAGAAACAACTTAGACTTGTGTTTGTAATTTTATTCCAGATATAAAAAACATTAGGCATACATGAAAGATATAGTACAGCATCGACTAACTCTACAGAGAAAAAATATCAATAACAACTCTATTGATGTGATCATTGTAATGTAACATCGATGTTTAAGGTTTTGTTTCTTGTTGTTGGGTAGGCTAGGCTACATCAGTGGCGTTACTCCAGTGGTTTATGTGTGAGACATGTCGTCGGAAGTGACGTCATTAGTTTCCTGTGTACGTGACGTCAGTAGCCACAACCAGGTAACCCTAATAATATGTCATTATTCATATATATATATATATATATATATATATATATATATATATATATATATATATATATATATGCAATTATACATTGACTGTTTCAACCATACCTAGAAACGATTATACTTAACGAACTTTATTTACATTCTAGTATGTGAAAACTTACATTATAAAACGTGAGCTTGGCATTGGTAAACCTGATGTCCTTCACGATGGGTAGGTCTACGCCTTTGTTGGCCAAGTCTGTACAATCAAGAGAAATAAATCAATACTTTTTTCTATTTGATATTTTATATTCGCTCACAGTCAGTGGCGTCGCGAGAGGGGGGGGGGTGCAGACCGCATCGGGTGACACACGACCTAGCTACGCCACTGCTTACAGTACTAACATTTGAAAATTATTCAATCATGAAACTACTTTAAAATACAATCACTATTTCGTAATGCAGGCTAGAACTAAAACACTGCTTCATACATGACGCAGAAATATTTTCTACCACACACCCGTTAAATGCTTCTAATCAATCATGAGATAATGTTTTCAGGAGTTGTGTCCCCTTCATATCAGTCAACTCTCCGGTGTATGAAGGACATAGAAATTGAAAGAAACTTACCATTTAGAGCTGGCTGTACAAAAGTGCTGACCACCCCATTCAGAACTTTATTCAGATTCTCGATCTAGTGGGTAAACAAATTGATTAGTCCACATCTGCTTTAACATCTAAGGCAAGTCAACTGTATATTTTATCAGCTTCTCTGTACCAGTCGAAGTGGGATCTCTCTGATGTAAGGGGCAGTGTAGTCACACCAGTAACCGTCATATCCAACCCGTCTACCAACCCGTCATATCCAACCCGTCTACCAACCTTCTAATGCCAGTTTGAGCTACAGTCAACGAATTCTATACCTCGAATTACATGGGAACAGGGCGTTACTCCCCCCCCCCGGAGGGGGTTATGACGGGGGTGATGTCCGGGGGGGGGGTAATTGAGTGGGCGTGTAATGTACTAGGCCTGAATTACAGACAGTAAATCATAAATCCCGAATAACATACACTAAAACTAACAACCAGTATTACAACCCTACATCTGGAGTACACGCACTAAAGGCAATAAAACAAGCCCCCAACCAATTTTAATTACTTTTCCTACAAAAGTCAAAGCTTCAAGTTTTTGCAAACAACCACTCTAGTCTTGTATGACAGTTCACAGTCACAAGCGAATGTCAGAACATGTATATCTTCACCTTCCTCTCACCTTCTGCCTGGCTAACTTACCTGAGCATCCCCCAAAGTTGACGTGACGTCACTCACTGAAAGACTGGGGACCAGAAAATGAAATTTAAAACAATTTTATACAGGTAAACTTTCAAGTTGAAACGTACTTGTGATGTGAGATTTTTTATCAACATTTTCTGAAATTACAATTTTCTTGTGTGAAACCATTGTCTTGTTTAAAAAAGTACCTATAATGAGCTATATTTCACACCAACGGTCTTGCTTAAAAACTTACCTAAAATCAACTATATTTCCCACCAAAATTTCCTTCTCTATGTGTGCAGTGCCAGACAAAGAGAGAGTCTGCAATATATACATATACAGTTATACACACACACACACACACATATATATATATGTATATATATATATATACATATATATACATATATATATATATATATATATATATATATATATATATATATATATATATATATATATATATATATATATATATATATATATATATATATATATATATATATTAGTTACTTATAGTATAGTTTCGGATATAATGTTTTTGATAGTCATCAAGTAAATAAAATATTTAATTATTAAATTTTCAGATTACTTGAACCAAGTTACAAAGGTCATCAAGCTAATTACAACCAACTTACAAAGTTAATCAAGTTAATTACAACCAACTTACAAAGTTAATCAAGCTAATTACAACCAACTTACAAAGTTAATCAAGCTAATTGCAACCAACTTACAAAGTTAATCAAGTTAATTACAACCAACTTACAAAGTTAATCAAGCTAATTACAACCAACTTACAAAGTTAATCAAGCTAATTGCAACCAACTTACAAAGTTAATCAAGTTAATTACAACCAACTTACAAAGTTAATCAAGCTAATTACAACCAACTTACAAAGTTAATCAAGCTAATTACAACCAACTTACAAAGTTAATCAAGCTAATTACAACCAACTTACAACCAAACAGCTGAGAAAAGTTTGACCTCCAGCGGTGAAGGTCAACTGCCCGTACAGTTTGAGGTCAAGTCCAGAGGTCGTAAACGCAACTTCCGGTGTTTTGGCTGACCTGATGTCTATGGCTATACTTGTGTTGGGATAATTCTCACTCAGCTGAAAACAATCGTGTGAATAGCATGGAGTTTCAATTGATGTCCGATAAATTAAGTTGTGTGAATAGCATTGAGTTAAAAATGATGACCTATAAATTGAGTTGTGTGAATAGCATCGAGTTAGAAATGATGACCTATAAATTGAGTCGTGTGGATAGCGTGTGTTAGGCTACAAATAGTACTAGATTAATGTTAGATGTAGTTGAGCTAATTTCTAAATACGTTGTAAATAAAACATCATATGTTTAAAAAATTAAACAAAATATAAACAAATTAAAATTAAGCTAATATGAAAATTAAGCTAATGAGCTAATTACCGAGTCCAGGATGGAGCCAGCACAAAAGTCACGTGATGAGCAAGTTGTGTCCATGATGTTTCTATCTTTGGCTGCAAGCTGTGGGGGAGGAGGGGGTGGGGGTGTTGACGTTTTTTTATTAGCAAAAGGGAGAGAAGGACGTTTATACTAATCTTCATTAAATCAAAATAGGTTACGTCCCCTTGTTCTTCTTCTCTGAGTGTAAATTATAAATCTTGTTTGTTTACAATTGGTAGTCTTATGATTTTAAGAATGTTTCAATCATCCTTAGTTTCTCTGCACTCGTAAACATAATATAACCATTATGAATGAGCACTCACGCAGAATACTTAAGCTTACTCTCAGGATACATACTTAGACTCTACCATTGTACTTCAACTCTCCCTCACCTACACTCTCTCACAAAATACGTCAATTACTCTACCAGTACTCAGTCTCTCAAACTCTCAAACTATCATTACACATTTTCACACAGTACTCACACTTTCTCTCACGCAGAATATACAACTAATCTACCAATGTTTACAATCTCACATTACTTAAAACAGTGTTTCTTCCGGACTTTTTCTCAGGGGGGGGGGCACTTGAAATTTTTTTAAAATTTTTTTGGGAGGGGCGGACTAAACATTCCGGGGGGGGGGGGGGGAGACACTGTAAAAAGTATATATTTTCTATCACACGTAGTACTTACACTTTGCTTGGTGATGGTGTACTTGAGGAAATCTTTGGACTGCGTGACGTAAGCGGCAGTCTTGGCCGTGTAGTCAGTGACCCAGATGTACAGCATGTTGTCCGTGTAGGGCCAGTCTGGAATCGGTGCTGGGGTCAGTGGTGTGGCCGTCCTGCCGGTCTTAGAGTAGAACTCACCCTGTGAACACCAGCATTAACTTTACTACCAGACCAGCTAGACACGTGGTATACAACCAAATCTCGACACCAATATTGACTTTACTACCAGACCAGCTAGTCACATGGTATACAACCAAATCTCAACACCAATATTGACTTTACTACCAGACCAGCTAGCCACGTGGTATACAACCAAATCTCGACACCAACATTGACTTTACTACCAGACCAGCTAGTCACGTGGTATACAACCAAACCTCAAACTTAAGACAACGGTGTTTGTTTTATTTACACGACAACAAAGTTTCGCTGTCTTTTACCAGAACGTTTTACGTAATGAAACATTGGAAACTACTATAGACTCTTTTCACACAGGTAGGCCTACAACATACAACATACAACTACAACATGCAACTACAACATATAACTACAACAAACAACATAAAACTACAACCTACAACTACAAAATACAGCATACAAATACAACATACAACAACAACATACAACCTACACTGTGACGCGACTCAATGAACTGTGGAGTAAACACCAGAGACTCGGTCAGCTTAAAGTCTAGAGCGAAGAGATCTCCAACATTGGCGCTGGCTGAAATATAGGAAGATTTGTTTTTAAACATGTCTAAAGGTTAGTTGATTACAATGTATCTAGTGACTACTGTGTTCTGATGAAAATCTAAACATATCTAAATTGAAAGACCATCAAAATGGAAATCTAAGCCGACATTGAAAGACAATCAACAAGAAAATCTAAGCGACATTGAAAGACTATCGACATGTAAATCTAAGCCGACATCAAAAGACCATCAACTCACTTTTCATTGTCCTCAACTCTCTGGCGCCGTTCTCATTGACAAATTTCTCCACCAGTTCACAGATCTGGGTGTTAACACATCAACAAAGGCAGGTTACAAAGATGTTACGTACAGGCAAAACATAGTCTAATCACATCAAAAACATACTGAATAACGGCAAAATGCAGGCAATTTCATGTAAAGGCAATTAAAATACAAGTTTTTTGTGTTAGTTATATGACAATGTTCTAAAACACTAGACTACTTGCTAATATGGTAGCAGTTTTAAAGTATAAGGCATACAAATTGACAATGTTTACATGAGACTCAATAGAACTCACTTTATCGCGGATTTTATTTTTGATAGAGTTTTGAAACAGGCCTTTGATGAGATTGTAGAGCCAGGCATTGCCGCCGTGGAATTTGAGATTAAAGTCTCCAATGTTGGCACTACATCCCCGAGATCTCAACAGTGGTTCTTGGTTCCCGTCTAGATCTGGTTGTACAAAACATAACCAACTGTATTTACATCCCAGTTCTAGTCAACAATAGGAGTTTCTCTCGTTTAGTTCATTAACAGACAAAAGATTTCAATTGATACGTAAATTATAAAATATTATTTGACAGTATAATTTTAACAATGTATTTTGCTTACGAAGTTGTAAATCTGTTTAAAATTAAGTAATTCGGACTTCATATTTAACTAGTTGGCAGGGGGGAATGGGGGTTGGTGTGGAGGATATGGAATAGCTCATAATACAAAAAATGATTAAAAATATTATATTTATCATTACGGAAACGGTCTTCAGTTCGTGGTCAGGAAGTCAAATATTTTCGCCGAAAAGTTTAAAATTTGTTTAGAATATGTTCATTTCGTAATGACTTACCTACAGCTAGAGTAAGGGTCAGACTGACCCCAGAGAAACTAGCGGTGGCGCTACCACTGTCACGTATAGTGCTAAAAGTAAAACAATTACATTTGATTACACATTACAGAACGTTTGAGGGCTACAGTACACTGACTCACTCTAACCTCTAGGTCTAAAGGCTGGGAGTAAAGCTAGCGTCATGATAAAACTATTTTGACAAAAACAGTTTTCAACGTGAAAATAAACGTAAGTAGGACATAGAGATTTACATGCACTAGAATAAAGAAACTAGATAAAAGTCCACCATTATTATGTGATGATGACCTACATGACAAGTTGACCTACACGACATGGTGACCTACATGACATGGTGACCTACACGACATCCCAGACTTACAAAAACAAAACCTTCTTCCTGTAGGACCAGTCGAAGTGGATACTGGTGCTGAAGTCTCTCAGGACCCAGGTCAGACCGTTGGTGGACAGACTCATTTGGCTTTGTGGGGGTGTCAGGCTCTCTTTCCTGATGCTGAAACCAAGAAATATATAGTTATACACATATGTCTACACATTCAACATATATCTATATCTATATCTATATCTATATATATATATATATATATATATATATAGGTGTATGTACATATATATATATATATATATATATATATATATATATATATATATATATATATATATATATATATATATATATATATTTATATATATATATATATATATATATATATATATATATACTATATAGATAGGAATAGCATATATGTATATATATATATATATATATATATATATATATATATATATATATATATATATATATATATATATATATATATATATATATATATATAGATATAGATATATATATATTGTGCGATGTTTAACAGGTAGCCTAAAGCTAAGAAACAACTAACAAACAACTAACAAACAACGAACAAACAACTAACAAACAACTAACAAGCTACTAAGAAACAACAAAGAAAACTTTACTTCCTGAGTGAGACCTGGTCATCCCCTTGGTCTGGCAGCTGCAACTTGTCCAGTTCTCTGGCGACCAGACTTTGGGCGACTTGGTTCACTGGAGAGATAAACAAAAACTCTGATTAGACGTGCTCACAACGATCATGGAAATGATGACTTTTGACTAATAAATACAGAACGATTTAAATTACAAAGTAACGTCATCCCGAAAACAAAGAAATCTCCAAAATGAATTCAGAAAATACTAAACTATCCAACTTATTCTGCTTGAACGGATTTAAACCTTAAAGCTAAATTTGCCATTAATTTAGATAACTCTTGCATCGATGGACAACTAACCTGCGTTAAGTCCCTTTTCTGTTAGTCTCGTTTTAACGCCGGGGTTCAGGGATCGAGTCTGAGCCAGGACAAGAAAAAAAATCAGGATCTTTATCGTACACATGTTGGTTGGTCAGCAACGTTGGTGGAATACAGTACACTTGATGGTAAGTACACACTGAAGTTTTCTAAAACGAGAATTTAAATCTTTCAGTCATTTGCAGGTTTACGCTTTGGGATGTTTTTTTTTTTAAATATACAAGTTGACTCGGAATGGGAGAGGGGTAGGGGTAGTGGCTACACCTCAATTTTCCTCCCTAGTTAGGCCCATAGCTATTGAAATATATATTAAGAAATATTAACAAATCATATCACATGTTTAAAAAGCATATTTTAAAAACAAGTTGCGTTAAATTTTTAGACTTAAATTTTCCTAAAATTCTAAAATTCCCTAATTCCTTCAATGATCTCAGAAAAGATCCGGTGCTATTTATATTAAACAAAATAACAAAAGCCTCATCACATAATGCCAAATTTACGTCTAACTTTTTAAAAACTCAAATTTCGTCTTTCACAAAATGCCAAATTTACGTCTAACTTTTTAAAAACTCAAATTTCGTCTTTCACATAATGCCAAATTTACGTCTAACTTGTTAAAAACTCAAATTTCGTCTTTCACAAAATGCCAAATTTACGTCTAACTTTTAAAAATTAATTTCGTCTTTCTGGAGACAACTTACAAAGCGGGTTATGTCCCATGTAGACTCCCAATTCCATGCTGTATATCCTGTATATATAGGGCCCTACACGGAAGCCAAATTGTCAGTGCCGAACGGATGTTGTTGAACCCTGTCTGAATCCTGCATTTGTTCGTACCTGGGTCTATGTTTAACAAAGCTCAAAAGATCCCCCATTCCCCACCAAGTGAACCAGTCTGTTTTTATTTGACCCTGGGCGGTGTAAACAAACATTAGCATGTTAATGCACCTTCTGTCAAGTTGAGGTGGCAGTTGATGAATCACCCCAGCCATACTTACAAAATATTTATTTCACCTTTATGCCTGGTCTGAACACGAGTGGTTTGTATACTTCATGGCCTGTTATTGTATACTTCTTGTGGTGTTATTGTAGATACATTTACACGTGATCGAGAGGTGGGGGCTGTGTGAGTGAAGTATTTGTCACCAGAGTTGAGAAAGTTGAGAGTGTACCTTGGGTGGGCGGGAGTATGTTCTGTTTGTTTACATCCATATTTCTTTTTACCAGACGTCCACACAAGTCACCTAAATTGTAATTATTTTTTTTATTTCCAGGCACAACTGTATATATATATATATATATATATATATATATATATATATATATATATATATATATATATATATATATATATATATATATATATATATTAATGTGTGTGTGTGTGTGTGTGTGTCTATCTATATATATAATTCTCCTCTTCCAGCCGTTAGAAAACAAGCTGCAAACGCTCTCCCTACCTCCCCACCCCTACATGGTTTTAGTGAGCTGTGTTCACTCTAAATGTTTACAAGCAGAGCCAACGATTTTAAACGTAGGGGGGGGGGGGGAAGGAAGGGGGGGGGTTATGGTCCTTAACGAGCTACTTATAGTGTTTTAAAGAAATATTTTCAGTGGCAGCGTTGGTACTGTCGAATTCACAAATTATGAATTACTGAAAAGTAGAAAAAACAACAACTAAATAGCGGCGTATGTTATGCCGCGGGCCGGCTCGTATGTATATATTGTTACGCACTTCTTGTCCGTAACAGTCTGGTATAGTCTAAGTCTATAGGCATGACGCAAGCGTCACAACTCACTACATACATGGGCTAACCCAGCAGTGGCTATCACTGCCCCCCCCCCCTCTCCGCTAGTGTTAACGAGTACAATGGTCCCATGGGCGGATATCTTCTTGTGTGTTTTCCCAAGTTTAATTCCCAGGTCAGGTCAGATTAACCTCACTCAGGTCACCTCAGGTCAATTACACTACCCTGTATACACCTAAATGTGACATGAACTGTGCTACGGAATTAATGCCTAACCCGTTCAGCGGGGGAGATAATCCACATGGCCTCAATATAAATAAATACACACACACACACTCACACACACACATACATATATATATATATATATATATATATATATATATATATATATATATATATATATATATATATATATATATATATATAACACGGACTTACAATGGTCTTAATCCCTCAAAAATTATAAATTTCGTACTTTGGAAAAGTTAAAAAGCACACAAAGATACCCCATAAAGATTACTTAACGCCTCGCCACACATAAATAAGCCTTAACGCCTGTCTAAATTAATTACTTGTCAAAGTTAGACAGATGCATTATTTTGTAGTTGGAAATTGAGGAAAGGGGGGGGGGGGCGGAGGGAGGGGATAGTAACGCCGTGTGGGGCGCTCGTGGGTAATTAAAACCGTGGTAATTAAAACCGGTGTAATTTTCTAGACGTTAGAGAAATACGACATTGCTCCCGGCGACCAAAGTACGACATTTCTAATGGTAGGTAAAGTACGACGTTTCTAATGGTGGGTAAAGTACGACATTTCTAATGGTGGGTAAAGTACGACATTTCTTACGGTGGGTAAAGTACGACATTTCTAACGGTGGGTAAAGTTCGACATTTCTAATGGTGGGTAAAGTACGACATTTCTTACGGTGGGTAAAGTACGACATTTCTAACGGTGGGTAAAGTTCGACATTTCTAATGGTGGGTAAAGTACGACATTTCTTACGGTGGGTAAAGTACGACATTTCTAATGGTGGGTAAAGTACGACATTTCTTACGGTGGGTAAAGTACGACATTTCTAACGGTGGGTAAAGTTCGACATTTCTAATGTGGGTAAAGTACAACATTTTTATTGGTGGGTAAAGTACGACATTTCTAATGGTGGGTAAAGTACATTTCTTACGGTGGGTAAAGTGCGACATTTCTAATGGTGGGTAAAGTACGACATTTTAATTGGTGGGTAAAGTTCGACATTTCTAATGGTGGGTAAAGTCCGACATTTCTAATGATGGGTAAAGTACAACATTTTAATGGTGGGTAAAGTACGACATTTTAATGGTGGGTAAAGTACGACATTTTAATGGTGGGTAAAGTCCGACATTTCTAATGGTGGGTAAAGTACGACATTTTTATTGGTGGGTAAAGTACGACATTTCTAATGGTGGGTAAAGTACGACATTTCTAATGGTGGGTAAAGTACGACATTTCTAACGGTGGGTAAAGTACGACATTTCTAATGGTGAGTTCAATTTAATTTTTTTAAAAGTTCACATCATCCTTTATACAACCTAGTTATAAAACAGCTTTAATTGCGTTATTTTTAACCTTTATTTATAATCCACACCGACTTACACTGGATTAGTAATAGAGGTAAATAGATAGGCGGATGTAGATCTACACGACAAAAAATCCTGGGCTTTTGGTTTCAATTAAATAACAGAACATCCTGTTCATTTATATTAGTGCATTTTTTTTTATTTGCGCAGTTTTAATCTCAGACTTTATGGACATAGCAAAAAAGTTTATTTATTTTAGTCCAAAAGTTTTTTCAAAATTGCGCAGTTTTAAATTGGGACTTATGGAATTTAGAACTCGAGTAAACACACGAACGGTTTTTTTCTTAACTTATTTTAAATACAGAATAAGACAGATTAGGACGGCCAGTTTTCAGCATACTAATTAATTAACATAATTAATACACCGAGCCATGGCGCGGTAATTCAATTGATTCGACGCGGCTGCCGAGCCACACTAATTACATCTGACTAATTATAATAGTGCAATAATTAGTGGGGTTTTTTTTTTAATTTAAAGTAAACGTTTAGTAGATATTTAAATGTAATTTCAACTGTATTTAGTTAATATTTTAATGAAGTATAAATTTCAGTGTCTGTTAAATGCTTGACAAAAATAAATTTAAAAAAAAAACCAATTACACATCGGTTGTACTGTGCTAAACCCATAAACTCTTGAACAAATTGAGTAACAGATAAAGTTTTGTACTGTGCTAAACCCATAAACTCTTGAACAAATTGAGTAACAGATAAAGTTTTGTACTGTGCTAAACCCATAAACTCTTGAACAAATTGAGTAACAGATAAAGTTTTGTACTGTGCTAAACCCATAAACTCTTGAACAAATTGAGTAACAGATAAAGTTTTGTACTGTGCTAAACCTATGAACTCTTGAACAAATTGTGTAACAGATAAAGTTTAAAAATATAATTATTACGTACATTGTTTTTCTTATTGGCTCCCATTTAATACAACGTATGAAGCTGTCATATAGGCCATATAACACCTATGACTCCTATATTTGTTACCTTGATTAAAACGATACAATTTTACCTGTTAAAATTTGAATCTATGTTCAAATTAACATTTTTATCTCGTATTATCGATATCATTTTTTAAATTAGTCTTTTTATATTTTTATATATTACTTAATGCCTTGCATAAGGATTTGATATTTCAAAAACTGATCGATTATATTGGAGCATGTGAATTTATGTTCGATAACCAACTAAGTTAAGTAGATTTAACTTAAACTTATTTTTTGAAGCCAGCAGTTAGTTGATAATTGTAAAAAATTTTATCCAATATTTAGAAAAAATAATTATTGTATACACGTTCTGTCATGTAGGTTAAAATTGTTGGTATTTATTTTTTATATCTATTTATTGTCTGTTTTATTAGTAAAACATAAACCATAATATTGTAAAATAAAATATCGTTGCCCTCTATAAACAGCTAAATACTTTAGTTGGTCGTCCGGATGAACCTCAGTGGTCTGGGGTGCAGGCTTCAAACCTGTAGCCGACTAACGTCGGAGTGGTTCAATTCCACCTTCCGGGCGATGAGTGCTGGATATCTACTTTTGCTGAGTGAGTCTATCAGAGTGTCAATAACTCTGATTTCTGTACACAGCTGTCTGATAATCCAGAGGTAAAATATTTCTAACACTTTTAAACATAGGTGCAGTTAATCAGTACTTGATGTATGTCTAGCTAGGGAATGTTGACTGCAAACAGCGTCAATTTATACTTTTATTTTACTCATCTATCAGCCAATATGTAGGCCTACTTCCAAGTCGACAGATGCATTGTTAAGTTCAATATTACGAAAATAAACAAGTAGATTTCACACAACGTTTGTAATTAAACGAACATTGAAACTAAACTAAAATACTTTTCTTTGACTGAGCTTTTGAAATGTAAAAATGGGAACTTCAAGTCGAATGTCAATGACAGCCATCAAACAAATAGCGCCGAAAACTCATTTCTTTAGGTACGCGTGTTGTGGTGTATTGCATCTGAATATATGTCCATTTTCCTATGGGTTCATTGTTAAATGTGTTTAAAGTAGATAGTGGTATACATTTGGTATTATTTAGTATTATTTTGCTTTTTGTTGAATTAATTTGGTTATATTTTAAAGTTTAACTGACAAACATATTTACTACTAAATAATGCAACGTGGAATAATTTTTTTCTCTTCTATTTTTCTTTATTTCATGGACAATTTCAACTCTATATAAATCTCAGTAGAGTGGAACTCCGTGTAGTCTAACGCCAAACAATTTTATCCGTGTGAGTATATGGTACAACATTGTTAGCCATTCCTTGACATCTTCATCAATGTTCATTTCATAGGAAGTGACGTCATTGCTTTCATGTGAATATGGCGTCAGTTGCCACTAGCAGGTAACCCTGACAATTTTGGTCATAAATGAATAATAAGATTATATATAAGTATATATATAAGTATATATATATATATATATATATATATATATATATATATAAACATATATATATATAAATAAATAAATAAATAAATAAATATATATATATATATATATATATATATATATATATATATATATATATATATGTGTGTGTGTGTGTGTGTGTCTTTACGGTTGGAGCAGAGTATTAGAGCCCAAGACTGTAGATTTACACCCATTCTCTAATGTGAAAACTTACATTATAAAATGTATGTATGGTATTTGAACTTAAATTACAAAATGTGAGTCTGGTAAATTTACATTATCAAAAAAAGTGAGACTGGTAAACTTACATTACAAAATGTGAGTCTTGTAAACTTACATTATAAAATGTGAGTCTGATATTTGAACTTACATTATAAAATGTGAGTCTGGTAAACTTACATTATAAAATGTGAGTCTGCTATTGGAACTTACATTATAAAATGTGAGTCTGCTATTGGAACTTACATTATAAAATGTGAGTCTGCTATTGGAACTTACATTATAAAATGTGAGTCTGCTATTGGAACTTACATTATAAAATGTGATTCTGCTATTTGAACTTACATTATAAAATGTGATTCTGCTATTTGAACTTACATTATAAAATGTGATTCTGCTATTTGAACTTACATTATAAAATGTGATTCTGCTATTTGAACTTACATTATAAAATGTGAGTCTGCTATTGGAACTTACATTATAAAATGTGATTCTGCTATTTGAACTTACATTATAAAATGCGAGTCTGCTATTACATTATAAAATGCGAGTCTGCTATTTGAACTTACATTATAAAATGCGAGTCTGCTATTGGAAAACTTGACACCTTTAGGGATGGGAAGGTCAACTCCCTTCCTGGCTAGATCTATAGAGCATACACAATTATAAACTTTGATCGTCATAGAAATAATTTTTTCAATAAAAGATCCGCCTCCCTCAATAATATATGAATGAATATATACTGTTCTGTCTAGAAGAATGGTTCAATAATTACCTTCCCCTGACGCATACATGAATGAAAACTGAATATTTAGGTTTACAACATTGAAACTTACCATTTAGAGCGGGCTGTACAACAGTTCTGACAAGGCGATTGGCAACTACATTTAGCATGAACATCTAGTGAAAAAAACAACTGTATCAAGTAGCAAACCAACAACAACAACAACTGTATCAAGTAGGCCTACACCAAATCAAAAACAACAACTGTATCAAGTAGCTTCCCCAAAACAACAACAACAACAACAACAACTGTATCAAGTAGGTAACCCAAAGCAACAACAACAACTGTATCAAGTTGCTTCCCCAAAACAACAACAACAACAACAACAACTGTATCAAGTAGGTAACCCAAAGCAACAACAATAACTGTATCAAGTAGCTACCCCAAACCAACAACAGCAACAACAACAACTGTATCAAGTAGCTTCCCCAAACCAACAACAACAACAACTGTATCAAGTAGCTACATCAAACCAACAACAACAACTGTAGCAAGTAGCTACACCAAACCAACAACAACAACTGTATCAAGTAGCTACACCAAACCAACAACAACAACTGTATCAAGTAGCTACACCAAACCAACAACAACAACTGTATCAAGTAGGTACACCAAACCAACAACAACAACTGTATCAAGTAGCTACACCAAACCAACAACAACAACTGTATCAAGTAGCTTCCCCAAACCAACAACAATAACTGTATCAAGTAGGTAGGCCTACACCAACAACAACAACAACTGTATCAAGTAGCTAACCCAAAGCAACAACAATAACTGTATCAAGTAGCTACCCCAAACCAACAACAACAACTGTATCAAGTAGCTACACCAAACCAACAACAACAACTGTATCAAGTAGCTACATCAAACCAACAACAACAACTGTATCAAGTAGGTACACCAAACCAACAACAACAACTGTATCAAGTAGCTACATCAAACCAACAACAACAACAACTGTATCAAGTAGGTACACCAAACCAACAACAACAACTGTATCAAGTAGCTACACCAAACCAACAACAACAACAACTGTAGCAAGTAGCTACACCAAACCAACAACAACAACAACTGTATCAAGTAGCTACACAAAACCAACAACAACAACTGTAGCAAGTAGCTACACCAAACCAACAACAACAACAACTGTATCAAGTAGCTACATCAAACCAACAACAACAACAACTGTATCAAGTAGCTACATCAAACCAACAACAACAACTGTATCAAGTAGCTACATCAAACCAACAACAACAACTGTATCAAGTAGGTAGGCCTACATCAAACCAACAACAACAACAACTGTATCAAGTAGCTACACCAAACCAACAACAACAACTGTATCAAGTAGCTACATCAAACCAACAACAACAACAACTGTATCAAGTAGCTAACCCAAACCAACAACAACAACTGTATCAAGTAGGTAGGCCTACATCAAACCAACAACAACAACAACTGTATCAAGCACCAAACCAAGAACAACAAGTGTATCAAGTAGCTATACCAATCCAACAACAACAGCTGTATCAAGTAGATAGGCCTACATCAAACCAACAACAACAACAACAACTGTATCAAGTAGCTTCCCCAAACCAACAATAACAAGTATATTATTTTTAGCGACCAACAGGACCAACAAAAATAGCGACAACAATAACAACAACAATAACAACAACAATAGCAACAACAATAACAACAACAATAACGGCTGTACTCGTTAAGCACATCCAGCTAACAATAAAAAAAACGACATCAACAACAACTGTATCAAGTAGGTAAGCTATATAACAACTAACCCGATATGCTTGTTGTCAATAAATTGCTTTGTAAGTTGTACAGCGATTTTAATGATAGAGATTTATTTTTGGAAGACTTTTCCATCTCAGTAGATAAAAATTATGATTTATTTCTTCTTGTAAGAAAAGTGAAAAACTTAAAGGTTTCACCTGGCTACAGTTGACTGATTCTAGTGTGAGTGTAAACGTGTATGTTTAACCTGGCTACAGTTGACTGATTCTAGTGTGAGTGTAAACGTGTATGTTTAACCTGGCTACAGTTGACTGATTCTAGTGTGAGTGTAAACGTGTATGTTTAACCTGGCTACAGTTGACTGATTCTAGTGTGAGTGTAAACGTGTACGTTTAACCTGGCTACAGTTGGCTGATTCTAGTGTGAGTGTAAACGTGTATGTTTAACCTGGCTACAGTTGACTGATTCTAGTGTGAGTGTAAACGTGTATGTTTAACCTGGCTACAGTTGACTGATTCTAGTGTGAGTGTAAACGTGTATGTTTAACCTGGCTACAGTGAGTATACAAATGTAAGAGACCTTACAGATTTACCAGTAACACTTACATAGACACGGTTCATGGGCGGTGAGGCTTCAGATACTGTAAGACTGGGGAATAAAAAGACCAATAATACGTGGCTAAGAATACATGATCTGTGTTGTTTACAGACATTTTCTCCGGGGCGGGGGGGGGGGGGGGGCATAGATTTGGGGGTACTTGAAACTAAAAACATTTGGGGAAGCGGGACAGGCATAAATTTCCCAGGGAAAGGAGGGGGGGGGGGGGGGAGAACACTCGGTCAACAATATATTTTCTTTATAAATTCTCTTTCGTTCAATGGAAAGGGGGAATATGCTTGAATGTGTGATCAATCGTCCTGTTGAATTAAAGAGTAGCCCAAGACAAACTAGTCGGACATTTTTTGGTGTAAATCATACACTCATAAATCATTCGCCAGATCTGTTATAAAATATATATGATGTCAGCTACAACACATACCTTATATCAGCTATAACACCTATCTATAACACATAACTTATCAGCAACAGCACATTTTATATCAGCTACAACACTTAATTAATAGATCTACAACACATACCTTAAATCATCTACAACACATACCTTATATCAGCTATAACACTTACCTTATATCAGCTACAACACATACCTTATATAGCTATAACACATACCTTATATAGCTATAACACATACCTTATATCAGCTACAACACATACCTTATAACAGCTACAACACATACCTTATATCAGATATAACACCTATCTAATATAGCTACAACACATACCTTATAACAGCTACAACACATACCTTATATCATCTACAACACATACCTTATATCATCTACAACACATACCTTATATCATCTACAACACATACCTTATATCATCTACAACACATACCTTATATCATCTACAACACATACCTTATATCATCTACAACACATACCTTATATCATCTACAACACATACCTTATATCAGGTAAAACACATACCTTATATCAGTTACAACACATACCTTATATCAGCTACAACACATACCTTATATCAGCTACAACACATACCTTATATCAGTTATACTTCCAATGAGCTTTTCATTTTCTACTTGTGCAGTGCCCGACAGAGACAGAGTCTACAAGTTATGATAGATATGATCTATGCATGTTCAGAGGCGTATATATATATATATATATATATATATATATATATATATATATATATATATATATATATATATATATATTTTTTTTTTTATTTTTTATTTATTTATATATATATATACGTAAGCCTATATATTTATATTAATAACACAACAATATACTATTATTCATTAACTACGTGTAACTTTATGAAGTGAATGATGAGTTTTACAGTATTAAAATGAACTTAAAACGCCATCAAAGTAATTACAAATTAACTACAACACCAACTTACAACCAACAAACAAAGTTAATCAAGCTAATTACAACCAACAAACAAAGTTAATCAAGCTAATTACAACCAACTTACAAAGTTAATCAAGCTAATTACAACCAACAAACAAAGTTAATCAAGCTAATTACAACCAACAAACAAAGTTAATCAAGCTAATTACAACCAACAAACAAAGTTAATCAAGCTAATTACAACCAACAAACAAAGTTAATCAAGCTAATTACAACCAACAAACAAAGTTAATCAAGCTAATTACAACCAACAAACAAAGTTAATCAAGCTAATTACAACCAACAAACAAAGTTAATCAAGCTAATTACAACCAACAAACAAAGTTAATCAAGCTAATTACAACCAACTTACAACCAAACAGCTGAGAAAAGTTTGACCTCCAGCGGTGAAGGTCAACTGCCCGTACAGTTTGAGGTCAAGGCCAGAGGTTGTAAACGCAACTTCCGGTGTTTTGGCTGACCTGATGTCTATGGCCACACTTGTGTTGGGATAATTCTCACTCAGCTGAAAACAATCGTGTGAATAGCATGGAGGTTTTTATTGTCCGATAAACTGTTGTTGTGTGAATAGTATCAAGTTATAAATGATATCAGTTTAATTAGAATTGTAAGAATAGTTTCAAGTTATAAATTATATCAGATAAATTAGAGTTGTATGAATAGTAGCAAGTTATAAACGCTATCAGATAAAATAGAGTTGTGTGAATAGTATCAAGTAATAAATGGAGTCCAATAAACTGTAGTTGTGTAAATAGTTACAATTTGTCAATAGCACTATTTGCGTGATGAACAATGATTGATTAACGTATTTAGATTAAAATAATTACCTGATCAATGAAAGCACCGACACAGGTTTCATCAGATGGGCAGGTGGTATCCAAGATAGATCTACTTTCGGCAGGTAACTACGGGGGAATGACAAGATATATTGTTTCAAAGATAATTCTACGACAGGTATTTGCTGGGTAATAACAAGATAGATTGTTTCAAAGATAATTTTACGGCAGGTATTTGCTTGGTAATAACAAGATAGATTGTTTCAAAGATAATTCAAAGATAATTCTACGGCAGGTAACTGCGGGGTTATAACAAGATAGATTGTTTTAAAGATAATTCTACGGCAGGTATTTGCTTGGTAAAAACAAGATAGATTGTTTCAAAGATAATTCAAAGATAATTCTACGGCAGGTAACTGTGGCTGTAGGGTTATAGAAAGATAGATTGTTTCAAAGATAATTCTTCGGCAGGTATCTGCAGGGTAATAACAAGATAGATTGTTCCAAAGATAATTCAAAGATAATTTTACGGCAGGTATCTGCAGGGTAATAACAAGATACATTGTTTCAAAGATAATTCTAGTGTCCGCTCAAATGGTTCACTCACCCACCAAGTACTTACATTTCATCACATAACAATTACACTTTCTCACAAATTATACACATTCTCTTACACAGTAATTACACTCACAAATTACTTATACACTCTCAAAAGTACTTAAACTCTCACGCACTACACACATTTTTCTAACAATACTCACACCCTCTCACACAGTTGCCTACTTACCGTCTGCTTGGTGATGGTGTACTTGAGGAAATCTTTGGACTGCGTGACGTAAGCGGCAGTCTTGGCCGTGTAGTCAGTGACCCAGATGTACAGCATGTTGTCCGTGTAGGGCCAGTCTGGAATCGGTGCTGGGGTCAGTGGTGTGGCCGTCCTGCTGGTCTTAGAGTAGAACTCACCCTGTGGACACCAACATTGACCATTAGCTGTACACCAAGACCAGCTACGTCATTGTACTGCGCATACAACTACATCTCATACTCAGCACAACGTGCTTGTTATTTCTGATTTAGGATCTCCTATCAGTGCAAATTTAACGTAGTCAAATTTTAACCTTTTATTTACAGAATAAAATCTGCACTGTATGTTGGTTTATACTAGAGGTTTGTTTACTCTATAGGTTATGTTGGAGGCTGCATATTTTATTAGTCAAGCGACGCGAGTACAATATACATCTACAATATACAACTATGACGTACACTTGACGTGACTCTATGAACATACAACATACAACTACAAGATACAAAGCACAACTGCGACATACAAGATACACCATACAATATACTACATACAACTACATCGTACAACATACAACATACAAAATACAAGGTACTACATCAACATACATCTACAACATACAACAATAACTGTACAAAATACAACATACAACAAACAACATACAACTACAACATACAACTACAACATACAACTACAACATACAACTACAACATACAACAACAACATACAACCTACACTGTGACGTGACTCTATGTACTGTGGAGTAAACACCAGAGACTCGGTCAGCTTAAAGTCTAGAGCGAAGAGATCTCCAACATTGGCGCTGGCTGAAACATAGGAAGATCTGTTTTTAAACATGTAAACAGGTTAGTTGAATATAACTAAAATGTATGGCTGAAACATAGGAAGATCTGTTATACATGGCAACGATCACTTCGTTAATCGGTGGATATGAATGTGTGAGTCTCTTAAGTGTTTAATTAAGCTGGTTGAAAAGACTGACAAGAACCACATTCCTATGTAAATGTCTAACTTGTGTGAGTGTAAGACAACAAAGTGACTCCACTCACTTCTCATCGTCCTCAACTCTCTGGCGCCGTTTTCATTGACAAACTTCTCCACCAGTTCACAGATCTGGGTGTTAACACATGGACAATGGGAGATCACATTATTTCATTCACACATTGTTAGATACATGCAAAAACACATGTCACATGGGAGATCACATGATTTCATTCACACATTGTTAGATACATGCAAAAACACATGTCACATGGGAGATCACATGATTTCATTCACACATTGTTAGATACACGCAAAAACGCATGTCATATGGGCGATCACGTTATTTAATTGAGACCTTGCTAGATACATGCAAAACACATGTCAAAATCTTAGTAGGCCAAATACAAAAAACATGTCACATAGAAAAATATGTGTTGGCCAAATACAAAACGTATTTAGACCACAAGTTAGCGTGGACCAAATACATATGAAGTAAACAAATAATGCTTAATTACCTCTGATTATTTGATATGGAACATTATGCGAGACAAAATTGATTATGGACTAGGTGTTGGCTTATTTGAATGTGGGTTATGGAGTTAAAGCGTTTTTTTTTTGTGTGTTTAAATCACTGTCTCCACTTTACAAGCTAAGCGGTCTGAATATTTAACTGATGACACAGACAATCAAATCACCTTTCTCGTGCTCAAGCGAGATCAACTTAAACCAACCTTGTCACGGATTTTATTTTTCAAAGATCTTTGAAACAACCCTTTGATGATGTTGTAGAGCCAGGCATTGCCGCCGTGGAATCTGAGATTAAAGTCTCCGATGTTGGCACTACATCCCCGAGATCTCAACAGTGGTTCTTGGTTCCCGTCTAGATCTGGTTGTAAAAATTAAAGACTTTATTTATCTCATTATACTATTTTGACTTAACAATGATATGTTTTCATCCTCTCTACATAAAAGTCACGTGTATGTTTTATGACTACTCACCCACAGCTAAGGTCACGGTCACGCTGACCCCTCTAAATGTAGCACTGGCTCTCCCACTGTCACGCACTTTACTGAAATTAAAATTAAAACAGCGAAAGGTGATCACTTTACACAGTGTTTCTAGGCTACTCATCAATACTACTCACTAGGTACACTTTGTGAACACTCTGGGGACACACTATGGGATAGAGAAACACTTTGGGAACACACACTTTAGAAACACACACTTCAGGGACTCACACGTTGGGAACACCCACTTTGGGAGAACACAATTTGGGAACACACAGTTTGGGAACACCCACTTTAGGAACACCCACTTTGGGAACACCCACTTTAGGAACACCCACTTTGGGAACACCCACTTTGGGAACATTTTAGGAACTTATACTCTTGGCACACACACTTTAGGAACACACACTTTAGAAACACACACTTCAGGGACTCACACGTTGGGAACACCCACTTTGGGATCCCCCACTATGGGAACACACACTTTGGGAACACACACTTTGGGAAAACAGACTTTGAGAATACATATTTTGGGAAAAACCCCTTTGGGAACACACCCTTTGGGAACAAACAATTGGGAACACACACTTTGGGAACACACACTTTGGAACACACACTTTGGGAACACACGTAACACAAGGGGAACACATGGGGCACACAATGAAGAACACACAAGGAACACACAGGGAACCAGGGAGTAGACCAGCAACACAACACATAGACGTGTGTAACTTACGCGAACCAAACTTTCTTCTGGTAGGACCAATCAAACGCGACACTTAGGCTGAAGTCTGTCAAAGTCCAGGTTAGACCGGTGGGTCCAGGACTCATGTGGCTGTGTGGGGGTGTCAGGCTCTCTTTTCTCATGCTGGACAACCGCGCAGAAATACATACAATATATATATATATATATATATATATATATATATATACATATATATATATATATTTATATATATATATATATATATATGTATATATATATATATATATATATATATATATATATATATATATATATATATATATATATATATATATGTATATATATATATATATATATATATATATATATATATATATATATAAAGTTGGTGTGTAAATCTGTCTGTTTGTATGTATATATAACGTCAAATAATGCCAAATAGACGAATTAACAGTCGACAAAAAAAAACATGTAAAAGATTTTACTTTCTGACTGAAACCTTTCCGTCTTGATCTGGCAACTTCAACTTGTCCAGTTCTCTGGCCACAAGACTTTGGGCAACTGAGTTCACTGGGGTACAAAGACAATGTGTGTTGAACCATGATTTAAATGGTGTGCTCGATTTTCACACTAATAACTTTTTAATATTATAAAAAAAAACATTTGCAAAACGAGTTTCTAAAGAGTTTGTGTAACTTGTCTTCACATTTTGAAATCAAATTAATTATATTTGTTTAATGGTTGCTATGAAAACATAACTCTTGCATGAATGAATTTCTTCACCTGCGTTAAGTCCCTTGTCTGTTAGTCTCATCTTCACGCCGGGGTTCAGGGATCGAGTCTGGCCCAGGACAAGGAGGAAGATCAGGATCTGATACATGATGCTCAGCAGCCCTGCTAGTGGTGGCGTTCGTGGTCTGGGGGTCAGTATAATAGTAGGGTGTGAGGGTCAGTACAAAGGTGGGGGGGTCAGTACAATAAGAGGGTGTGGGGGGGGGGGGGGGGGGGGGGCAGTACAATGTATTCCGACCACACTCCGTGGGTTGAAATTTCTTGTGATTTCTACAACGAAAAAACATTAACACATATAAGTAAGATCCGAATAAGAACAATAACACCACGCTACTGACCTCACAAAGAATCTAAAATCTGCCTCTTACAAGACCTACAGTATCGTCCTCTGATGTAAAACAACACATCTAATATAAGCGTGTGTGTATGAGTAGGACCAAAAAGTTAACGGTCAGTGTTAACCGGATGTGTGACGCAACACTCACGGATGTACGCACTACAGAAGAATGGGGTGAGTTGGTGCTACTCTTCATGCTAGGAAAATGGTATAGAAAAAAAAAAGAGGGAGGGGGGGGGGGGTGGGGGCGAGGAGTGGTTCTAAGACAACTACCATAAATATAGATCCCCAAAAGGCTCACTTTCAATATATATATATATATATATATATATATATATATATATATATATATATATATATATATATATATATATATATATATATATATATATATATATATATATATATATATATATATATATATATATATATATATATATATATATTCAGTGGCGGAACTAGAAACAAAGGGCCACCCCGCAAAAAAAAAAAAAAAAACTCTCCCCCCCCCCCCTATATATTTTAACATTTCATATAATTATTAGCTCCCTTTATACTTAAGAAATTAGATGGATTGAGTCCCCTTAGATATTTTGTCCAGAAATAGTTTTTACATTGTCATCTTCTGCTATCCTTATCAGGAATATTTAAGTGAGTTTTTATGAATAGACTTATTTTCGACAGTTAAAAAAATAAGCGTCAAATGTTGATGGTCGCAGAAATATTCATATGTCTGCAGCTGACCATTTTAAAATCAGCACGCTGACCCTACCCCCCCCCCCCCCCCCCCCACCCCTCCGGTTTGCCTTCTTGTAACTGCCCTCCCTAGGCGCATGCACTTTTGTCTGAACGAAGTTTCCTAATGCTCACGCCAGGCCTGCTTGACAGTTTCCGACTTCCGCTGGCTTTGCACAGCTGTTTCCGGTCTCGGTTAAATTGTTGTTTATCCTCGTCGTAACATTAAGAAGAAAACTTCACAGGTTTGTTTCGTAAAACGTTTTTTTATGAATTTTTTTAATGAATTTTTACTTTCAATAAACAATATTAAATATAGTAAACAATACCATATGACAGTCAATAAAATTTTTTTTAGATCAACTAAAATCATCGTACATACTATTATTATTTTGCTGTGAGATATTTTGTCTGAGATATTTTGTCCAGAGATCATTTGTCCTCAGATCATTTGTCCTCAGATCATTTGTCCTCAGATCATTTGTCCTGAAATAATTTTATTTGTCCTGAGATCATTTGTCCTGAAATAATTTTATTTGTCCTGAGATCATTTGTCCTGAGATCATTTGTCCTCAGATCATTTGTCTGATATCATTTGTCCTGAGATCATTTGTCCTCAGATCATTTGTCCTCAGATCATTTGTCCTGAGGTAATTTAATTTGTCCTGAGATAATTTGTCCTGAGATATTTTGTCCAGAGATCATTTGTCCTCAGATCATTTGTCCTGAGCTCATTTGTCCTGAAAAAATTTTATTTGTCCTGAGATCATTTGTCCTGAGATCATTTGTCCTGAGATCATTTGTCCTGAGATCATTTGTCCTGAGGTAATTTAATTTGTCCTGAGATCATTTGTCCTGAGATCATTTGTCCTGAGATCATTTGTCCTGATATCATTTGTCCTGAGATCATTTGTCCGTGAGGTATTTTGTCTGAGATCATTTGTCCTGAGATCATTTGTCCTGAGATCATTTGTCCTGAGATCATTTGTCCTGAGATCATTTGTCCTGAGATCATTTGTCCTGAGATCATTTGTCCTGAGCTCATTTGTCCTGAGATCATTTGTCCTGAGATCATTTGTCTTGAGATAATTTAATTTGTCATGAGATCATTTGTCCTGAGATCATTTGTCCTAAGGTCATTTGTCCTGAGATCATTTGTCCTAAGATCATTTGTCCTAAGATCATTTGTCCTGAGATCATTTATCCTGAGATCATTTGTCCGTGAGGTATTTTGTCTGAGATCATTTGTCCTGAGATCATTTGGCATGGAACCAATTTACTATACCAAAAATGTCCTGTTTATTTGAGGTTCGTTTTTTACACTTACCCAGACTCATGTCAACTCTCTACGTGACATGCAATAGCCATTTAAGTAATTAATTAAATCTTCAGTTTTAAAAGCATTAAAATAAGACTTATATACAAGTAAACCATTTTCAATGAATGAAAGTTCATGTGAGAAAAAATTATTACATTTGGAAATCGGTATCAGTCCTCACCAGCCGATGATGAAAACTGTAATACTAAAGTGAACATTGCAAGGCAACCAGACTTTCTACATTACATGCCTGAGGCAAACAAAAAATGAAGAAAAACATATTTTCAGTAATAAAATGATATTAGATAGACAGACTGTATTTAGATAGATAGGCCGGCTAAATATAAAATGATATTAGATAGACAGAATGTATTTAGAATGATAGGCCGGCTTAAAATGATATTAGATAGAATGTATTTAGAAAGATAGGCCGGCTTAAAATAAAATGATATTAGATAGACAGATTGTATTTAAATAAATAAATAGAACGAGTTTTTAAAAGACAGGTATTTAGGGACTAACTAAGCCTTGTAATTAAAACGATTTTTTTTGTTCAATTGCTTAAAAATCTTATTATAGTAAAATTATGTCTAAAAATAATTGCGCAACAAATGAATACAATGTGTATAGTATTTTAAATAGGTAATTTTAATTTATTATTTAAATATCAAGCAAGCATCCAATTAAGTGTAAGTCAAAAGCGATGCTACATTGCATCGTCATCGTGCTAAGTTTAAAGAAAATTGGTCTGTTAGAAGTGGTCGAAATTTTGCTCGCAGGTTTCGACTCACCACAAACAAAACACTAAGCGCTAAGTACAACAGAGAAAGTTAAATAAAAGCTTGTAAAAAACGCATTGTATTTAAAATGTATGTTTAAATAAAGGTACAGAAGTATCCTCCTTTCCTCTTCCATTCCCCCTCCCCCACCCAGAATTTTAAAAAAACTCACCGATGAAATTCGCGTTAATCAAACCTTGCACCAATTTTTTGAAAGTTTGTGATACATCATGTACCTGGGGAATAAATAATTTATACATCCGAATTTTGTCTTATACTGAACCTTAAGATGGAGAGTGATATAGGCTACTCTTGTAATTAATTAAATCAGATTTACTTCAATGGTAGCTGTCGCCGTTGGTTTAGGATAAACATCAACTCTGAAATTTTGAATAAAAATATATTTTTTTTAGAATGACACACTAAAATAATCCAAGGTCGTAAATGCAATTTTTGTATTCGTTCTATTCATGCTTACGTTAGACTGATAACAGCTTATAAAATATGAATTGAAACAATAATCAACATAACATCTATCTATGACGGTGTATCCTCTTAAACAATTGGAGTGCGTGGCCTAGCGGTGGAGCGCTAGACTGCTAACCCGATAGTGTCCCGTTCGAATCTGGGTTAAAGTTTATCAGGAGGTCCCTGAGTCCTCCCAGCTCTGATGGGTACCCAACTCACGTTAGGGAGAGTAAAGGCGGCTGGGCATAGTGCTGACCACACTATCCCATTTTATGCCGAGGCCAAGAAACATATGAACTCAACTTCATCTGCCAAATAGATCGTTAGGTCAAAAGAGGAATCTTTACTTTGTCTGCTTCAACAGTTATACATCTACTCGCGTGTGCCCGAGTAAGGTGCCATTGATTTTTCCATCATGAATAGTTGCTGTCAGATTTACAAGCACATCCTTACAGTAGAAAAAAAAACGTGGATTTTTTTATCAGAGAAAAATTCATTGAGTCCATTGATACGTAAAATACGATGTAGGCCTACGAGGATTCTAAAATTATGCAGAACCATAAAACAGGGACGGAATGGTCTAGCGGTAGAGAGTTGGAATGCTAACCCGTAAGTCTCGAGTTTGAATCCGGGTTCAAGTCGGTAGACCGTCCCTGAGTCCACCCAACTCTGATGGGTACCTAACTCACGTTAGGGAGAGTAAAGGCGGCTGGGTATAGTGCTGACCACACTATCTCTTCATATGCCGAGGTCACAGAAACAAGTGAACTCTACTTCCCTTTCCCCATAGACCGACAGGTTTGAAAGGGAAACTTACTTATAAAACATTTCACCACTTACGTAAAGCAAGTATAAACACCTCTTTTTTTCATGATTTTTAAATGTACTAAATCTAAGTAATATTTTTTTTTTACAATGATTCATGTCTCCCATATCTTTATATATTACCTGCTCCTTATGACCTTATTAGGGATCTAAAAATAACATAGGATATCAGGGGTTCTAAACTAGACCAGAACATCAGAGGTTCTAAAACTAGACTCGTATGTCAGAGGTTTTAAACTAGACTAGTGTATCAAGGGTTCTAAAACTAGACTAGTATGTCAGGTTCTAAAACTAGACTCGTATGTCAGAGGTTCTAAAACTAGACTAGTGTATCAGGGGTTCTAAAACTAGACTAGTATGTCAGAGGTTCTAAAATTAGACTAGTAAATCAGAGGTTCTAAAACTAGACTCATATGTCAGAGGTTCTAAAACTAGACTAGTGTGTCAGAGGTTCTAAAATTAGACTAGTATATCAGAGGTTCTAAAACTAGACTCACATGTTAGAGGTTTTTCTAAAGCTAGACTAGTATGTCAGAAGTTCTAAAACTGGACTATATCTGTGTTTCTAAAACTAGACTAGTATATCTGAGGTTCTAAAACTAGTCGTATGTCAGAAGTTTTAAAACTAGACTCATATGTCAGAGGTTCTAAAACTAGACTAGTATGTCAGAGGTTCTAAAATTAGACTCGTATGTCAGAGGTTCTAAAACTAGACTAGTATATCAGAGGTTCTAAAACTAGACTAGTATATCAGAGGTTCTAAAACTAGACTAGTATATCAGAGGTTCTAAAACTAGACTAGTATATCAGAGGTTCTAAAACTAGACTAGTATGTCAGAGGTTCTAAAACTAGACTAGTATGTCAGAGGTTCTAAAACTTGAGTCGTATGTCAGAAGTTTTAAAACTAGACTAGTATGCCAGAGGTTCTAAAGCTAGAGTCGTATGCCAGAGGTTCTAAAGTTGACCTAAAGCCAGAACTTACAAGAGTGAGTGTGACGGCGTGGTAAGTCTTGCCATCAGCCGTGTGCACGTGCAGAGCCACGTCAGCAACGGCCTTGACCGAGATCCTGTCCGCGAAGAAACGAACCTCCGGTGGGGAGGGCGAGGTGAAGCGAGACTCGACGCTGGCGTCGGGATAGGCTGACCCGAGCTGGGGAGGGAAGGGGAGGGGCAATCAAATTTGGGACAGAAAAAAACAACTTTGACGTCAGTTTTTTGTGACCACTTAACAACAAGAATCATCTATTTGGCTGGTCTAAAACTCAATGGAATCTGAAACAACAAAAATCATCTATTTGGCCGGTCTAAAACTCACAAAAATCATCTATTTGGCCGGTCTAAAACTCACAAAAATCATCTATTTGGCTGGTCTGAAACTCACAAAAATCATCTATTTGGCTGGTCTAAAACTCACAAAAATCATCTATTTGGCTGGTCTAAAACTCACAAAAATCATCTATTTGGCTGGTCTGAAACTCACAAAAATCATCTATTTGGCTGGTCTAAAACTCACAAAAATCATCTATTTGGCTGGTCTAAAACTCACAAAAATCATCTATTTGGCTGGTCTAAAACTCACAAAAATCATCTATTTGGCTGGTCTGAAACTCACAAAAATCATCTATTTGGCTGGTCTAAAACTCACAAAAGTCATCTATTTGGCTGGTCTAAAACTCAATGGAATCTGAAACAACCAACTGAATTGTTGTCAACGTTGAAGGAGGGGAGGTAAATTAACGGTATGCTTAGTAAGGGAAGGTGGGTGTCTTCACAAAAGTCGTTGTTTTATGCTAGCGTAGAACTAGTGATGCCTTTTAAGTTTGATTGGCTTTTTTTACTTCAGGGACTGGGGTTCAAGATCGGATATAATTGTGCCGTGTTTCTTCCAGACTTTTTACTTTCTCGTATATACGAAGTATAGAGAAAGTCTTGTAATCGTGCAAAAAAAAAAAATCGAGATTTTACAAATCTCGACGTTTTACAACTCACTGATAAGGAAAAACATAATTTTGCAATCTTGTCCGTATGTCTGTGTGTCTGTCTGTGGGTATGTGTGTCTGTCTGTGTGTAAACACGATAACTTGAGTACCGTTACAGCTAGGTTGACGAAATTTAATATATAAGTATTTTATCAAAATCGTAGATCCTGTTCAACTTTTGAGCAATTTCCGATAACCGGAAGTGGTACTTTTTCTACTTTGAACTTGTCAAAAGCCTATAGCATGAGTACTATTTCAGATAGATAAATGAAATTTCACATGTAAGTAACATATCTAATTCTCTACCTTCTGTCGAATTTTGAGTAATTTCTGTTGAACGGAAATACTAATTTACGCTATTTCCGATTTCTCAAAAAACGCATGTAAATTTATAAAGTACTAATAATATTGCGCACTATTATGCACATTTTTTGTTTTGGTGTTCGCTTGGTGCGCAATTCTTTTTTCTATGAGATTCTATTCTATTTTTAAAAGTTTAAGTAATTAAAAATCATGTCTATATTCCAAGTTATATAAGAATATTCGAGAAAGTTTAGGGGAGATAACTCCCGGTTTATTTCTAGAGGGGGTGGGACTCAAATTTCCGGGGGGGGGGGGGGGGCGGACACTGTTAAAAGTGTGTATTTTCTTTATAAATTCCATTTCGTTCAGAAGGCGGTAGACTTTTTTCAGGGGGCAGAGTCCGTCCCCCCCCCCCCCCTCCGGAAGAGATGCCCGGAAAAAAGTCTGCAATTGTGTGACATCATTTAAAGTCGGTCTTTTTTCTTAATGTAAAACGAGGATTTAGTGTAGGTTTTGTTCTGCTCTCCGTAAAAGGTCAACTTTTTTTTGTTGAGAAAACCATGTTGGTAAATATCAGAAAAACCTAAGATTCGTAGAGTAAAAGATGTATTGTAATAATGAAATAATAACAGAGAGAAAGGTAGTTGGTCCACATAAAACCACTAATTTTTTGACCTGCCACTTACCTGGGGGATCAGCGCGCCCAAGCAGGAAGAATATGTTCTACAGGTGGTTTCAAAGTAGGGGCGGAATATCGTATCCACCTGTGTAAGACATTAGAGTTTACCGTTACAATGACCTGTGTAAGACAGAGGTTTGATGTTACACTGAGCTAAGACAGAGTTAAACGTAACAATGAGCTGTGTAAGACATTTGATTTTAACTTCGTACTGATCTGTTCAAGTATTATCATGTCTAGTTTTTAAGAAAACCGTAGTAAAATCCATGTACAGGGAAGCACCAGTTCTGTATCAGCCATTCACTTATTAGAAGAAACTCAATTCATGAGCTGATAAAAAAAACCGATGTTTTAAAATTAAATCGTTGGTTTTATTTCTGTATTTATCCCTCATTTTAATCAAACATTCGTAACAGGGTCAATATATGTCTGTTTGTAAGTAGCAGTTGCATAATTTGATGTATCATTATGCTCTCTTTACTTATTTCATTTTAATGTTATTCGTATGGTCTATGGGAAATACCTACAAAAAACGGTTTGGCTAAGTATCTAAAAGCAGCTAATTCCATTATAACATTGTGCGATTGCTTAAAAGAAATTTGTAAAACGTGTGCGTAATATGAAAAATTGGTTAACAAATCAGCTGTAACATTTTTAAAATGATATTCACTATTACAAGTAGATCTGTATATTTTATTTATTTATTTCAATAATGATATTAGCTTTATTACTTTATGGGGGAAAATGAGATTTTCACTTTAAAAAAACATATATTAGTTTCTATTTTATGTGCGAATGCTAATTAATACACCCTACTGTACTATTACGTTTTTAAAATTACTCTAAAAGACTTACTTCACTGGGCAGTTTGAAGTTTTTAAAATTACTCTAAAAGACTTACTTCACTGGGCAGAAGATTGTATTGCAGAAAGTTGTGGACATGCGCGGAGTAGAGAAAGCTATTAATAGAGTACTCAGTCAGCCAGATGTACGCCATTTTGTTGACGTCATTCAATGCAGGTATGTTAGCAGGAGTGGTGGGGTACTCCCCCCGGGCACCTGTCCAGTACACCTCACCCTGCCAGCAAAAATTTGTTGTCAAATTAATTGATGAAGTTGTTGAATATTTTTTTGTTATCGCATACTACATGTTTCATGCTGTTATAAACGAAGTCTTTCTAGCTGACAATTACAAAAGACATTTTAGTTAGTTAATTTGCAAATTTGATCTTTTTTAGCACATGACGACTTTTTTAGAAGGGTGTTAAATTACAAAAATAATGTGCAGTTTAATCAAACAAAAATTATTTACAGAAAGAAAAAAAAAATAAAAATAAAAAGCAGAGAAAACAATCAATTTTATTTTAAAATCAAATATTCAATAACCAAACCAAATAAAGCAATAAAAAGAAGCATAACAAAGACAGCAAACAAAGCAAATTAAAATATCAAATTAAAAAAAAAATTATTCCAAAAAAGAAAAAAAAAGAAAAAAAAAGCATGTTATTTAGATTAATAATTTTTAATTTAGTTGGGTACATTTTTTTTCTGACTTTCACGAAATAAATACTTAATTCTTTGATCAAGACAGTTTTATTTCATTTCTATACTGTTCAATTCTTAATCAGAATATTCGAACGATATTATTTGATGGTGTCTTATCAATCAACAATATCCTCGAATTATTCGATAAGGTCTTAACCTTGTCCTGACTTTACGGATATAGATGTAACTGGAACATTCTGATTGTTTGTTTATTTACTTATGTGTTTATAGCAATTTAATAATCAAATGTTATTTTGTGAGCGTCAAAACATAAGACTACTCAAGAGAGGCCCTATTCTAAATGCCCTACTGGTTTTCAAAGTATTTCAAAGAACGGAATGCTTCCTAAGTTAAGCAAAGAAGAAAGACGGCATTTTTTTAAAAAGGCCATCTTGATTTGTCATCGAGATAGTGTTTAAAAATTAAATGGTAGGGGTTTTGCGTGAGGGGGATGGGGAGTGTTGACATAGGTTAAATGGGAGAGGGAAGGGTTTAAAAGTTAAATATTAGGGGGGGGGTGAATACGAGGAATGCTACCCTCATTGACGTCACGGTAATTCCCGCTAATATTGGTTTTGGTCTTTTGTTCACAGTTGAAGTGATTTATTTTAACAGCAGGTAACAGGGATGTGGATCACTTGTAAAGATTTAGCCATGAATGTAAAAAACTTAAAGTGACAACGATTTTTATTTAAATGTAGCCCATTTATTTAAAGATGAAAATAAATTAGCTGTCAATACTGTGCCACTCTTTATTTTACAAATCTTACGGCTCGGTAAAGCTGACAAGAAATAATACATGGTTGTCTTTTTATAGGCTGGTAGATCACAAATGTCTTGGTCACTGAATCAAAGCCATGTTATCAAAGTGAGATCACGTGATATCACGAGCCATCACGTGAGTTCACGTGTCATCGCGCTCCTTCTCGTGAGATCACGCGAGAGATGACGTAAAATGACGAGACACCACGTGACATGGCAATACGTGTGTGAAGGTGTGTCTTTACCTTATGTGAGCTCTCCAGATAGTTGCTGGTGACGACAGCATCTGCCAGCATTCGGCAGTCGGCGGTAAAGTTCTCCAGTACCTCGTAGGTTACTGCAAGTAAGGGGGTTAGGTTACTGCAAGTAGGGGGGGGTACTGCAAGTAAGGGGGGTTAGGTTACTGCAAGTAAGGGGGTTAGGTTACTGCATTTAAGGGGGTTAGGTTACTGCAAGTAAAGGGGTTAGGTTACTGCAAGTAAGGGGGGTAGGTTACTGCATTTAAGGGGGTTAGGTTACTGTAAGTAAGGGGGTTAGGTTACTGCAAGTAAGGGGGTTAGGTTACTGCCGATAAGGGTGTTAGGTTACTCCAAGTAAGGGGGTTAGGTTACTGCAAGTAAGGGGGTTAGGTTACTGTAGATAAGGGTGTTAGGTTACTCCAAGTAAGGGGGTTAGGTTACTGTAAGTAAGAGGTTTAGTAAGGACGTTAGTTCATGAAAGTACCACAGATACCCCATACAGTAAGACTTACTTAGTTCTACAGATCAACTGAATAACATGACGTTGAATGCCTATTACAAATAAACCTACTTAATTGACCTTGACAGTGAGTACTACAGATCAATTCAGTAACATAACATTAAATGTGAGTAGACTTATTTCAAATAAACCCACTACATTGACCTTGACAGTGAGTACTACACAAAATCTACTCACCGTCCATTTGACTGAGAGCATTAGACGCCGAGACGTCAATAGCTTTGTTTACAACACCACAAATCTACGAGAAGGTCACACAACAGCTTTAGGTGAGAGCAGTTTTGTTCTATCTGTAGGTCATTGGTTAGGTCATAGGTTAGGTCACTGTACGCAGGTCGTTTGGCAAGCCGCTGGAGGGTTCATGTGGTAAGGTCTTATATTTGTGTACGTGAAGGTAATATGTTTGGGGATATGAAGGTCATGTGTTAGGTGATGTGTAGGTCATGGGAAGGTCATGTGTTAGGTGATGTGAAGGTCATGGGAAGGTCATGTGTTAGGTGATGTGAAGGTCATGTGTTAGGTGATGTGAAGGTCATGTGTTAGGTGATGTGAAGGTCTGGGTGTTCCACTCACCTCTTTTCTCAAAACATCCTTCAACATGTTTTGAACCAGGTCTCTGAATAAGTTCAACAAAAATGCCGATCCGCCGAAAAATTGCAGCTCGAGCTGTTCAATGCTGGAGGTGCAGGATTTGCTTCTGACGGTCACTCTACCCTCGGTGGTAGCGCCTGGTAATGTATTACACAGATGTACGTACACGCATATTATCATAACAACCGTATAGGTATATATCAGGTAATTAGTTACTTCAATTCGATACTTTCTTCAGTAACCAAAATCAAGATGTTCAAAGTTGCAGTCGCGAGATTAATAATTCTAATCAGAATGACAAGCTATTTTTACTTCCCCAAATTTATACTTTCATTGGGCGGCATGGTCGTGGGCAGCGCACTCGAATGCTGACCTGAAACTCTAGACTTCGGATCTTGGTCCTGACTTGTGTTTGCTAAACGCCTCTGGGCCCACCCAGCTCTGATGGGTACCTAACTCACGTTAGGAAAGTAAAGACGGCTGGGCACAGTACTGAACAGACAATCTTTTCATATGCCGACCTCAAAAAAATATGTTAACTCTACACCATCTGCCTTATGGATCGATATGGATCCGAAAAGAGAATTTTTTAAAAATTAGTTACCAATTTTTGGGCTAATTTAACCCACCTCACCCTTCCCCCCCCCCCCCCCCCCTAACAACCCCCTAGTCCCGCCACAAGCGATATTGAATCAGTGACGACAACTCACCTATCCCAACATTGACTGTTGCCGCCACCCCACGTATCTTGACGTTCATCTTGCCGCTGTCTGACACGGAAAACCTGAACACAATGAAAGCTAAATATAACATTGGGTAGTGAGATCTATATCAGCCTCCGTACAGACTGACCATAATAAAACAAAGACCCTATAGAAACAGCAGGATGAAAACAAATGAAGATTGTGGTGGTGAGGTCAGCTGGATAAACTGTCAAACACAGGGGGGGGGGTAAAAGTTTTATATTACAACATCCCAAAGGAGTTTGAAACCGGGTTCAAGTCCGTTGAATGTCCCTGGGTTCACTCGGCTCTGGTGGGTACATGTAAAGGCGGCTGGACACATTGCAGATAACACTATATTAAGCGTGGCGGACAAACTTAGGTCAGCGTGGAGGACAGGCATAGTACTGTAGGACAGCAGCCAGATCTCAGTGGAAGGTGTTGGTGGAGCAGCCACAGTGATGAAAGGATTCAGACTAACATGGGCCCTAGAATAGATTGGCGTCACTAAACCTGTCTACACGATAATCAGCTTATGATTCTGGTAGAAATAAATAATTCACCAACTTACCATCCATTCTTGTATTTGATCCAGAAGTTGGTACTGAATTCAGCGCCGAAGTTTGAAACTCCCAAGGTCAGACCGTTTACTTGAGGGTTTAAGGTCAAGGACGTTACAGGTTGAATGATCTTTTGTTTTTGAATACTGTGTAGGAAATGTAATGATTTAAATAGCTATAGAAAACTACTCCTTTGTCAACGATAAATTTCTATATTGCTGGTAGACTTTCTATGGTGCCGCCACACCCTATCTACGCCATTGATTACAACATTTGAAAAGTAGTTAAATTAGTTACACTTTGTGACCTACAGACCTAGATAGCTGCCATGACATGTAGCGGTCCTTGCCAGTTTGGTCCGAGAGTATGAGGTCATCGAGTGCTTGGGTCAGGTACTTGCCTGCTACCTTGTTGGCTGGTGGAAGGTAAGGGGTGGGGGTGGGGTGGATGTGGTGGTCATTATAGGAAGGTGGACGTGGTTGTCATTATGGGAAGGTGGATGTGGTTGTCAGTATAGGTGGATGTGGTTGTCATTATGGGAAGGTGGATGTGGTTGTTAGTATAGGAAGGTGGATGTGGTTGTTAGTATAGGAAGGTGGATGTGGTTGTTAGTATAGGAAGGTGGATGTGGTTGTTAGTATAGGAAGGTGGATGTGGTTGTTAGTATAGGAAGGTGGATGTGGTTGTCAGTACAGGTGGATGTGGTTGTCATTATGGGAAGGTGGATGTGGTTGTTAGTATAGGAAGGTGGATGTGGTTGTTAGTATAGGAAGGTGGATGTGGTTGTAAGTACAGGTGTATGTGGTTGTCATTATGGGAAGGTGGATGTGGTTGTTAGTATAGGAAGGTGGATGTGGTTGTTAGTATAGGAAGGTGGATGTGGTTGTTAGTATAGGAAGGTGGGTGTGACTGTCATTATGGGAAGGTGGATGTGGTTGTCATATCTGATTGTATGTCAGAATTTATTCATGGTTATGATTGAAATATCTGACAGGATAAAATAATATATTGCGTTGAAATGTTTGGTTAGAAAGTTGGATTATCTTACCATATTCAATTCCTTTCTTAGACACTCGTACTTTTAATCCCGGATTAGCTAATGTCATGTGACCAATGGTCAGCAGCGACAGGACACACAGCAGGCACCTCATCATCAAGCTTGATTTTGTTGGTACAGTCACTCACGTGCAACTAATGTATGAGTGTAAAATATAAATACATACATAACAGGCACATTTGACATATTTCATATATGTATTTCTTTGTTTCAGACACTAAAAGTTCCATCAGTTGTGTCAATAATAACTTCAACTCCAAAATTTAAAAACATTCTTTTTCAAACAGTTCAAATCAGTACATTAATGATTACATTTTTGACAACCCCACTGAACAATAGTTGATAGCTACATCTACACTTACCTCGACAGTCCAATTTGTTTTCACCTAAAGTAATGTTTAACAGACTAGCCTGTACTTATCTAAAGTAACGTTTTAGAGCCAAGTCTACATGTACTGATCTAATTCGTCACAGTGTCATTGGATGTCAGGTTTTATATTCAGTTCTACTGGGATTTCACATCTGCTATAAAAAGATGATTTTTAGCGGGCGTTACCTGATTACACCGACAGACAGGATGCTGAACCTGGTCACTTCCTGAACTCAGCATTTTGTGGACACACGTGACCTGGCGCTAAACCTGGACTGGATGGGCTTAAACTAGGACAAGGTCATTGCATGAAGGTCAGGCTATGAGCACCAAGGTATAGACACAAGGTACAGGTGTATGATGCAGGCGAAAGGTATAGGTGAAAGTTACAGGTGTAAGCTACAGGCGAAAGGTACAGGTGAAAGTTACAGGTGTAAGCTGCAGGCGAAAGACAATTATCTGCCCCTTCTTAGTTCTTGGTTCGATCTCTCGCAAGAAACCAACCATCCGTGACAAACTTGAGATTAATAGTGTTATCTCCCCTTGGTAATAATTAAATTAATTTTTACCCACGTTAATATCTAATTAGATTATAATTTAAAGATTCTTCCTTTGTCTTTGGAGACGAATGAATCTGTAAAATCTTTGCCTTAGAAGTTGGCCAACTTTGAGTTATTAAGGAAAAGCTTACGACAAGAAAGCAACCAGTCACACAAGTGTACAGTGTTCATGCACTAAACACAAGTGTACAGTGTACACACACTATAGAAGAGTGTACAGTGTACACACACTATATTCAGGCAGATTTGTCAACGCCAAATGAGTACAGCTCAACAAATGCAGACCAACACGTCAAAGCAAATATCAGGTGACGATATGTGGGGGATCTACCTGTTTTTTGCACATCCGGGTTTAATCACAGGTAAGTGGATTAGGATTTTTTTTTAATCTGGAGCTCCACTGTGGCCCCGCCCCTACAAAATTTTGTTTGCTCCAGCTGGGCTGACTCTCATTTTCTGCTTTAGCAAGACACTTGGTGCTAAACTTGGTCCAAAACATGGTCCAACAGTTCGTCTAAAACTTCTATTTTTATTCTAAAATCAATGACGTCATACATTTCACTTTTTGTTTGCTTATATCACCATTCTAGCGATAGCCGTGAGACTTTGTGGGCTCGAGTTCGGATCTCGGTTTGGACGTTCCTGAGCTCACCCAGTAAATGCTGCTGGGCTTAGTGCTGACTACATCATCCCTTCATAAGCCGTGGTAAAGAAACATATTGACTCTACTTCATCTGCCCAATAGATCGCAAAGCCTTAAGAGGAATCTTGACTTGATACCATCCTAACCATACCAAAAAACCTTTTAAAATAAACCGGGAGTGATCTCCCCTAAACTTTCTCGAATATTCTTATATAACTTGGAATGTAGACATGATTTGTAATTACTTAAACTTTTAAAAATAGAATAGAATCTCATAGAAAAAAAACATTGCGCACCAAACAAACGCCGAAACAAAATGTGCATAATAGTGCGCAATATTATTAGTACTTTAAAAATTTACATTAGTTTTTTGAGAAATCGGAAGTAGCGTAAATTACTACTTCCGGTCAACGGAAATTACTCAAAATTTAACAGAAGGTAGAGAATTAGATCTTTTACTTACATGTGAAATTTCATTTATCTATCTGAAATAGTACTCAAGTTATAGGCTTTTGAAAAATTCAAAGTAGAAAAAGTACCACTTCCGGTTGTCGGAAATCGCTCAAAAGTTGATACGGATATGAAATTTCATCAAGCTAGCTGTAACGGTACTCAAGTTATCGTGTTTACACACAGACACACAGACACACAGACACACACACACACACAGACATACGGACAAGATTGCAAAATTATGTTTTTCCGTATCAGTGAGGTGTAAAACGTCGAGATTTGTAAAAATCTCGATTTTTTTTTTTGCACGATTACAAGACTTTCTCTATACTACGTATATACGAGAAAGTAAAAAACACAATTTCTTTTTCAAAAATTGAACTTAACAGAAAATCAAGTTTTAGAAAATAGGCCTATACCTTGTGTCTATGTGTCCAAGAGACCAGGGAAAAAAAGGGTCCCTAACCCTTTATTGAAATTATCATTAGCCCCCCCCCCCCCACCCCAATCAAAGCCTGATGATCGTCCTCAGCGTGGTTTCTACCTGGGGGCCCAACAGGAATTTTCCCTGTAGACCCCAAATGTTAAAACTCCTACACGGGCACGTGGCGTTATTTATAGACAACCCCATAGAGTACCAAGCTATTCATAAGATAGATGGTGATGTATGAATACATCTATAGACTAATCAAATCCAACCTCTTCCAACCCCCCCCCCACCTAAGTTAATAATTTAAGAGTTTTTGGAAAGTTTTGGTCAGGTGATAGTGTAAAGGATGTGGCCGAGATGGCAGTGCTATAGTGACCCAGTAGGTTTAGGTTCGAAACACATCGTGTCAGTTTTATTTTTTTTAAATTCTATTTTCACTATTTGGTATCTGACGATGATTCAGTGTTGACATTTAACCCGCTTGAAGCTACTATTTATAACTGGGATGCTGAAATGTTTTACATGAACTTACTTGCTAAGAGAGATTTGGTGGTTTTTGTGCCACGGAAAATGTATTTTTACCCGCAGTATGAAATGTTTTTCTTTTCCACACGGATCTAGAACTTCCACATAACCCCCCCCCCCCCCCCCCCCGCGCCCCCACCACCACAGTAATTACTATATTCCAAAGTTAATACAATTAAAACACAATTTTAAAAATAAAGCACGAATAACATATTTTTTTTAAAATATTGTTTCCTTAAATGTTTTATCCTGATATAGCAGATAGACAAGTGACCATTTTTTAATCTCATATATTTAACTGAGACGAGCTATAAATTTCACAATAAACCAGCTCTATGCGCGCACACAATGGAACGTGATTGTAACAAAGGACACACCTCTTCAAAAACGGTTGTATCGCTTGTACATACTATTATTCAAATTGCAAGACACAAAATGGAGAAATATAAATTTAGAAACAAATTTAAAAGAAGAATTCCATGCCGAAATAGCAGAGTTTATTTTTGTAAATATTTATTTGCATGAACCGGAACCAATTTTTTCTTCTCCACAAGCTAAGTTGTTTGAGCAGCACTTGGTTAATCTACTAAAGTTCAAATAAAGACGGGGTGAATCTGAAACTAGAGAGAGAAAAAAGCTAAACTTACAGCATAGGTGGGATCTTAGCCTTACTGGAGGCAGTGATCGAGGAAATAATATACTCGTAAATTTATGTTAGTGTTTATGTTGAATACGAATGTAAGTGCATTAATGCTTGTATTCATGTGTGTATTTATTGTGTATTTGTTATCTTACACATATTCTCTACATTCATATATATTTTTATATAAATATAAATAAATATATATATATATATATATATATATATATATATATATATATATATATATATATATATATATATATATATATATATATATTAGCTTGTATGTGCAATGTCAGTACGTGTGAGGCAACCTAACAAATGACTAAAAAAGGGAAACAACTGCAACAAAAATAGAACTTAACTTTTTGGACACACAGTTTCTCCACCTGTACAGCGACAGACCTCTATGGGGTTTGCTGGCATCTGCTGGCCATCCCTGTATGACTGAGTTTTGATATGAACAAAATATTCTTTCAGTTTACAAAACGTTCTCTTACATTTCTGAGATTAATTTGTATTAGTTAAAATCTCTCTGTCTTAATGTCACGCTAACTACCATTTTAGAACTCTATCTTAGAACTAAAGTATCAAGGGAAAATCTCAGGACGATATCATTGGTACAATGGTGGTAGGCAGTGGCGTAGCGAGGTCGGGTGTCACCCGGTGCGGTCCGCATCCCCCCCCCCCCCCCCCTCGCTACGCCTCTTGTGGTAGGTGAAGACCACGAGCAAGGACACGGCCCAGCCGGTAAAATGACTGTAAATACACACCTCAACTCTTTAAGACGGGAATCACTTTACCGTTTTATCTGAGTTTTCTTTTGTTCCCTTAAAATTTGTACAGTATCTCTGCCGTAGAACGACTGATATATTAATTTTATATAACATTTTAAGTAATTATTTACTTATTGGAGAAAGAGAATTACTTTGTTAATGTTCATTTCACTACTTCTCACAACTCCACTTTAATATGTCATACACTTTGTAATGTTGTGATGTACATTTGTATTTTCTATTTTGTTATGTTGGGATGTACATTTGAATGTTCTACTTTGTTATGCAATGTTGTCCACTATATTTGTAATTTGACCTGCTAAATATTGATTATGGGTGGTGTGAAATTGTTATGGGTGGTGTGAAGTTGTTATGGGTGGTGTTAAGTTGTTATGGGTGGTATGAAGTTGTTATGGGTGGTGTGAAGTTGTTATGGGTGGTGTGAAGTTGTTATGGTTGGTGTGACGTTGTTTTGGGTAGTGTGAAGTTGTTATGGGTGGTGTGAAGTTGTTATGGGTGGTGTGAAGTTGTTATGGGTGGTGTAAAGTTGTTATGGGTGGTGTGAAGTTGTTATGGGTGGTGTGAAGTTGTTATGGTTGGTGTGAAGTTGTTATGGGTGGTATGAAGTTGTTATGGGTGGTGTGAAGTTGTTATGGGTTGTGTGAAGTTGTTATGGGTGGTGTGAAGTTGTTATGGGTGGTGTGAAACTGTTATGGGTGGTGTGAAATTGTTATGGGTGGTGTGAAGTTGTTATGGGAGGTGTGAAGTTGTTATGGGTGGTGTGAAGTTGTTATGGGTGGTGTGAAGTTGTTATGGGTGGTGTGAAGTTGTTATGGGTGGTGTGAAGTTGTTATGGGTGGTGTGAAGTTGTTATGGGTGGTGTGAAGTTGTTATGGTTGGTGTGAAGTTGTTATGGGTTGTGTGAAGTTGTTATGGGTGGTGTGAAGTTGTTATGGGTGGTGTGAAGTTGTTATGGGTGGTGTGAAGTTGTTATGGTTGGTGTGAAGTTGTTATGGTTGTGGTGAAGTTGTTATGGATGGTGTGAAGTTGTTTATGTGCAACATAGACCTGTCGATACTTCTACGGTTGACCTAACATAGGCACGCTATTTTAATTTGTTGAGTGTTGATATTGAGTGTTGAAATTGGTTGTTGATATTGAATGTTGATATTCAATGTTGATATTAAATGTTGATATTGAGTGTTGATATTGATATTGAGTGTTGATATTGAGTGTTGATACCAGTGTTGATATTGAGTGTTGAGTGTTGATATTGAGTGTTGATACAAGTGTTGATATTGGGTGTTGATATTTGGTGTTGATATTGATTGTTGATATTGAGTGTTGATCCTGTGTTTTTTTTTCAATCTACTTAGGCTTAAAATTTTAAACAAACAGCATTTCAGAATTAAATCAATTTCGATTAAATTGAAAAAGTTAATCACATGTTCTTGTACTGTGTTTATATTTGTAAATGTCGATCAATTACCAATCTACTTGAGATTGAATTAATCAATAACCTACAAGATTTGCCTGTATAGTGTGTTGAATGCGTTCTCTTTGTTCGCCACAACACGTTGAAAAACGCTTTGCTGTTTATACACTTTGTTCTTAAATAGCTGAATTTTATCAATGAGAATATTCTCATGAGTACATGTAACTTATCATACCGTAGCAACCGTGTCTCCATCTACTTACATTAATGTTCAGACTCGTGTATTTGGTTTTTAGCTACGTGTAGGTTTTAAGTTAGGAGACGGTGTGGTCGGAAGTTAGAGCTATCGACTGCTAACTATGTAGTCCCGAGTTCAGATCCCGGCTTAGAGTTTGAAGGAAGTACTTGAGTCCACCCTGCTCTGCTGACAACATTATCCCCTTGTATGACTAGGTCATTGAAACATATAAACTCTACTTCATCTGCTTCATATGTATTTGGCTTGAACTGGGATAAGATGAAGAAGATTCAAGCTGCTGTTTTAGAACTGGGTGTGCCGTATAGGCCATCTAGTATGCCAGCCTTGTTAAAAACAACGATTTGATGGTCCAGTTTTAGACAAGCTTGTTCGCAATATGGCTGGTAAATAGGTCGCCATCTTCTCGCTCTCATACTTGCCAGATAGGATTTTTCAAACCAAATGTGAATATTTTTATCAAATCGGGAAAAAAAAATTTTAAAAATAGAAAAGTTATTTTTAATCTTAAACAATGATAATGAAGTAGGCTAGCTTCAAGAAAAATATATTCTACGTTAAATTATGATTTTTTAAAGAAGCTACAGTTAGTTATTATTTATTCGGATACGTAACAAGTTGTCCTAAATATTAATATAATATTAATAGCCTAGACCTACCGGTAGTTTATTTAATTATATTATTAGTAAAAAAAAATATAATTGTTGCATTTTTTTGTACTCTTGGTATTTTAAAATCTTGAAGCAAGGACTACAAACAATTTGCTGACATGCTTTTTGTTGTTTGTTTTTGTTTGTTATCAATAATTTTGTTTGTTCAAAATAATTAATTTTGTTCAAAAATATCTCTCTCCATGGCTTACAAGATCTCGAATTTTAAGCGAGAGATTACGAGACTTACAAGGACCATCAACCATTGGCGTGTGTTTAAAGTGCTTATGTAGGCCTACTCTACTTAAAATTGTTGTAAAAAATGTAAATAACAATATACGTGTTGTGACAAACAAATATTTTAAAAAAGAACTACAGGTTGATAAAATATGTTTATTTTTTTTTTGTAAAGAATTCATGTGCAGGATAAACTTTCTTATTTCTTTACAGTCCACTAACTACAGTAGGTGTTTCACAAAAGCTCTACATATAAGCGTTTACGTTAGATATTTCTGGGAATAAAGGCATCTTAATAAACACGATATATATATATATATATATATATATATATATATATATATATATATATATATATATATATATATATGTATATGTATATATATATATGTATATATATATATATATATATATATATATATATATATATATATATATATATATATATATATATATATATATATATATATATATATATATATATATATATATAATATATATATATATATATATATATATATATATATATATATATATATATATATATATATATATATATATATATATATATATATATATATATATATATAGGCTATGTATACACACACAAAGGGAGGGGGTGTGGTTTTTTTTTATCAAAGACAATTCTTAGTGTACGAACGTAAAAAAAAACATTTAGTTTAAAAGCTCCAGTAAGGAATGTAAATACCAAGTGTGAATATTGGGAGCTGGGACAAGTAGTTAATGTTTTATATTTGATGTGTATATTTCTCTCTCTATGTCGTCTAGATCAAGGCTCCACATTATGCTAAAAACAATTATTAAAAGTAAAGTTTCCCTTTCAAACCTGTCGGTCTACGGGGCAAGTGAAGTAGAGTTCACTTTTTTCTGTGACCTTGGCATTTGAAGAGATACTGTGGTTAGCACTATACCCAGCCGCCGTTACTTTCCTTAACGTGAGTTAGGTACCCATCAGAGTTGGGTGGACTCAGGGTCGGTCTACTGACTTGAACCCGGATTTGAACTAGAGACTTACGGGTTAGCAGTCCAGCTCTCTACCGCTAACCCACCCCGTCCCATAAAAACAGGTATTACGTACTGCTTATTGAGGAGTTTTTCATCCACTTTTTGTCAGAATAACTTCTGTTTTTAAGTGATTGCATGTTTTTATTTTATGCCAATTAAATAGAGTACTATTTAAGGTTCGACGCAGTACACTTTTTTTCTACCAATTGCCTTGCATTTCATCCAGTTATACAGTCATTGTATATACACTGTATTAAACTAAAGCAACTCGGCGTGGTCGAGTTGGTAAAGCTCATGATTGCTAAACCGATAAGTCTCGAGTTCGAAACCATTGGGCAGATCAGCCTCGATAGCTGGGGAAAACTCTTCTAGGAGAGACAACTCCTAAATCAAGCTGCCTTGAAGTTTATTCTTGGTTGGACAAAGGCTATGGAAACAAATTCAAAAAAAAGAAAAGTAAGATATAAACGGAGTTACGGCATATATGGCGCATAACGTGTCTTACTCAACAGTGTTGTAGGGAGTCCCTTCTACCACTAGAATTAAGAACCAAGATATAGATACTAGCTAAATACGTACGGTGGTCAGTCTGTTTAATAATCACATTCCATTTCTGTACATTCAATGTCAGGCCCAGCACAAATGCATTCATTACAGTCGTCTAGGATCTGCTCGCCTGAGTCGTATATCTGTTAAACATGGAGGGAGGGGGGTGTTAATGCTGCCACAAGATTTGTAGTAAACTAGGGTAGCAGCTTAAATTAAACAGTTAAAGATTTTTTTTAGAACAATCACAATTTTTTTTTACTTTACATTGGTAGGGGTTTTAATTATCCTATCACTACACTACTACACATTTTAGTTGTCCTATCATTATTCTTGTACCACTTTTAGTTGTCCTACCATTACTCTAGTACCACTTTTATGTTATTCAACCGACCTTGCCCATGTGATAGCACCACGTGATGTCACCACGGCAACGCTTTATCTCACATTCGAACTTATCCCCTCGACATGTGCATTTGCTGTTGCATTTGCCGAATGTAAGAACCTCGCCAGGGTTGTAGCGCTGTATATCAAGTATAGCTTTATATCAAGTATAGCTTTAGTATAACACTTAAATATATATATATATATATATATATATATATATATATATATATATATATATATATATATATATATATATATATGTATGTATATATATATATATATATATATATATATATATATATATATATATATATATATATATATATATACACATTTTCTTTCTTGAAGAGTTACTTCTTTTAAAACTATTTTTAAGAATTTTTTTAAAAATGATTTAGGACTAGTACAGAAAATATACTGAAACCACCTTCGATAATTTGTTACATCTTTTACTAGCTACTATTAGCCTCTGTTTTAAACACACCATTCATTATCTATTGTGCCTTGAGCAAGCTCTATGTAGAAATACGTAATCGGTGACATAGCCTTTAAATTCATCACAGAAGGAAACTAAATCGTCACTTGTTTCCCATTGTTTACATGTATGTATAAGTGATAATACTCGAATGTTTAAAGCAATAGTGGAGATACTGTTTATTGGAATTCTGAACTCATGAAAATAGTTGAGTAGTGGGATTATCCTCAAATACAGGCGTCTTTAGTCAAAATGGAGTATAACTACACATTTTAAAAATCTATCTTCTGAAGTTAAAAAAAAAACCTACAAAAAAAAACCATCCAAGCTTACCTTCCCCACCAAGGAACAGTATTTGGCCACAGCGCAGCTTAGACACACCGCCAATGTGATAACCAACAGAAGATGCATTTGGATTTTTTTAATCTGAGTTTAGTTTGGATAGTTTTTATGTATTTAAACACAACGCTGAAATAAGCTGTATTCCTAAGTTGTCTTGTTTGATAATTAAAAATGAATATAATAACATTTAATATTTGAATATATCCCAAGACGAAATAGCAATTCAGAAGTAAATGAAGAAATTAATAAAAAAATTAAATCTCTCTACATATCAGCTGTTGACGTGGTAAACTGTAGACAGGGGTGGAAATATATTTTTCTCCATAGGGAGAGGGTTCCCAGGGGAAAAAAACGCAACAGAAAAATGCGCACACAGAAAAATGCGCAGCTAGAAAATTGTCCTACAGCTCTATAGCCCTATAGCCCTATAGCCCTATAGCCCTATAAACCCTATAGCCCTATAGCCCTATAGCCCTATAGCCCTATAGCCCTAAAGCCATATAGCCATATAGCCCTATAGCTCTATAGCCCTATAGCCATATAGCCATATAGCCCTATAGCTCTATAGCCCTATAGCCCTATAGCCCTATAGCCCTATAGCCCTATAGCCCTATAGCCCTATAGCCCTATAGCCATATAGCCCTATAGCTCTATAGCCCTATAGCCCTATAGCCCTATAGCCCTATAGCCCTATAACCCTATAGCCCTATAGCCCTATAGCCCTATAGCCCTATAGCCCTATAGCCCTAAAGCCATATAGCCCTATAGCTCTATAGCCCTATAGCTCTAAAGCCATATAGCCCTATAGCTCTATAGCCATATAGCCCTATAGCCCTATAGCCCTATAGCCCTAGCTGTAGAAGTAGATGAAGATGTAGCCTTAGACTTAGCCGCAGCTAAGAAATCTTAGCAACTATTTTTTATAAAGGATTTTTCCCTTCTAAAGTAAGGGGGCACTGCACCCCCCACCTGAAACATGTTCAACGCCCCCTCCCCTCCACTCCGATCGAAAAAGAAAAAAATAGATACTTTATGTAGAAACCAGTGCCTGTACACCCCCCCTCCCCCCGAAAATTTAAGTACGTTCCCCCCTCCCACATAGTTTGAAATGTCATCTCCCCTGGCCAGTTGAGTCAGCGCGTGGATGTTTAGATTGAATTTTTTGAAAAATTTAATCTAAAATACGAAATTCAATAAGTCAAAAACTGGCCTGGATAAAACAAAAATCGATTTGTTTTTGGATGAACAATTCAATAACTTAACAACACTTTGCTTAGAGCTTTATTACTTTTGGATATGAGACGTAAGTAAATGGTCTCACAGTTCTGGTATTGGTTGTGGGGTGTGGGGTGTGTGTGGGGGGGGGGAGATTTCAAATGTTTGTGAAGGGGTGTTAAAAGTGCAACATCACATTGTGCAGGTGCTAAAATAAGTATGTAACTCTATCCCCTTCTCCATAGTTCTGTCTCTTTCTCCTCCCCCCCCCCAACCCTCTCCCCTCTTTCTCCCCCTCCCCCCCTCTTTCTCTCCCTCTTTCACAACCTTGTGTGACACCAAGACCACCTTATGTCGTCCCATAAACACAAAACAGCACCAGTTGTTTAAATAAACGACGCACCTGCTAACCTAGCAATGAAGAATGTACACTGGCGCTTAACTAACGTGTGCACACAACAATTAAATTGGATACTTCGGCTACAATGTTGGCGTTATTATCTCACGTTATTATTTGGTAACTGATGCGTGAGTTCAACCAAGTAATCGAAACAAAGCGACAACAGTTACTAAACATTTAGTTGTAGGCCTACAAGGGATTCGATATCAAACGTTTGTAATCTCCAATCTCTCTTCGGTCGACCCTAGGCCTCGCTACACGGTGAGACTGATGCCAAAAATTGTTGAATATCCAAATGATTTGTTCCACGTCTATAGTCCTACAAACACAACATTCACTATTGGGGTGTACTGATATCTTGCCCTACAAACACAACATTCACTATTGGGGTGTACTGATATCTTCCATTACAAACACAACATTCACTATTGGGCTGTACTGATATCTTATCCTACAAACACAACATTCACTATTGGGGTGTACTGATATCTTGTCCTACAAACACAACATTCACTATTGGGGTGTACTGATATCTTGCCCTACAAGCACAACATTCACTATTGGGGTGTACTGATATCTTGCCCTCACACATTGGGGTAGGGGGGGGGGGGGAACAGAAACAGATGAATCGAATTATGACATAAAAAGTGATTCTTACCGCATTACTTAAACGTCGATATCATTTTCTTTCGATCACCGGTTTTAGACGAAGATAAAGGGTGATAACAACGTCAATTTTGTTAACTTAGTATGAGAGTTCTAGTGCAAGGGCGATAACTACTTCAAGTTTGTAAACTAAGTTTGAGAGCTATAGTTATTGTACAAGAAGAGCAATCTGCCCAAACTGATAGTAAGACCTCATATGTAGTTTCATTTTGTTCAATACATGTTTACACATCTAGATCTACTTATTATTTTTGTTCATTTTAAAGAAGTTATGTGGCAATCTGTTGTACAATTTTTCTGCTTTAACTCAATGAGTTGTGTTACAACGACAGTTTTTGTGCTGTTAGTATAGCACAGAGAATATTTGGCTAAACGCCTCTGTGTTCAAACTTTCTTTGTGTTACTCTCAAAACTGAATGCTATGAATCGTTGGCAATGTAGAAGGTACACATACGATGAATTGTTTGAATATTTAAACCACAGTTCTCACAAACTCGCCCTAAAACTGACACTAGCATTAAACAAATTGAAATCTGTGTCTCTTATAGCTCATTACACATAACACTGCATTTTTGTATGGCTATTGCTTGGTTTGTTGTATTCAAATTTAGTTAGGACTTGTACATTTTTACAAATCTAGTAACCGGTATTAGTTTTAAAACAAAAACAATCAATATAAAATTAATAGTATGAGAGTTGTTTAATTAACCGTTTTAGAACTCTAAAGTAAACACAAGATATGCAACACTAACATATCAAGCACTAAGCAGCTGAAATGAGTTAAACTACAAACATATTTTTTTTTAAAAGATGAATGTGTATTGTATTTACATGAATGATAAATCGTAAGCAGCTCTAGGTGTCCTGGGCATGAAAGATAAAGATGATAAACAGTAACATTGTTGACAGCAGCCCTAGGTGTCCTGGGCATGAAAGATAAAGATGATAAACAGTAACATTGTTGACAGCAGCCCTTGGTGTCCTGGGCATGAAAGATAAAGATGATAAACAGTAACATTGTTGACAGTTGAGTGTAGACGAAACTGGTGCGCACTCTAAAATGGAATAATACAATTCTAAAAAGTAATACCGAACATAGCGATTGTTAATACTGAAAGCTCTGGTGATAATACAATAATCAGCCTTGAAGTGAATAGCAATAAAAGTCAGGTAAATTTATAAAAACAATATGTATACATAAAATGGGTAGAAATCGTGTGTTCTGATAAAATTATGGGTACAAATTGTGTGTTCAAATAAAATATTGTGTTCTAATTGAAGTAGAGGTAGAATATTTATGATAAATAGTTTAAATGAAAATGGTTAAAATGTTTAATTACATGATTTGGTTAAAATTTAAAGCAAAATAATCGAAATGTTGAATTAATTTGTTTAGGTTAAGGCAACAGTATTTAAAAAGCTGATGTATTGTGTGTTGCGTCTTAAGACGAATGGTGTTGAAAAACCTCAGGAGCAAATCTCAACGTCTCGGGTTGTTTAATCTTCAGCAAAACATCCGTGGCAACCACAAGGAAACCCTGGGGATGTAAAAATGTGTCGTTACTCTTTGATTCCATTCTAAATAGACTTTTATTTGATGAACACAAAACTCAGGATGTAAAGAATTGTGTCGTTACTCTTTGATTCCATTCTAAATAGACTTTTATTTGATGAAAACAAAACTCAGGCTGTAAAGAATTGTGCCGTTACATTTTTGTTCCATTCTAAATAGACTTTTGTTTGATGAACACAAAACTCAGGATGTAAAAGAAAAATAAAGTATTGTTACACTACAAAATACCCTTTTATTTTATAAAAACAAAACTCAGGATGTAAAAAAATAAAGTATCGTTACACTACAAAATACCCTTTTATTTTTATGAAAACAGAATTTTAAAAACAATCTGCTGACAGATACCAAAAAGTTTTGTGCTGCTATTGTCACAAGACATGTGACAAACCATCGAGGAAAATACTTATTAAAACAACTTACGTCCATCAAAATCAATCGGCTGTTAAGGAACTTCAGATCTTCAGATACAGGTAAATCAAATCCTTTAGCAGCAAATTCTGGAATGTATGTATATGCATGTTTATATATATATATATATATATATATATATATATATATATATATATATATATATATATATATATATATATATATATATATAAAATAGTTTATACTTGTAGTTATATACATTTGTGTGACTATATTTGCAAAACAGGTTTACTGAAAATATTCTCTCGTTCGGCTTACCGTTAAATTTAGGAAGTACAAATAGTTTCAGAATAGTTTCCAAATTAGTTTGCAACACCCTCACCTAGAATACAAAATTTTATTTGTATGTAAATACTTTGCAATTTTTTTACAAAATTGTTTGTTTATCTGCACCATATACAAACGCGATTTGTGTAAAACTGAAACTTACAAGTATAGGTCCAATGGCTGAATCTACCAGTCCAAGTTCAAAGCTTTAAATAAGAAAATAAATAATCATTTAGTTTAAAACGCTACAACAAATATTTAAAATATGATAACTCTTTACAATGTAACATGCAAAAGACACAATATGTCACCTACCTGTGGTCACCTATATGTCACCTACCTGTGGTCACCTATATGTCACCTACCTGTGATCACCTATATGTCACCTACCTGTGATCACCTATATTTCACCTACCTGTGGTAACCTATATGTCACCTGCCTGTGGCATCCTACCTGTGGTCACCTATAGCTCACCTACCTGTGGTCACCTATATGTCACCTACCTGTGGTCACCTATATGTCACCTACCTGTGGTCACCTATATGTCACCTACCTGTGGTCACCTATATGTCACCTACCTGTGTTCACCTATATGTCACCTACCTGTGGTCACCTATATGTCACCTACCTGTGGTCACCTATATGTCACCTACCTGTGGTCACCTATATGTCACCTACCTGTGGTCACCTATATGTCACCTACCTGTGGTTAGTGATCTGCCCAACAACTTTTTCACTTGCGATTGAAGCTGTGCCTGTCAGAGCTAAACTCTAAGAAAACAAAAACTATTTTGTGGAATCAAATAAACACAAAAATATCTCAATGTAATCAGATAGTTTTAGTTACGATTAGCTTATGTTTTACTGAATGTATGGTTTTTTTTTTTCAAATGAGGGGTGAGAGAACAAACCGACCATAGTGGCTAGACAGAACAAATTGACCATAGCGGCTAGACAGAACAAACTGACCATAGTGGCTAGACAGAACAAACTGACCATAGTGGCTAGACAGAACAAACTGACCATAGTGGCTAGACAGAACAAACTGACCATAGTGGCCTGATAGAACAAACTGACCATAGTGGCTAGACAGAACACTGACCATAGTGGCTAGACAGAACAAACTGACCATAGTGGCTAGACAGAACAAATTGACCATAGTGGCTAGACAGAACAAACTGACCATAGTGGCTAGACAGAACACTGACCATAGTGGCTAGACAGAACAAATTGACCATAGTGGCTAGACAGAACAAACTGACCATAGTGGCTAGACAGAACACTGACCATAGTGGCTAGACAGAACACTGACCATAGTGGCTAGACAGAACAAACTGACAATAGTGGCTAGACAGAACACTGACCATAGTGGCTAGACAGAACACTGACCATAGTGGCTAGACAGAACAAACTGACCATAGCGGCTAGACAGAACAAACTGACCATAGTGGCTAGACAGAACAAACTGACCATAGTGGCTAGACAGAACAAACTGACCATAGTGGCTAGACAGAACAAACTGACCATAGTGGCCAGATAGAACAAACTGACCATAGTGGCTAGACAGAACACTGACCATAGTGGCTAGACAGAACAAACTGACCATAGTGGCTAGACAGAACAAATTGACCATAGTGGCTAGACAGAACAAACTGACCATAGTGGCTAGACAGAACACTGACCATAGTGGCTAGACAGAACAAATTGACCATAGTGGCTAGACAGAACAAACTGACCATAGTGGCTAGACAGAACACTGACCATAGTGGCTAGACAGAACACTGACCATAGTGGCTAGACAGAACAAACTGACAATAGTGGCTAGACAGAACACTGACCATAGTGGCTAGACAGAACACTGACCATAGTGGCTAGACAGAACAAACTGACCATAGTGGCTAGACAGAACAAACTGACCATAGTGGCTAGACAGAACAAACTGACCATAGTGGCTAGACAGAACAAACTGACCATAGTGGCTAGAAACAACAAACTGACCATAGTGGCTAGACAGAACAAACTGACCATAGTGGCTAGACAGAACAAACTGACCATAGTGGCTAGACAGAACAAACTGACCATAGTGGCTAGACAGAACAAAGTGACCATAGTGGCTAGACAGAACAAACTGACCATAGTGGCTAGACAGAACAAACTGACTATAGTGGCTAGACAGAACAAACTGACCATAGTGGCTAGACAGAACAAACTGACCATAGTGGCTAGACAGAACAAACTGAACATAGTGGCTAGACAGAACAAACTGAACATAGTGGCTAGACAGAACAAACTGACCATAGTGGCTAGACATAACAAACTGACCATAGTGGCTAGATAGAACAAACTGACCATAGTGGCTAGACAGAATAAACTGACCATAGAACTCACCATATTTAGAGTAGCCAGGTAATGTTCGCTTCCGTTCAATGAGCGTGCGAACAACGAAAGGTTGCTGTACAATCCCATGGTCAGACCGGTCGTGGCAACTTTAAACTTGGGATCAGATGTAGAGCTGATCCTGATCTCAACTGATGAGTTTGGGTACAGACGCCCAATCTGGTTCAATAAACGACTGATTAATTTAAAACATAAGAAGACAGTAAATAATTAGCTGGTATCGATCAACATAAACTTTTAAAAATTAAAAAAAAAACGGTGTAGTGAAATCAGAGGCGTAGCGAGAGGGGGGCGGGGCGGGGGGGGGGGGGGTATATGTCCCCGGGCGCCGACCTTAGGGGGCGCCAAAATGGGTTGGAAAAATAAATTGAAAGCTTGATGGGGGGGGTGCAAATCGAAAGTTTGAGGAGAGGGGTGCAAATCGAAAGTTTGTCCCCGGGCGCCGGGAAGGGTCGCTACGCCTCTGAGTGAAATTGTAACAGCACATTGGCCTACCTTGCTGACTAACGATCCTATACACTTGAAATCATCACACGTTGTGTTCAAGAAGGATTGGCTATCTGCTGGGAGCTATAGATGTCAAACAAGAAATATATTCTTCAAATCGAAGACAAAAATAGTTTACAATTTAACAGAGGGAATTATATTTGTTTCCAGAAATATGCAGTTTTGATTCATAATTCATATATCAAATAAGTAAGTTTTAAATTGTTCTGTTGTTAATGTTTTATTGTTCTGTTGTCTATTTCGTGTATGTTTATGTGGTACGTATTTTTGACAGCTGTATAATTTGTGAATACGCGAGATTTAGATGATCATGTGATACAATGTATAAACCAAGATTTGTGTTGTTTTATTCACTTCGTTAAAAGTCAACAACGTACATCTTTCTTTGTGAGGTTGTATACGAGGAATCCATGTTGCTGTGCCGTGTAGGCGAAGGTCTGCGCTGTGTACTCGGTGAGGTACATGTACAGCATGTTGCTGACGTCAGGGGAGTCTGGAATCACCTGGGGCGTAAACGGACTTTCTCGCTTGTCATCTTTCCAGTACACCTCTCCCTAAAAAACAAACCAATCATATCTTTCAATTAAAATATCTCCTAAGAAACAACCAATCATATCTTTCAGTACACCACTCCCTAAGAAACAACCAATCATATCTTTCAGTACACCACTCCCTAAGAAACAACCAATCATATCTTTCAGTACACCACTCCCTAAGAAACAAACCAATAACATCTTTGAATTAAAATCTCTCCTAAGAAACAACCAATCATATCTTTTAGTACACCACTCCCTAAGAAACAACCAATCATATCTTTCAGTACACCTCTCCCTAAGAAACAACCAATCATATCTTTCAGTACACCACTCCCTAAGAAACAACCAATCATATCTTTCAGTACACCACTCCCTAAGAAACAACCAATCATATCTTTCAGTACACCACTCCCTAAGAAACAACCAATCATATCTTTCAGTACACCACTCCCTAAGAAACAAACCAATCATATCTTTCAGTACACCACTCCTTAAGAAACAAACCAATCATATCTTTCAGTACACCACTCCCTAAGAAACAACCAATCATATCTTTCAGTACACCACTCCCTAAGAAACAACCAATCATATCTTTCAGTACACCACTCCCTAAGAAACAAACCAATCATATCTTTCAGTACACCACTCCCTAAGAAACAAACCAATCATATCTTTCAGTACACATCTCCCTAAGAAACAAACCAATCATATCTTTCCAGTACACCACTCCATAAGAAACAAACCAATCATATCTTTCAGTACACCACTCCCTAAGAAACAAACCAATCATATCTTTCAGTACACATCTCCCTAAGAAACAACCAATCATATCTTTCAGTACACCACTCACTAAGAAACAAACCAATCAGAACTTTCAAACAAGAAAATATTTAACATAACATTTGAAATGTAGAAACTAAATGATTCAAGCTATAATAAGCTTTTTTATATCTTTAAAAACATGGCGTTTTTTTTTTACATAAATTAAAGGTTTTTGTGACCCGAGCTCTATGGTCAACTGCCTTTAACTTTCCTACCGTGAGTTAGGTACCCATCATCAAATAGACTGGGTCATATGGTCTGATCTGAGATGGAGATGGGGGGGGGGGGGGGGGGGGGGGGGCTGGTGAGAATGTTTTCCCCAATCAACTCATTCACAGGTACATAACCACAACAAATCGAAAGATTTTTTTATTGTACCATACACATTAAAATTGCCTGTTATTACTTTAACATACATTATTTTCACTTTATCTTTTTGCCACCAAAATTACTCATCAAAGTGCTCAACTGTCCGTCATGTTGGTCTCATTAGCTTGTGCTGACTCTCCATATGTACCTACCCTGTGCTGACTCTCCATATGTACCTACCCTGTGCTGACTCTCCATATGTACCTACCCTGTGCTGACTCCCCATGTGTACCTACCCTGTACTAACTCTCCATACTGACTCTCCATATGTACCTACCCTGTGCTGACTCTCCATACTGACTCTCCATATGTACCTACCCTGTGCTGACTCTCCATATGTACCTACCCTGTGCTGACTCTCCATATGTACCTACCCTGTGCTGACTCTCCATATGTACCTACCCTGTGCTGACTCCCCATGTGTACCTACCCTGTGCTGACTCCCCATGTGTACCTACCCTGTACTAACTCTCCATACTGACTCTCCATATGTACCTACCCTGTGCTGACTCTCCATACTGACTCTCCATATGTACCTACCTTGTGCTGACTCTCCATATGTACCTACCCTGTGCTGACTCTCCATATGTACCTACCCTGTACTAACTCTCCATACTGACTCTCCATATGTACCTACCCTGTGCTGACTCTCCATACTGACTCTCCATATGTACCTACCCTGTGCTGACTCTCCATACTGACCCTCCATATGTACCTACCCTGTGCTGACTCTCCATACTGACCCTCCATATGTACCTACCCTGTGCTGACTCTCCATATGTACCTACCATGTGCTGACTCTCCATATGTACCTACCATGTGCTGACTCTCCATATGTACCCACCATGTGCTGACTCTCCATACTGACTCTCCATATGTACCTACCTTGTGCTGACTCTCCAAATGTACCTACCCTGTGCTGACTCTCCATATGTACCTACACTATGCTGACTCTCCATATGTACCTACCCTGTGCTGACTCTGTACCTATCCTGTGCTGACTCTCCATATGTACCTACCCTGTACTGACTCTCCATACTGACTCTCCATATGTACCTACCCTATACTGACTCTCCCAAATGACTCTCCATAATACCTACCCTGTGCTGACTCTCCATATTATGTACCTACCCTGTGCTGACTCTCCATACTGACTCTCCATATGTACCTACCCTGTGCTGACTCTCCATGTAAGCTCCTGTAAATGACACTGGGGCCACAAGTCCATAGTCCAGCAGAAAACGATGGTCTATTTCAACATCAACTTCAAAATTTGAAAGTTTGAAAATATTGCTCAGACAAAATACCACTTAAGACATTTATCTTCTAAATTGCAATTATAAACAACTATATCAATAGCCTTGCTGGGGATAATAATAATGTATTTTAACATTTTATGGTATTATGATGTTTTATCTTTGTAAATTTGCTAGAAGTTTACCTCGCATTTTAGCCAATTTAGCTTCAGCTTTAACGTTGATTGCATTCACGACAGTAGTGCAGATCTGAATAGTAAAAAAATAGAACAGTAGTTCATTAATTTTTTTAAATATATACAGATACCCCCTCCGTGTATCTAAGAGAGGGGTTTTCTGTTTTTTACATTTTTTAAATATATAAAGATACCCCCTGAACAAATCTGAGAGAGGAGTCTCTGTGTCTAAGTTTTTCAAAAGTTTACATTCACCCAACAAACTGTGAGAACACACCTTGTCCCTTAGTATGCCCTTGACCTTGTCCTCCAGAGGGTGCCTGAAGAGGTTCCAGATGAAAGCGGTACCTCCATGAAAATCGATGCTGACGTCATCAACGTTGGCACTACAGGCGCGAGTCGATATGGATGGCCGGCTTTGGGAGTCAGCACCTGGATGAAAAAAAGGCCACATGACAGCCAAGTGCGTCAAATTGATGGGTTTTTTTTTAATTTTATTTTTTTTTTTGTAGGATTTCTCTTAATAAAATGTTGTAAGGTTTGTTATAAATGTATTTATTGTCATCTGTTTGCCAGACCTTTCAGAACAATCAGCTCATATCAATGCACGTGTGAATCTGCTCACTGCGGTGCTTGAGTTCTACTGACGCGGAGGTGCATGATATCTAATGTTTTTATTTTCTAGGAACAATCCCAAAATTTAACAATATCAAGTGTCACTTTCTTAACCGTGACCCAAAACTTAACAAGCGTCACTGACCTGACCCTAGCCCTAACCCAAAACTCACCAATGCCAACTGTCACTGAACTGACCCTAGCCCTAACCCAAAACTAATTTTTGTCGTGACCCTAGCCCCAACCCAAAACTAATTTTTGTCGTGACCCTAGCCCTAACCCAAAACTCACCAATGCCAACTGTCACTGAACTGACCCTAGCCCTAACCCAAAACTAATTTTTGTCGTGACCCTAGCCCCAACCCAAAACTAATTTTTGTCGTGACCCTAGCCCTAACCCAAAACTCACCAATGCCAACTGTCACTGAACTGACCCTAGCCCTAACCCAAAACTAATTTTTGTCGTGACCCTAGCCCCAACCCAAAACTAATTTTTGTCGTGACCCTAGCCCTAACCCAAAACTCACCAATGCCAACTGTCACTGACGTACTGACACCATGTACACCGACACTGACACTGCCGCTGTCTGATATTTTGATGCTAAAATAAAAATAGTTATCTTTAAGACTTAAATGTACATTTATTTAAATAGTGTTTCAAACATGTATGATAGGTTCCCTGTTCATAGAACTAACATTTGTGTTAGTGCCGCAAGGTCTTTGGGGGGGGGGGGGGGAGACGATGAATCAAGTGATACGAACAAAGTGGGTGTCGACCAACTGAAACATTGTAAACATTATGAGCGACTGACAGAAGATTCACCACATTGATGACTAAAATTCACCTCTTCATAATGGCAGCTTACAAAACTTATTTCGAAAGATAAAATAAAAAACTGGTTGTTTCCCCTGCACCGCTCTGCACATCCAAGACACGTAATGTGTAATGTTGGTAAAGATAGATGGCCAGTGTTATTAAATGACAGGGGGGGGATCAATAGGTTGGTAAGGTCTTACTTTCGTTTACTAGAAGACTGGTTAACTTTAATGTATATAAAATACTGGTCACTGCTTCTACAGAAAGATGTGTCTTCTCTATAACTACACATAATAAATTTACTTTGCTTCTTGCTAATCTAATCTTAGAAATTAGTCTTTAGTAAGAATATTTTAATTCAAAATCATTGGAACTTTATTTAAAAGAAAAGCAATGCCTCTTGGCTATTTTTTTAAAAATTAAATTTCATTAAATTTAAATTTTATCTAACGTATGTTACAAAACCGTGTGGTTCTATGAATGGTTGTCTGGACTCACATTCCCTTCCTGTACTTGACTCGCCAGTCAGCGTGGATGTTGATGCCAAAGTTGGTGATGGACAGTGAGAGGCCATTGAGGCCCGGGTTAAAGTCGAGGCCAGTCGTTGGGACGGTCACTCCTTCAGTCTGGATACTGCAAGCAGGCGGTCAATTAGGGGTTGAAATCAGTGGCGTAGCGAGGTCGGGTGTGACCCGGTGCGGCAATTAATGGTGTCACTCCCCAGAGGCGTAGCGACCCTTCCCGAGGACAAACTTTCGAACTTTCGATTTGCACCTCCCCCTCAAGTTTTTCTCTATATATTTGCTATTTTTTGCCTTGGTGTCACCCCCCTAAATGGTGTCACCCGGTGCGATCCGCACCCCCCCCCCCCCCCCGCCCCCCCCCCCCTCGCTACGCCTCTGGTTGAAATAGTAGTCTAAATTTAGGGATTATACCATAAGAATTTGAGATATATAAAATTTAGAGATTATTACATTATAAGTCGAAATATACAAAATTAAGAGGATTGTTCCATAAGGAGTCGAAATTAAGATTCCCATACACCATATTATTATTCTTTAAAAGTTACTTTATATAGAAGAAAATTGCATGTAAAATATTAAATTAATTACTTTGTTAAGCTCCATTGGATATCTCCACTGGATCCTGATTGGTCGTCTATATGTAGACCCTGCAAGTCTTTCGCTAGGGCTGCCTGTGCTATGGTGTTAACTACAAACAAAACAATGGGTAAACTGCGGACTGTGGTAAAGTGTCAACTACAAAGACTGGTTAAACTGCGAACTGCGGACTGTGCTAAAGTGTCAACTACAAAGACTGGTTAAACTGCGAACTGCGGACTGTGCTAAAGTGTCAACTACAAAGACTGGTTAAACTGCGAACTGCGCTAGAGTGTTAACTACCGACGAACTGGGTAAACATGGATTGCATTTATTGGCTTTGTGATCGCAATCGAAAAGAAAGTAATATTAAAATCACTGTCAAATCCTATCAGTCTCCATACCTAATGCAGGTTAAAAAAAAAAACTTAACAAATCTATACCTTAGGGAAAACAGAATTGTTCATATTTTCCTGATATTTTTGAAACATTTTTCTTTAAATGAATATTAATTAAATAACCTAAGTTTAGCCCAATAAAAAGTAGATTAATTAGATTACATGGTGAGCCCTATTAGAAGAAGATTGATACAATTATCGTAAATTAAGCTAACCCAGAAGAAAAAATTAATTTAATTACCGTAGTTAAGCCCATTCCTAGTGAGACGCATTTTGAGCCCCGGGTTTATGGCCACATTGATGCCGATGTTTAGCAGCACCAGAGTAAACAGTGCCAGGCTCTTCATCGTTGGTGCTAGGGAAATATTCACATACAAGGTGTGGATATAGTTGGGGAAACATTCACATACAAGGTGGGGATATAGTTGGGGAAATATTCACATACAAGGTGGGGATATAGTTGGGGAAACATTCACATACAAGGTGGGGATATAGTTGGGGAAACATTCACATACAAGGTGGGGATATAGTTGGGGAAATATTCACATACAAGGTGGGGATATAGTTGGGGAAACATTCACATACAAGGTGTGGATATAGTTGGGGAAACATTCACATACAAGGTGTGGATATAGTTGGGGAAACATTCACATACAAGGTGTGGATATAGTTGGGGAAACATTCACATACAAGGTGTGGATATAGTTGGGGAAACATTCACATACAAGGTGGGGATAAAGTCGTTCGACAACAGTACATTTTCTACAGGATTATTCAATAGAACCCATTATAGATGTAATCACTTTAACAATCGTAATCACAGCGGCTTGGCATAGTGCTGACCCCACTATCCATTCATATGCCGAGGTCACAGAAACAAGTGAACTCTACTTCACTTGCCCCGTAGACCGTCTGGTTTAAAAGGGAACTTTACTTACTTTATATATATATATATATATATATATATATATATATATATATATATATAAATATATATATATATATATATATATATATATATATATATATATATATATATATATATATATATATATATATATATATTTATATATATATATATATTGTTTGTTAATTGAGACGGTGTGTTTTCCGCGTTGCCGTATATTTAAAGAAGAAGAGCACAGTAATTATTAACAGAGAAACATGCTGTATGTAATAAATGGACACTGAACAGACTAGCGCGGTAGATCGTACTTTACGTTGAAAACAAAAGCTAGAGTTAGAGGTACGTTTTATTCTGTCATCCTCATTTAATGTGGGTGACACATTGATCAAGTTTACAATCACAGGTAACAACAACCTACCTTTAGCCTGTCGTTATCACAGGCTGCGACTTGTCCTGTTTTGACTGACACCTGAGCTTTCTGTTGTCTTTCTTCGATGTGTCTTCTGTCTGTGACTTCTATCTCTGTCTTCAGTCAATGCCCGGGAAATAAATAGCCTAGACACGTATTCACGGTCCACTGGCTTCAGCTGGTTTGTGAAGATTCAACTTGTGCCTAGCCAAGTCTAAAGTTTTGGAATTTTACATTCTCAACATAACTTGCTTCCTTGTAGTCATTGTGATATTGGTGTATACCATGGGGAATTCCCGGTCACCCGATGTGGCCATAATGCAGTACAGTCACACGGGGAATCCCCGATTACATATTTGTACGCCAGTACACACAAGTAGTCTAGTGCCATAAGTGGTAAACAAATTGACTTTGGGGTTCGAAGGTCGCCTGGTTTCTTATCAAGTCATTTTGAATAAACAGGAAAAAAGTTTCTTTGTGATCTTGGTTGGAAAAGTTGTGTTACTATAAATATTTACTACTCGTTGATAAAACATAATAAACAGCTAATTTATGTTTTGTCTAGGAATCTGAATCTCCATTTTAGCATAAGCACCTGTCTGGTGTAATCCACAAGATGATTCTCACCTGCCTGTCCAACGCTACTTCTCTCACGTGACCCTTATGACTTAACACCACTCACCTGACCTCTTCCAACCCCCTTACCTGACCCAGTGGCGTAGCGAGGTCGGGTGACACCCGGTACGGCACTTAATGGTGTCACCCCCCAGAGGCGTAGCGACCCTTTCCGGGGACAAACGTTCAAATTTTCGATTTGCACCCCCCTCAAGTTTTCGATTTGCACCCCCCCCCCCTCAAACTTTCGATTTGCACCCCCCTCAAGTTTTCGATTTGCACCCCCTCAAGTTTTTCTCTATATATTTTGCTATTTTTTGCCTTGGTGTCACCCCTCTAAGTGGTATCACCCGGTGCGGTCCGCACCCCCCCCTCGCTACGCCTCTGACCTGACCCCTCCCACCTGACCCCACTCACCTGACCCCTCTCACTTGACCCCTCTCACTTGAGCCCTATGACATGACCCATATCACCTAACCTCTTACAACCCCCCTCACATGGCCCATATCACCTCTCAAATCACCTGACCCCTCTCCCCTGACCCCTATCACCTGACCCCTATCTCCTGACCTCTATTACCTGACCCATCTCTTCCGATCCCACTCACTTGACCCCTATGACATGACCGCACTCACCTGACCCCTATTACCTGACGCCTATCATCTGACCCATCTCTTCCAACCTCTCTCACCTGACGTCTAGCTGAACAGTCTTACTTCCACAAGTCCCATCTCAACTAACCCCTATCACCTGACCCCAATCACCTGAACCCTATTACCTGACCCCTCTCTTACAACCCCCCCACGTGACCCCCACTCCCCTGACCCCTATCTTCCAACCCCCTCACCTGACGTCTACCTGACCAGTCTTACCTAGCAATTCCAACCTAATCTTAACCTCTCACACCGTCTTGCATAATAAATTAAAGGTTCATTATGTTTTAATTTCAAAGTTCGACATGTAATCAAATTATGCATGTGGACATTGTAATTAGTCCCTGCGTGTGCCCCTTGTTAATTAGTGTCGGTGGATTACGCTATATGTGATTTCGTTATGTTCATCGTGTGTATGTGGTGTCGGTATGTGGTGTTAGTATGTGCACCTTGTGTTGTATGTGGTGTTAGTATGTGCACCTTGTGTTGTATGTGGTGTTAGTATGTGAAGTTTGAGTTGTAAGTGATTAGTAAAAGTAAAAAAAAAAAAGTAAAGATTTCTCTTTAGACCCATTGGGCAGATGGAGTAGAGTTCACATGTTTTCTTGATTCGGCACATCTGTGGATTATGTGGTCAGTACTATGTCCAGCCGCCTTTACTTTACCCTGGCGTAAGTAAGGTGGACTCAGAGACGTCGTACAGTCATAAATCCTAAACTAGATCTAAACTTGAGACCTTCAGGCTAGCAGCTAAACGCTCTACCATTCGGCTACGCCGCCTCACGTTAGTAATTAATGCTGAGTCATTAAGTCCTCTCCGCTTTATGTGCGACATTTTGCTTGAGAATCCCTACATACCCAACTCTACTTCCTCTACCTGCTTGTACTCCCTACATATCTAACATATCTCCCTACATATCTAACATATCTCCCTACATATCTAACATATCTCCCTACATATCTAACATATCTCCCTACATATCTAACATATCTCCCTACATATCTAACATATCTCCCTACATATCTAACATATCTCCCTACATATTTAACATATCTCCCTACATATCTATTATATCTCCCTACATATCTAACATATCTCCCTACATATCTAACATATCTCCCTACATATCTAACATATCTCCCTACATATCTAACATATCTCCCTACATATCTAACATATCTCCCTACATATTTAACATATCTCCCTACATATCTATTATATCTCCCTACATATCTAACATATCTCCCTACATATCTAACATATCTCCCTACATATCTAACATATCTCCCTACATATCTAACATATCTCCCTACATATCTAACATATCTCCCTACATATTAAACATATCTCCCTACATATCTAACATATCTAAGCTTTTACTTAAGTAAAAGCGTGTCTGTAAGCGTGTGTGTGGTCAATTCTTGTAGTTCAATTTTAGACCCACTTCTAACGAAGTGATTTTCGTTCAACTTCCGACACACATTCGTTTTCATAGAGGCCAAACAATATCTGATGTCGAATCTAATTGTTTATCGAATAAGTTATTTCTAAAATGTGTCAGCTATTTTATTACCAATTTTTTAAATGAAATTTTGGTTAATTTTTTTGTTAACGAATTTTTAAGCTTGTTATTATATTGTTTTTTTTTTACATTAGTTTTGTTTTTGTTACACTAGTTTTTGTAATAGATCAAATGGCATTGAGTGACTGCACTGTTTTTAACCATCATCATCCTTATGTAACATATTATGGCCTCTCTATAGTTTTCCACTCCCACGGTCTCCTTCCGCTCTGTTCAGCTGGTCCCAATTCCTTCCTAAACTCTCGGCCCCCTCAAGCACACCCTGTACCCCTGTCTTCCTGTGTTGACCCCTGTGCTACCACCCAGGGGGTTTCGCCCTAAGCCATGTCAGGCTCTATTGCCAAAGTCATTCCTAAGCCGTGTGTTACAAATGAATTTTTAGGTCATATCTAGATGGTGGTCTATGTTAAGTAGGGTTCATCTGTTTTTATAACCTTGACATATGTAGAGATAATTTCCCCTAAAATAGACAGGTACCCATTAGAGCTGGGTGGACTCAGGTACGTAATACGATCCGAACTCGTTTACTGTAAACAGGTGATATTGGCGCTGACTGTACTATGTGTAGCTCACAAAGACACTGCCAAGCTATACTGTATGTAGTAATATAACTATTTTTATACTTTGGTAAAAAAGTGTTTGCTGTAGTTTTTTATTTTCCACATTGGCCGTTTCTAACTTATTTTTATGTATGTCATTAAGACAAAGCCTGTAAAGTATTCAAGTTAAACCAGTCACTGATCATATCTAATACAAGAATGTTGTATTTTTATTACTTAAGTAATGTATAAACTTCTTTTATAAAATTATGCTAACGTTACACTAAATCCTGTCTTATTTTTCTGGAAAGCTCAAAGGTTTTTTTCCCCAACTTCTGTATGTTATTAAAGAAGGTATTTTTAGCAGCATCCCCTTTGGTTTCCCATCTAAAACGTGATCTCTTATCAACATCCTGTTTAACTCGAGACACTTACATTAAACTGGTTGTTTCCCTTTTGTCTAGAGTTACGGTGAATACACAATTTAAAACTACTGGGACAAGTACACATGATAAAACAATGATTAAAAAACACCAATGCTTTGTTGCAGATATTGCAGTTTTATTTGTATTCCTATTGATAAATCAGAAAAAGGTGTATCGTTTCAAAGAAAGAAGGCACAATTTCTGAACGGGGTTCTACCAATTACCTCAAGTTGGACACGTAAAAAGCAAGACTACGCGGACTAGTACTCCGTATCTTAAACTGAAGAAAAGAAATTGATTAAAAAAAAACATCGCACCCAAGGCCAAACCAACAAAAAAGCTGCTAAAAGTTTACAACTGCTTCTCACAGTAACGCCTGTACAGATCAAAATCATGATTGCAAACAATCCAGTTTTTCATTGGAGGCAAACAATCTGGGTAAAAAGCTCATACACTATAATTTAAATCAATACAAGTTATTTTTAAAATAATAAATAATAAATGGCAATAAAGTAAAATTACACACAATATTACAAAGCTGAATGACGGATTTTGGTTTTTTAATTACCAAAGTCTAAGTTGAGAAAACGTGAATCAAAATTTTATTTTTTAAATGGTTAGAAAAAAAAAGTTCTCCTAGTTATGTGCTATCAAAAAACATTAATAAATAGCTAGTATGTACATTTTATTAAAATAAAATATAATTAAATAGTGGTAACTGTGATAATAAGTGCACTATTAATAGAGTATGTATTGCTACTGGCAATATTTAAGTATAGCTGATATGAGGCCTAAAGTCTAGATCAAATTCAATGACTTTACACAGAGGGTTAACCTTCACAGCCTTAGCAGAATGAGTATTTACAATTTTTGGTAAATTAATTAATTAATGAATACATCTATACACTAGGGCCGCAAACACAGGAGGACAAGTATTCAAATTATTATTTTTGAACGCGACATTTTGGGTGCGAGATTATAGAGAGTGAATCGGCAAACACAAAACATGAATTCATCGCTTTAAATATACAAAATTCACATGCTTACATGGCGAAAAGAGCATCCATTTCTATAAGTATAACAAGGTTCTTTTGAATTTGATTTTATAATTTTAGTTATAAAAGTAGATGTCTATTTATAGACTCAAATAATTTAGTATTTCGACCATACAAGATTCAATACATCCAATATCAACAACAGTTTGTTTTTAATTTTCGAAGCAAGAGAAAGCAAGGAATGAAATAAATATCGAAACTTAACAAAACATACGTATGTTACACCACGGTGTATTTTGCTCTTTTGCGCTTAGTGTGTTAGAAAAATAAGGTATATTTATCATTTTCTGTTTAAATTAAATTAAGTATTTTACGTGTATTTCAATGCCCAATCTATCACATTTATTTATGAGATAACAATCGTTTATTATTTTATCCGAATATACATTTATAGCATGTTATAATTTGAGTTCTTATGTGGAAAAAATGTTTTATAATTTAACACATGTAAGATTTCAAAATGTGAAAAAAAAATGCTTTCAGGTAACTATAAAGTTACCTGATGAAACAGCAAAATTTCATTGCAATTTTAATGTACATACAAATACACGAATGAACCCTGTCATAAAACAAACTTTCCAGAGGCTGAAAAATAAACATTTATCCGATAGAGCTGTCTATAGCAGACATTTAAAAGTGCGGCTGTTCAACCTTCGACATAAAGCAGACACCCAAGATCAGCAGAAGCTTGCGTACGTCCTGGACGCTCGAGGTGACCATTTGAAGCGGAGATTTTTCAAGTTGTCGCCCTTTTCAACACAAAAAATTGACTAATATTTTCTAGAAGTTATATTTTCTCTGGAAAAAAGAGTAAAAGTATAAATAAGTATAAGTTTAATGTAATATAGATGTAAGATAAAGTAAAATTCTACAAAAACAGTTTTTAATGTGTTTTAAAGTATTTAAAATATTTACAAACTATTTCAGCGATTTTCCAAACAATAAATGCATTACATTCTTTAAAAAATGTTTTGAAGAATCAATTTTAAATTTTCATTATTATTTTGGTTATTTCTACCTTGAAATTTCTTTTGAACAAAAAAAAATCGCTGAAATAGAATGCATAATATAATAACATTACACAAAATCAAAGGTAAACACAAATTAGAAATATTGTGTTAACATAAACAGGACAGGTAACAATAGCATTGCTGCTTTCTGTTAACAAAGGTAAACGTATTAATATTGAACAACACAAAAAGTAACTGGTAAGAATAAACCAACATCTGGTGTTTAACTTTCACTGGCTTCATCTGATTAAATAAACACAACAGCTCATGTTGCTAACAGTGTCCTAAATTCTCCGGAATCCGTTTTCACAAATACTCTTAATGTGCACTTCCATATATATATATATATATATATATATATATATATATATATATATATATATATATATATATATATATATATATATATATATACACGAAATGTTAACATTTACGCATACCATAATTTGAATAAGTGCCCCATTTTCCAATCAACGACCTACCACCCATCTCACACTTACCTGTATCTCAGAATATTTTCTTTAGTGCGCACAAAAATATTTTTTGCTATGTTGTTTGGGAATGAAAATTTAACTTGAAGTCAAGGAACTCGATTTCTGAGGTTAATAGCGTTTGATGAAGAGTTACAGCCACATGTTTAGTCAAAGACCCAACCAAGCGAGTATGCTGTTTAAAGGGAACAAGTTTGGGTTTATTCACAGACACATCAGTTCGTTAGCTGTATCACCGGCTTTTAGAAAGCGAGATTTGGTCGTAAGAAGCTCAAAGTGGAGCAGCCTCGAAGCGGGTGGCAATGATTAGCATGCTGCGATAATTTTGAGAAGCTAAGCGGAGGATTTGGGTGAAGGCAAGAGTAGAGAAATAAGTTGACATTTCACGGTAATACTCTAGCGGTTCTCAGAATGTAAATCATGGCAAATTAACCAACAGTATGTGTGTGTTTAGACTTGCGAAATGTTTACATTAATTAGGGCAACTCAGTTGTGTCTGTTTTATAATATACAGTCGTGGTCATAAGTTTTACCTACTTACAAATAAACTATTCACTATAGCTGAAACTACGATGTAGAACAGCATCAACGAACAGTCAACCTAGTATTTTATTACACACTAGACCCAGATCTAGTATACGTGCTTGTGTTAGCGTTGGCGTGATTTATTTTGATTGTCTTGCAAGGAACATATTAACTCTAGCTTGTCGGGCTATATCGGAGAGGGCTTTTGTAACAGTTGCTAAATTTTATTACACACCACGTTGAAATGTTGTAATTTCAGGAACAATAACTCGACGTGTATAACGACAAAGTGAAAAAGGTTGACGACATAGGAAAAATGGGTTATAAGTGGTAAAGATTTAGGGGGGAGGAGGGGGTGTCTCATGTTGGGGGTGGTTGAAACAGGGCTGGGGACATGGTGAGACAACTCGCCACCTACCCTCCCGTGTCTGTGGCAGCTGGAGTTAGCGCCCTTGTTGAGCTAGTCCCTGAAGTAGTCTGGGTTGTTCTTGGACTTGGCGAGGGTCCTCCTTATCCTACGGCGTAGATCAGACACGGGTCTGTTGTCTGGGTCGCCGCCGGCCTGCGGACATGGACAACCAACGGACCGGTTATAAATCTTCTCTCTCCACCAGCGGAGATAACATGCTAGACTAGACTAGACTAGCCCAACCATCTCATAGTGAACGTGGAATGTTTAGCCTCCATTTAGTGAATTCTTTAAGTTGTTTTTTTTTAATTAGTTTTTCTTTTTTTTTTCAAATTAGGTAACAATGGTTTTTAAATATATAAAATTAACTTGTATACATTTAATAAGGTTGTCTTTTGATAACTTTTTTCCCTACTGAGTTGAATTTGTTCTAATACATATATTTGCATTTATTATCTAAGTTATTAACTATTTTATTTTAAAAAACGCAAACATATAGCTTGTACTCATGCGAATAACGAACGCGTTCGCGGAAATTGTTAATTTGCAGTGAAAAATATCACCATCTTACACGTTTTTTTTTAATTTTATCATTTTCTTATTCACGATCGTGAACTATTTTTTCGCGGTGCCAGTTAAGTGATAACCTTCATTTGATTAGCGCATTTGTGCCATCGCAGTATTTTAAAAAGTGTACTAACATTTTCCGCGAACTTTAAAAGCGAAAAAAAAAAGTATAATAAGCATTTGACATATGGCTTCAGCAGAAATTATAAGAATGCATGCTATCTGTAGCCGCCTATTTTAATATATTCTTCAACACTGCCCAAATTTGTTGAAGCTGATGAAATGAAAGCATAATTTGTATTGGTTGTCAAAGCATAGTATTTTCCTAGCATGCACGTAGAGTGTCGTAGAGGATGAAATAAATAAAAAAAAGCTATCGATAAGAATAAAAAAGTAACATACAGTGCTAGAAAATTGTAAAAATATAAAGCGTGCATAAAAAAAATTTAAACATAGCTTATTCATTAACCGGTGAATTAGTTCAAAAAGTTAGAATAGCGAAATGTTGAATTGTTATATTAATCGGGATTTTTAATGTTTAATTAGCAAAAGGTTACACAATTTTACATGTGAGCAAATTAGCATAAGCTTCGTTGCAGGTGTTAATGGTAGAGAGTGGGGAGAGAAATTGACGTGTTTGGTTACCTGGGGAGGCTTCTACCTTACTCACAACGTACGGAACAGGTTCAAGGACGGATAAAACTGGGTGGCTAGTCTAGACGGATAGTTTTTGAAGGTGACAAAATTAAGTGTTCACCGGGAATAGGGTAACTGATGCGTGGAAAGAGGAAAACTCAGAATAATATTTTCATGAATAAACAAGACATCCAGAAAGTTTTGTCGACAAATTACACATAGGACAAATTGATACTGATATATTACAGAAAAATAAAAGCTATTAAAGTTTGAACGCCTAGTTTAATTATTTTCTGATGTACTACATTTACTTGAATGTTATTAAAGTGTGTGAATCATCCTTTAAAAAGTGGCGTTATGAAGTACCACTTACATTAACAATGGTTTTACTGGTATCAAAATATGTAAGTTTAACAACTAGAGTTCTTATGACAATGGGTTGTTGTTTTTTTCTAACAATTTAATAATCTAAATTTTGTTGTTTTGTTTTGTGTTTTTTTTTTGTTTTTTTTTTTAAACTGAACAAATTTTCAAATTTTTTGGTATTTCTAGACTATACGAAATGTGTGAGCTATAGTCAGAAAATTAAATAAAAATAGACCTATGATTGTCATAAACTTTTACATCAGATTAGATCTCCACATCACAAAAAGTTTAGTGGAATGTCCTGTATTTAGGAATGTTCAAATTATTAGACATAAAAGGAAACCGTTGAGAGAATTTAAGGGTCGAAGGTCATAGGTGACGAGGGACCAGAGGTGTGAGTAGGCGCGTGCAAAGCAACACTTACAGCATAATATGCAGGAATTTTTACCGAGCTCCTTCCTTCACTGCTGTAAATATAGGCAACATTTTAGTAGTGAACGTGGTGTGGGGCTAGTCAACATTTGAATTGTGGTGTGGGGCTAGTCAACATTTGAATAGTGAACTTGGTGTGGGGCTAGTCAACATTTGAGAACTTGGTGTGGGGCTAGTCAACATTTGAGAACTTGGTGTGGGGCTAGTCAACATTTGAGAACTTGGTGTAGGGCTAGTCAACATTTGAATAGTGGTGTGGTGCTAGTCAACATTTGAATAGTGGTGTGGTGCTAGTCAACATTTGAATAGTAGTGTGGTGCTAGTCAACATTTGAATTGTGGTGTGGTGCTAGTCAACATTTGAATTGTGGTGTGGTGCTAGTCAACATTTGAATTGTGGTGTGGTGCTAGTCAACATTTGAATTGTGGTGTGGGGCTAGTCAATATTTGAGAACTTGGTGTGGTGCTAGTCAACATTTAAATTGTGGTGTGGGGCTAGTCAATATTTAAGAACTTGGTGTAGGGCTAGTCAACATTTAAATTGTGGTGTGGGGCTAGTCAACATTTGAATAGTGGTGTGGGTCTAGTCAACATTTGAATAGTGGTGTGGGTCTAGTCAACATTTGAATAGTGGTGTGGGGCTAGTCAACATTTGAATAGTGGTGTGGGGCTAGTCAACATTTGAATTGTGGTGTGGGGGCTAGTCAACATTTGAATAGTGTTGTGGTGCTAGTCAATATTTGAGAACTTGGTGTGGGGCTAGTCAACATTTGAATAGTGGTGTGGGGCTAGTCAACATTTGAAATATTACCTTCGTGTAATGTTAACCAAAGTTTTAATCTTTGACTTACTGTGAACATAATGCTAATGTATTGTTAAAGAGTCTATAACATTACAGGTAGTGACTTATTATTTGAACGTAAAACGATCAAGAAAATGTGTATCAAAAAGAATTGAGTAGTAGTTAAGTATTCGATAAATGTTAATTAGCATATGATTAGGTTTAATTAAGCAGCTTTTCATGTGGTATTTTCTAATTTAAATTAATATCTACTCTTTAGTTAATTAAATTAAAAATAATTAATCTATATAAAGTTAAATATCATTTACTACACAGCAATAAACGTTACATATATATATATATATATATATATATATATATATATATATATATATATATATATATATATATATATATATATATATCACTAAAGGCAAGGTAGGAAATATCATGCTAGGATAAATATTTCTTTTTTTTTCAAATACAAAAAATAAAACAATTTATCACACAAGTTTCTAGTAGTCACAAAAAAAATAAAAAATCATTAGTCACACTAATTGACTGTAGCCAAGATGATTAAAAAATAATAAATTGTTAATCACATGAACATCCCGCCTATAAAAACCATGACCTGGTGCGAGCTTTTCAACACCATAGACCTACAGGGTTGGCTTACATTATAGACCTACAGAGTTGGCTTACATTATAGACCTACAGGGTTGGCTTACATTATAGACCTACAGAGTTGGCTTACATTATAGACCTACAGGGTTGGCTTACATTATAGACCTACAGGGTTGGCTTACATCAGGGGTCTCCAAACTACGGCCCGCGGGCCGCATGCGGCCCGCGAGGTCCTTTCGTCCGGCCCGCGGAGATCTTTTTGTCCAAGGAAAAATCGTTTGTTGGTGATGGCTGAGGAACTTTGCCCAGAAAAATCAAAGACATGCCTGGAAGAAACTGGCCCCCGAGCTGAAATTTGATAGTTAATGCGGCCCTCGGGCTGAAAAGTTTGGAGACCCCTGGCTTACATTATAGACCTACAGGCTAAAGGGTTGGCTTACATTACTTTTGTATTTTAAACAGATTTAATTGATTACAAATAAAAGCTAACTGTTAGAATTTGCAAATATTTAAATTTTAGCTTTCTACTTTCTAGAAAGTTTTTTTGAAAATAAAGTTTAATTTTGCGTGTGCGTTTTTTTTTAAATTTAAAATTGAACTTGAATAACGTAATACGTATTTCTTAGAGGCTTGATTGAAAAACTGGCAGTAAGAATTTTTAAGTCTAATTCATGGGAATGTTTGAGAAGACTATTAAAAGACACTAAATAATTCTCCTTCTTACATGACTTTATTAAATTGTATTTCGCATTTAAAAATTAAAAGTAAGTCTCGAAAAAAGGCTTTGAAGCGAATGACTTGAAAAGCGATGTAGGCTATATTTCTATATTTATATAGCACTTATTTGCAAATGATCTCTTGATTTCTTACATGAAATAAAGCTGTTTAAACATGTGGTTATTTTAACACAAGCACTAATCCGCATGCGAGTGTTAGAAGGATATTGAATGGTTTTGTAATGTATGCTAAACCAAGGACAATATCAGCTTTGGTGTCTTCAATTGTTTTAAGTCTAATTCTCGTTTGTATACATTCAGCAATGACAGTGAATATACAATCTTTGTACTATGACTCAATTAAATAGTGAAGGTTCAATTAATATTTTAGTAACGAAACTTTAAATTGTGAATATTGTGATTTTAAAAACGGGATATACCCTACTAGCAAAAATATTTTTCATAAAAAAACACATTTTGTTGTAGATTTTATGCAATTTTTACTGAATTCATTAACAATAATCAACGCTATCAACCAACTTTTAAAATATGTCTAATCTAGTCAGAATAAATCGAGAACCTAAAAAACAAATTCACAGCAAACGACGTTTCAACATTAGATTAAATTCGAAAGTAACAAAAATGGAACTATTAAATCAGTTCCAAAACTCACATAAATTAGAAACAACAAAAACTGTTGAATCTCAATTATCTTTTTCAATAAGGGTCAACAAAAAATTGTTGCCACTTAAATTTCAAAATAAAGCTAATAAAGAAAATGTAAACGATTTTTTAAAAAATGTTATTTGTTTTTCTGACAAAGTGGTAATGTTGAAACGTCATACGTCTTTTTTTTTGTTGTTGTTTCCAAGATCTATCCTCGGGCTGCGTGTTAAAACACAATCAAACATCAATGTACAACCCCATCACCCAAATTTAGTGCAAAAAAAAAAAAAAAAACAACGAGGTACTGTGGGGAACTCTTCAGATAGAATGGAAATGGTGTGGTATGTACGGATACAAATTATCTAGTCACATCAGCTTTGTTAAGGATCAACTAACAGGGGAGGTAATTGGATAGGTCAGGGAGGTCAAATGTCAAACACTAAAGGTGGATCCATTTCACAAAGGTATTCCAATAATCATGGAGGTCCACTCAACGACAATGACGTAACCGGAAGTACCTGACGGTACTGGGCGTGGTGATAATCTGAGGAGCAACGATAATCCTGGGCTTAGACTTAAACACATTGGGGTAGATGAAGCTACTCTTCTCGACTGGAGATTCGGGCTCAGTCGGGCTCTGAGACCGAGCGTTCGTGCTCTGAGTTGTCCAGGGGCTTCTCGTGGCGTCCTCTGACACGCTGCTTAAGGCTGGCACAGGGTCAGCCAAGCGTGTCACGTAGCGCAGCTTGCAGAACACAGGTATATCATTAAACATGGGGGGAGGCGTTCATGTGGGGATAATTTACATGAGGGGAGGCTGTGCATGTTGGAATACATTTCATCTTAATCTTGTTTTGTTCAATACAGCTTTAAAATGAAGAACAAAGAAAAGTACATTCAAACACTTACACGATATATATATATATATATATATATATATATATATATGTCTCTCTCTCTCTCTCTCTCTCTCTCTCTCTCTCTCTATATATATATATATATATATATATATATATATATATATATATATATATATATATATATATATATATATATATTATATATATATTATATATATATATATATATGTATTTATATATATGTATAATATATATATATACATACATACTTACATACACATATACACACACACATATATATATATATATATATATATATATATATATATATATATATATATATATATATATATATATATATATATATATATATATATATATATATATATATATATATATATATATGTATATATATATAAATTGCTTTACAGAGAACGCAAATTCTAAGAATTGCTTTGGGTCAGCATATTGTGATTTTGGTCTTATAGTGTCATTACGATAATGATTTAAATTTTAACCAGGTTATATCTCGCCCTTCTAAAGCACTTAAAAAATTTGGTAGCTAAGGCGTATATTTTAATCTGCAGAGATGTGTGTCAAAAGCAGAATGTCTTCGAACTGTGTTGTTGTTTGTTTTTGTTTTAGATAAATAAATAATCATGCGCAAAAATAAAGTATTTTATAAAGGCATGCACATGGTTTATAATCGGTTCATCGACATTGTTTTAAAAACATGCAGAAAATTATGGTATAGGATCAATACAAAAATATCATAAATTTAGAAAGAAACGTCATGCAGCAAGCGGACTTTTTAGATGGAAGAATACCACTTGGCTCTCCATTGCAAAAAAAAAAAAAAAAAATAATAATCATTGGAGAAAAGGTATTAAATAATGTATTTTTTTTATCCAAGCCAATCAAATTTGGAACTGAGAATCGAGCCAAATTTTTTTTTTGCGATGGATGGCCTAGTGTAATCTACAAGTAGCCAGGATTTTGGCCCTACTTTTGGGAAGGGTTGGGTGCAATCTTGAAGTCGCTGTCCAGATATCTGTCCAGCAACTGGCGCTGTCGGTCCATCTTCTCCTGCACGTCCTTGACCCGCTCTCTCATGCGGATAAAACTGGAAGGCTCATAAATTATATCATCGGGGGACAACCTTGACTCAACACGGTACTGTGGGCGGGGTCAACAGAGGTCAAGGTCAGAACAACGCTCGTATGGTGAAGGTTTGGGTAATTAAGATAATTAATTTTAATGATGGAACAAATGACAATGACAAGACTAACTAAAGCAATCATCAACCACCGCAAGCCGAGGAATATTGTTACATATTTTGACATTACAAGGGGGGGGGGGGTTCGGGAATAACATCTTATTTTTATTAGGTGACTATTTTTGTTATTTTTGGAACAAATGATTTTATTTCAAAACACTTTGACAAACTAGCAAGTCAATAATTATAATTTAGTTATAGAATTTGGAAAACGTTTCCTGGGTAGTTTATGAAAACTTTATAAGAAAGTATTAATGGCACTGTCCCAGGTAGCTGAGAGTGACCCGATCATTCTTGTTGGCATTAAAAAAAACATTTTTCTACATTTCGTCTTCTGGGTAACCTTAAATTAATTATTAAAAATAGATCTTAAGAAAAATTTTAAAAGTTTATATTTTAAGAATCAACATTACGAGTTGCAGTGAACTTGAAAATATATTTTTTTTTGCTTTTATACATATACCACTCCTACATTGAACCAGAGCGTTTACTTTAGCATGACAAACTATGCCTGTCTATTCAGGATATCTGTTACCAGTGGCGTAGCGAGGTCGGGTGTCACCCGGTGCGGCACTTAATGGTGTCACCCCCCCCCCCCCCCAGAGGCATAGAGACCCTTCCCAGGGACAAACTTTGAAATTTTCGATTTGCACCCCCGCTCAAGTTTTCGATTTTCACCCCCCCCCCCCTCAACCTTTCGATTTGCACCCTCCCCTCGATTTTTTCTCTACATATTTTGCTATTTTTTGCCTTGGTGTCACCCCCCCCCCCCCTAAATGGTGTCACCCGGTGCGGTCCGCACCCCCCGCCCCCCCCCCCCCCCCTCGCTACGCCCCTGTCTGTTACTATTGTTCAATAGGCTCTATTTCTCTAACGGTATTTATTTTGTTCCGAGGTATTTGAAATTATTCTTATAAGGTGTCGCAATTTTCGGTGTTGTAATACAATTTTTAAAAGGAAAAGACCTGGAGACGTGACATGGAAAAAAACCCACCAAGATGATTGGATAAACCTGCCGACAGGTAGAGAGACTAGCCCAGGACAGAGATGCCTGACACCAAGAAGATTGGATACACCTGGGGACAGTTGGAGAGACTAGCCCAGGACACATGGGGAGAGTTGGAGAGATTAGCCTAGGACAGAGATGCCTGACACCAAGAAGATTGGATACACCTGGGGACAGCTGGAGAGACTAGCCCAGGACACATGGGGACAGTTGGAGAGACTAGCCCAGGACAGTTGGAGAGACTAGCCCAGGACACCTGGCGACAGTTGGAGAGACTAGCCCAGGACAGAGATGCCTGACACCAAGAAGATTGGATACACCTGGGGACAGTTGGAGAGACTAGCCCAGGACAGAGATGCCTGACACCAAGAAGATTGGATACACCTGGGGACAGTTGGAGAGACTAGCCCAGGACACCTGGCGACAGTTGGAGAGACTAGACCAGGACAGAGATGCCTGACACCAAGAAGATTGGATACACCTGGGGACAGTTGGAGAGACTAGCCCAGGACACCTGGGGACAGTTGGAGAGACTAGCCCAGGACAGTTGGAGAGACTAGCCCAGGACACCTGGCGACAGTTGGAGAGACTAGCCCAGGACAGTTGGAGAGACTAGCCCAGGACACCTGGCGACAGTTGGAGAGACTAGCCCAGGACACCTGGGGACAGTTGGAGAGACTAGCCCAGGACAGATATGCCTGGAAAGCTCTTGTCAGCGGCCTATGTCCCAGGAGAGGCGAAAAACTAACCTAACCTAAAAGTCAATACTTGGGGACGTTTCGTCAATTTTCTATAATTTATTATGTTGAACATTGCTGTGTTGTGTCACGTTTGTTGACATGTACCACGTGGCACTGAGAAAACAAAACAAAAAGTTTATGGGAAAGGGCACATTTTTGTGTAGTTAATACTGAAAAAAATATTTTTAAAACACCCGATTTTCGAAAACTTTTTCAAAGATCAAACAATAAAATATGTATAATCCCATGTTTCAATAGCATTACACGCGATTTTAAACGCTATGAGTCCCCCGATTCAGCGTTTTCTGGGTCAATGCCATTAAAAAAAAAATAAAGGTAAAAATATCACAGGTAGTAGAGATGAATGTTGAACTGAGGCATGTTAAACAATTTAAAAAATAGCCCTTGTTCTTGACCAACGTACCTGCCAAGATAACAGATTTTTGGGTTTTGTGAAACCGTCAACATCTCTGATAGCTTTTCTGTCGGTGGGTTTGGGCTGAACCAAAATTCAAGGCAGGGATCACAAAAATTATTCAAATAAATCGGGGATTGAAAGAACTTCACTGCACGTTGGAACATTGTCTCGAACTATGTAATGTTCTTCACAAGAACGTTTTTAAAAATATAAGGTGATCAAGTTTACTGTTTATTAGTCTAAAGAAATCGCACGATGATACGGCCTTCCCCTACTATCTACACTGGCTGAATAAGAATCACACGTTAAATGTATTTAAATTTTATGAACGGGACTGGAATTTTAAAAATTATTGTTGACACTGATTCAAAACATGTTTTTACTATTTATCTATTCATTAAATGTATTTAATATTTACATAAGTTTTTAAATTTAGACTTTTAATTAAGTATAAAATAATAATGTGAAACAAAGACGTTAAAAAATGCTTTTTTTTTTTTAACTAAACAATGAGTAATTCAACTGGGATTCTTAAGAATCTGCTTTATAATAACAAATGCATTATTACAATTAATTTTTCAACGTATAATTAGTAATTACCACTATTCGTTTTGTAACTATGAAGAAATATAAACAAAGTTATTAATTTGGTTTAATTTAAAATTAGTTCCTATTAAAAATATCATATCCATGAAGATTGTCAATTACTTTTTTTTATAATAGCCTTCTTTGTTTACAACAAACATATTTTCAACATTCCAAGTCCATATCACATTTATTTGTAATTTATAATTATTTTTATATTATTTTTACACGCAAACAAATTAATTGAACCTATTTCCTATTCAGCAACAAATGATCAAATGAACGATACTTCAAATAAATGCAGACATGATTTTAATCTACTTCTACAATATCTGCTTGTTGCTAATTTAAAAAAAATGATTATAGCCCTCAACAATGAAACCGTGTCAATGAAATTCTTTCAGACTAAACTAAATACCTAGAGGAGGTATAACGAAGTTAAAGACTACATTAAAACACAGTGAACTCCGATTATGGTTTTGAAATTTTAAGCTGTAGGCTATGGCAGACACTAAAATCACTTTACATAGTTTGTGTGATGGTAGAAAAAAATTGAAGCAAAATAAAATCTAGTTTTCTAATATTTACTTTTCGCCAAAATCACTTTATACAGTTTGAGTGATGGCAGAAAAAAAATAAAGCAAAAAGAAGTTAATTTTTGAAAGTGAAATACATTTTCAAATATTTGCTTTTTCCCAAAAAAGTGATTCGCGTCTAAGAAGTGATAATTATTTTATTTACAGCCTTCTTTAGTAACAGTATGTGTGATAATGAAAAGCTAATTTCAACATTTACATTTCAACTCGCATCTTGATCACATTTAGTGGGCATAGATTTGTTAAACATCCACATTTATTGGGCATATATTTGTTAAACATCCACATTTTACAATGTGTCAACGGGTGTTTGGTGAGTGATGATATACTGTTATCAACAACTCATCTCTCAATGTGTTGTCTTGCTATCATCAACTACTATTAACCACATTAATAGGGTGTGTACGGTACTGTTATTTTTTTTTTAATTCTAGCTCTGAACTTAACAGTACACTTAACTTCATTTTGTTAAAAATGCAAAAAAATTTTTTTTTATATTTTGAATATGATTTTATACTTGATATGAAGAGTTCACTGTGTTAGGAAAACATCACATCTATGAAGTATTCTGCTAACTATTCATCATTAGAAAATAATTACATAATGAAATGGGCAAAAATTAATTGTCAACTGTGCATGAAATACATTTCGCTAGAAAAATGTTAAAATTTGAAAAAAAAATGTTGTAGATATATTATAACTTTCTAGACTATTCCTAAACGTATGCCTTCTACGTTTTAAAAAAAAATTAACTGGTAAATTTAAAGAAATACTATTTAAAGTATATTTAAATTTTAATTGATCCCAGCTTTTATTTAGCCAGGAATTTGCCATGACATGGCTAAGATAAGTAAAGTTTATCTGGCCAATACTGTGGCACTTACCAAAGGTGGTCTGGATGCATGGAGCGCGCCTGTGCTTGGCGTGCGGTAGTAAATCCCCTCCTGAAATAAGAGTTCTCTCAAAGGCTTTGGAAAAACTGAGCAAGCATTGCCATGGGCTTGACTCAAGCAAGTGACATGCTCCATTGAGTTGAGAAACATTTTTACAGTAGCTTGTAGCAGTATAACTTAGTTATTGCTTTAAAATAATGTCTTAAAGCTAAATAATTGGGTGCTAGAATCTTAGAGAGTTAAATTGAATAAAATCTACATGATTGTTTTCTTATGATTTATACGATGAAAATAATCTATTCTTTACATGTAATCCGGAATAGTTTTAACACTATTTTTTAATCATTTTAAATAGACTGGTATGTTTAAGTGTTATCTGTGTTTTTCAAATAATCTCCTAAATAAATTCAGTAAATATATTTAATATTTAATCAAAGCTATTGCATTTTAATCAATATTAATATTTGTGTTGAATACCAATGGTAAATAAAAATTTAATTAAATGCAATAATGTTAAATGCTGAAAAAAAATTGATTAATAACCGCCTTCCTGACAAAAACTGCACAACATCGCACACCAAAGCAGTCAACTGACAATAAAAATATATTTCACAAAATTGAAAAAGTAATGATTTTAAAAGAACTAATTTAGTATATGAAGTGAAATTGAAGGAATGTTCACACGATAAAAAAAAACTTTACAAGCATGATATCTGGATAAAGCATTGCATGCAAGCCGAGGAAGAAAACAAAAACTGCTCACAATTTGTTTGCTTTCTTTTTAAATAAAAAAAGCTTTTTTTAATCTTCCCAGAAAATGTGAAACTTTTGCCTGCAATAATCATTAGGTGAGCAGTCTTCATTGTTCCATCTAACCACATATCATGTGAAATGAAATGTGGTTTGTGTTACCTTGTGTTGTCAATGTGTCTGTGTGCTTTGTTCCAAATCAAGCTTTGTTTTAGTGAATGTGCAGATGGGCTAATCAAACTGGTGACTTAGTCCAAATTGTTATTAAATCGAAATCAAGGCAGAAAATTCTTTCGCCTCTGTGCCAGTCGTTCTAAGGGCTTTTGTATAATAGCTATAATAGGACAGACTGAATTGTATTGGCATTAACGAAATGCCAATATTTGATATCCGGTTTTGGCGCATTGAATGCGCCAATAGTTATATTATAGTCGACACCGTACTAACATAAAAAATAAAGAGCCACAAAGTTTTTTTAACCAGATGAGAAGCCAGTGATTTCTTTCACAAACACTCCATGTTATCCTCCATCTAGGGCAGACACCAATCTGCTAGGGCAGATACCAATCTGCCCGGCAGCTCTACCCACGTGACTATCGGCTTACCTCAAGTTCATCTCTCTTCAGCTCCCGGAGCTTGTTGGCCGCGAACTCTGAGCGGGGTCTTCTCTGCCTCTTGGGACCGTCAGCTTCCATCCTACTGCCGATAATTGCCGCCTGCCGGACCACAAGACGTGTCAGTTAGGAGGTTTTGGTTCTTGGTCAGTTAGTGGCACGGATACTTCTCACGTGCAAGCTCTCTCTGACGTGCAAGCAGCCAATCACGTGCAATATATTCCTCTAGCCGGTGCGGGTAGTTGGTCACGTGATTAACTCAAGTTTTAGCAATTCTTTTTTCTTTAGCTCAGGTTAAAATTTTCATTATACGCTAATTTCTTTTATTTTTTTGGTAATCTTTATAATTTAAGTCATTTATAATCTGAAATATTTGAATTTATCATTTTTTTTTCGCAAAAAAAGTAAAAGTTTTAATGTTTTTTTTTTAAACATAAACAAATTTTGTGACCAACTTGATCTATGTATTAATAGTCCAGTTACGTTGCGTAAATTGGCAAGAAAAAGAGCATTCCACCAAGGTTACCTGGCAACAATCCTAGCATTCTTTTGGTTTTCATTTCCTGTTAGTATGCATGGAACAGACGACCAGAAACGGAAATGACGTCAAGTAGCAGCCGACAGTAGAGCGGCAAGCAGGCATGGTGGTTACATGATACGTACACAAAACAAGAGCCAAGACCGCCACCGAGTTACGTGATACGCCGTAATATCCGGTTCTAGAAACAAAAATTTCCGTTAAAAATTGTTACCTCCCTTTTAAACTTAATTCTTGATTATATTACCCGCTTTACATTTATCATTTCGAAAAGTTCGCATTTGTTTAAAAGTAGCGATTCTTTATCACAGAAAATAAGGCCAAGCAATAATTTTGTTCACAAAAAATTGACAACATGCCTCCGCCCATGAATTGCTCCTTCGCTTCATGCAGCAAAAAAAAAATAATAATAATAATAATTTTGTAAAATAAAAAAATAAAAAAATAAACTGATTTTGTAGAATTAAACGTTTGAAATATACTTCGTGAAAAATAAAACAGGTATTTTTAACCATTTGATGTCGGTGGCCATCTTGAAATCATGCAGCGTTTTTATTATTTCAGAAGGCAGAAATAGTAGCAGCGAAAGTGTCATGGTTTTAATAAAGCTCTAGAAAAAAAGCGAAATGAAATAAAAAACGTGAAAGATCGACTTGATGGTGGAAAGAAAACACAATTTAAAACATTTATTGCCGTTTTTTTTTTTTTTTTTTTTTTGCTTTGTTTTTTTTTTTTTTACTTGAAGATGTGTTTTGTTCACTTTTCAACATTCCCCAATGTTATAGCACGTTTGTGTTTGTGTGTGTATTATTTTTTACACTGACATTTTGTTTGAGTGCCCCCTACGTGTGTGAATTGAAGCTGCCACACAAGGTAGTGACAGAGGAAACGTTAAGGCAAATAAAAGAACAACGACTACACATTGATGGCGGATAAACCAGCTGCAGCAATAGGAGATCAGGGCGGAAAACATTAGCTGTCAAAAATTGTGAGTACAAATCAATTGATGATGTGTGAATTTTCATTTTCCGTCCTCGAATTTGCTGATTTTCATTCTTTTTCTTATTTTAATTTTAAAATAGTATTTTAAATTTTTTTTTACTTTTAATTTTATTTATTTTTTATTTTTTATTTTTTTATATATATTTTTTTTTACAAAAAATGCAATAGCGAAAACCTTTTTAGAAACTTTTTAATAAAAATCTGGCTGACGGAAAATGAAATGATAAATAATACAATGGTAATCACCTTAGACCTATTGCTTGGCCCTGGGCCGTTCCAAGGGACATAAACCTGAGGGAAGTTCCCCAGAGATGGGCGAGGTGGCTTGGTCTCTGGACCATACTTTCCGCGGTGGGCGTATAGGTATCTCGACAAGGCCCGCTCTTTGACTTCCGGGATCGAGTAGTAGTAATCAGAAGCTCTCTCAAAGACTCGAGGCTCGCTGGCAGCCCTCGTCAAAACTCCAGGGTAGGATCTCCTGTTCTCGGCTCTTGCTCTAGCAAGCAGACTCGCGTCACTCCTCAAGACTCGTGGTCTGTGGGCCCACAGCGTGGAGGACGGGAGAGGCTCGCGGTACGGTGAGTCGTACATGCTGTGTCGACGTTGTGGCTCCACCGACGTGGCTCTGGCACTTCTCCGGAAGTCGGCTCTGACGGGAGCATGAGCCCACAGCTTTGTGCTGGGGATGGGCTCCGGGGCGTGGTAGGCTGGGGCTACTGGTTTCCTCGGGCGAGGGGGCAGAGAAACGCCCCTGAGACCTCTGATATCAGGGGGTGGGACTGAGCCTGCTCGGGCTCTGACGGACCAAGGGGATTCTCCCTGGGATAGAACGACTGGCTTAGAAGCGATGATGTTATGATTAATAGGACTACAACTACTATTAGGAACCAACATGACATAAACAGGCCCCGGGGGTGGCTGCCTGGCCAGCGCCGCTACCTGGATGTGTTGGTGCTGCTGGACTTGCTGTCCAGGGAGGGGCCGGGATACGGGCGGAGCTGTGCTGGCCCGTACCCTCCTGCTGACCGTTGCGGCCCGCGGGCTAATGTGTTGCTCTGTGGACACCTGCGTGGATGAGGGTGATACCATTCAAGGGAAACGAAGCTACTCATAGGGGATGAAATGGATCAGATAGTTCTGGGTGGGTAAGTGAGGGGGGTAAAGAGTTTGGTGGGTCAGGAGCTCTTCAGTTATGTGATTGCTAGTTGTGTTTTTTTTTTAAACTTCGACGTTTGTGACATTTGTCTTGAATGTTCAGTCAATGAGCTTAAAGTTTCGAAACACTTTCTCACAATTTGAAAAGTGTTAAAGAATTTGGATTGGATAAAAGCATTCACATTTCTGAAGGTTCCAGAGAAAACTGTACAAAAGTCAAGAGCACCAGAACACCAAACAGTGTCATCTAATGTCAACCTGGTCATCAGCAAAGGGTTAAAAAATGGAAGTTAACAAATCACTATGAGAAGTTAACAAATCACTATGAGAAGACTACCATGATTTCTGATATAAAAAAAACTTGAAAAAAAACGCATCAACACCTCACTATAACTTATGACAAAAGGTGAAAATAACGAACCCATCAAAACTGCAACACTGATACTACTTGCTAACTGTCTATAACAAATGTTATCAAGTGTAAAAAAAACTACTGTGTTCAGCAAACTACTACATTTTCTACTTGGCTTACTGATTGATATCCCCAATTTCTCGTTGACTGTATACGAAATAAAGAGGTGGAAAAAATAAATAGAAAAATATGAAAGAAATGTATACAGCATGAAAAAAATAGAGTCAAATAAAAAAGCATGATTAAATTAATTAATCTGAAAGAATAACAAAACAAAACAAAAAATATTCATGAAGAAAGTAATGGTGAATGGCTCTTAGCCTTTTCTAAATGTCTCACAGTCAGCCACCAGTGCTTTTAAGGTTAAACACAGCGGCGGTGTGTTCCAATAGGACTGAACAAACAGCCCGGACGTGCTAGGAAACTATAAATTATTGCTTGGCTCCTTAACATAACTCGGTGCGTTTCGGTAGCTCGCGATCGTGGTCGGTTTTGGTCTTGTTATGTACAAATCCTCGACATGTATCCCCCATCTCGCTTACCGTACATCACATACAAACATAAAGCATGTGTAAAAGTAAGCATAGATGTCAGGCACTGCTGGTTAAAATAAAAATTTTGTAATGCCGTTGTTGAAACAGGTGGAAAAAAGCAAACAAAAAAAAGTACAAGAAAATCACGCTTGGGATGATGGTAGAGTTTTGTGGGATTTATTAGTAAAGGGAGGTAATTTGTAAACATTTTTTTTAAAGTTGTGGTTTAGAGAGCAACGCCAACATGTTAGTAATAAAGCAAGCATATACAGGTAAAAATATTCTAAGGTAAACATCCTATAGCAAGCAGGGCTCTATTCAGGGGTAATAAGCCAGAGCACAAATAAGCCAGGGGAGAGCATTCGCAAAGCTTAAACATACAGGGAGTCAACCATGAAATCACTTTATTGTTTATTTGTAAGCTAGAGTTATATATCCTACTAAAATAGTAGCTCTTGAATTTTTAAGAAATAAAGTTTTATTCATTAATCTTTTTATTTAGTATTAATTACAAATAAATTATTCTAATAAATTAATTGTTTATGTATTATTATGATTATCTCCCTTGTCGCCGCATTTTAAAACACAAATGACTACAAGAGAAATCGAAATTGTTAATTTAAAGCAAAGCTGTTATAAAAACGTTATTCTAAATATCAAACCACGTTGACATTGTTGCTTCAACGGCCGCAGTCCGCATGTTGATGGTAAAAAAAAAACCTGACTTGATGAAATAGATACAAACATTAGTATCAGCCGTGTGAAGGTTCCACCACAGATCTCTAACAGATACGTTTTGTAGGACACTCTCGGATACATAAACAACGTACGTATTGCTCTTATAAACTAATACTTTCTAAATGGCGCTTTGTTACTATAGCAATAGTTTTTGGTCTAGTTTTTCTACGTCTAAACTTGTTTTTTTTTTTAACTTTTATTTTAGGCCGGATGCAGTTTCAAATAATTATTTTTTTTAACTTTTTAAAAGTATATTACAGGTTTTTCATCTTTTTATTATGCCTAAATATTCAATGCATAGATTTATTTTTAAGTTTGAAAACTTAATTAGTCTATTATTAAGTTGTAAATATTTAAACTTTTTTTTAAAGCTACAGCTAATATTTATTTATAACTTGTTAATATCATAGTTTGAACACAAAAAAAGTAATAATAAAGGGAAAAAAATGCGAAAGCAAAGATTGTTCATTCCATATGCAGTCACTGAAATGCACAGAAGCGTCTGAGAGTTTACGGAATGGAAGCAGAAGCACATAAAAAAGCTACAAGCATAGGGGGCAGGCGAGAGAGCGAACGATACGAACCACAAACATGACATTATTTGCACTGAGCCGTTGTCTTAAGGCTGGGCTAGACTTACTTTGGCATAAAGATTAGCTAAAGTTGTCAATGCTACTTTGTTTTTTTTTAATTCGTTTATATTAGCAAAATACTTTAATTGATAAGATTAAGCTATCTCATATTAGAAGCCTTTATCCCAAAGTAGGTCGCGGCCATTTCACCCCCGTGACATTACGAGATTATACCCAAACCGCCAAGTGTATACATATTTTAGGCGACAAGTAAATCAACATACAATTTAATCAGATTTTTCCCCAAACTGTCAATACCCGTATACGGTATTCCTAAATGTGCAGTAAGTGCATCAATTAGATTTTTTATTTCTTTTAAATTTTGGAGTAAAGTTTTTTTTTATCTTGGGATAATCCCGCAATGCCACTGGGCCCATTAAGGAGGAGATTACCTTGATATTAATCTTCTCTAACACAGTAAGCTTGGTGGGGGATCCACTATCGCCGCCGGCCCTGTAGACGGGCAGGTGCAGCTTCTTGTCAGACGGCAGACTTGTCTCGCTGACCACCAGCGGGAACACGTCGACGTGGTGGTGCTGACCGCCGTCCAGTCGCGAGCGGTAGGAGGAGACGGGCACGCTGTGGGCGCGCCCAGAGATGTGAACGGGCATGGTGACGGTGCGATGGACGTAGGGCGATGGGCTGCTGACCGTGGCGACGCTGTGACCACGAGCGTAGTCGCCCCTGTTGACGTGGTCCCTGATATCGGTTCGGATGTCACGAAGTCTATTTAAGTACTTTGATAAAAATGAATCAGCCGGGCTGACATCCTTGGGTGCGATGCTTAATATTCTCTCATCTAATCCGATGTGTGATCCCCTTAACGGAATGGGTGGAGGGTAGTATCTAAACCCATAGCGGTTCTGACCATCTTCTGACACGGCACTGCCTTCAACACTGAGTACGAGGCTGGCGTTCTTGTATTCGGGGAGTTTAGAGTTGGCCAGGACTGCTCTTGCCTTGGCCGCGGTGCTTGATACTAGTGAGTCTAGCAGGGGGTGGGTGCTGGGGGAGGGGAGCGCCACGTCACTACTCCTTGAATAGGATGGCAGCACTGTAACTCTGGGGAGGGAGCTTTGTGGTGGGGACAGACGGGGCAGGCTAGATGTGTATGAGGGTAGAGGGCTGTCGTCTTCGTGGGTCAACTCCAGAATTCCGTGCCTCGACGGACCGAAGGGAACATAGTCATACATCTCGGCCATATCAGCTTCATAGGAGCCGTCGTATTCTCCGTCGTAGCTGCTCAACTTCAGAGGAGAAATGCCGGACGGCCGAGGACAAGAGTAGGTTCCAAACGAATCAGAAGCATCGTAGTACTCGTCTTCACTACCATCGGGTGAGCCAGCTCTATGGTAGGAACTACTCACGGGCGACCTGATGATCCTGTACTTCCGCCTGTAAGACTCGGGCTCGTAATCTTCATCGTCGCTGCCAGCATAGTCGTAGTCGCTGCTGGCCTCGGCTCTAGAGATGTAGGGCGAGGTGGATCTGTAGGACGGGCTGTAGTCTCTCCCAGAGTCCGAGAGAGCCGATGTGTAGGGTACCAGTGACCGGATGTTGCTGGGACTGCTGGAGCGGGGCAGGTAGGAAGTGTAGGAGATGTTGGAGGCAATGTCTCTGGGAAATGGCCGCGGTGGGAGGGAAGATCCCCTAAGGTAAGAGTCAATTCTAGACGAGAGCAGGGACGTCGGGGGCGGGCTTGATGCCAGAGCGGATCTGATTTTCTCGGCGTTGCGGTACGGCACTACAGCTGAGACGGGTTTGATGTCCACTGGAGGCAGGGATTGGAGGCGCTTGGTTGGCCGGCTGATCCGTGTGGGGGTGCTATCTCGTGAACTACTAGACGGCCTCTGTGTTAGACAATTGTAAACCCAGTTACACACAATACAGGTAGCTATTCATTTACCCTGGGTGGTTTGTTTTATAACTGATAGTCCCATGGTTACACGGATAATGGGGTGCTATCTCGTGAACTACTAGACGGCCTCTGTGTTAGACAATTGTAAACCCAGTTACACACAATACAGGTAGCTATTCGTTTACCCCATGTGGTTTTTACTTTGTTAACTGATAGTCCCATGGTTACTCGGATAACGCAATTTCTTAACGATATTCTACTGAAATATTCTTTATAAAAATTTAAACGTTAAGACCAAATACCGAACGCGTTTTCAAGAACTCTATTCTTTAAAACTAGCAAAAGTTACAAAAAATACGTTGATACAACCTGCTTTATGTCGGTGACTGATTCTCTGCAAGATCTATTCGAGCACTACTTATCACTACCCCATGACAGGCCTTAACTATGGCGTACTGCTGTCAAACCTATCGCGATACGGGGGGTGCTGGTCTACTCTCGTGTATAGTAAACGAAGGTTTTTACAATGGTCAAATATTCGAGACACTTCCGTAGCAACAGGTGGCTGAACGGTGAACAAAATCAAAGAAAAAAAAACTGACAAATAAAAAAAAATCAATGTCAAGGACTGTGTGAGCAAATGAATAACTGAACATCCACTTGAGAAACTGGCCAGTGCCATATGAACAATGCCCAAATTCATGGAGGGGGGAAATGCTTCTTTGAAGCCTATAGGTCGACACACCGGACATCTAGTACTACAATTGTATGGGAGGGGTGGGGGCAAACAGGATTACAGTAGGAAGGATGGCGTCGCAAAATGTTTTAGATAATTGGTAATCGGGAGATCTAATCAAGGAAGGAAAGGGGGGCAGATGGGGTATGTGTGATTGACAAAATGAAACAAAAAAAATACAACTTAAGACCAATGATTGAGATCTGTGGAGGTACCTCACAGCGTAATGCAGCAGTACGCTTGTACACTAGCGTGGCGTACAGTGTGTACACTTTGTACACCAACCTAGCATACAGTTTGTATTAGAGTCAACTTAAAGAGCAGACAAACTGGTTGGAGGTCAAGAGAAGAGAAACATTGTTTATGTGATAAGTGGAGAAATAAAAAAGCTAAATCTGAAAATGTAAAAAGCAAATCAATCTCATATTTAACCCACCAGAATAGGATGATATCTGAGGAGAAATGGATGGTTTATTTAGTACACGAAACACAATACATGATTCTTGTGTATAACATGGAACAAGTTGTAATAAAACATTTCATTTGACATGTGTTAAGCAGGTGTGTAAGATTTAAGAATTTAATCTAAGTTTAATTTGGCTCATGAATATCTATAAGCCGAAGTAATTGACTTTAATAGTAATTTTCAACAAATTAGGAAAGGCGATACTTTAAAAATTTAATAGCGTTAATCTTAGATAACCTTCTTATAGACTATATCTTCTTTGTCGCCTACAAAAAAGCATGAAAATAACATACATGGAGCATTGTATACAATCACCCAGTGAAAAAAAAAATCTTTGTCAATATTTTATAAATTTTTCTTTCTTGTATGTTTGCTCCTCATTTCGTAAGTTTAAACTAGTTTTTTGTCGTTACGTATCACCTAAACAAAGGTAAGTTTGTGCTGTGGAAAGGTGAAAAAGAAAGGGGTACTCACAATGGCGGCATTGACACTCCGCAAGAGTTCATTGTCCTTGCCACGGGAGCGGGTGGCGGCCTCGTAGGTGTCCTCAAGGACAGCGTTCGAAAGGTAGTCCGCCCTGTGGATGCTGTCGTCTATGGCGTAGTCGTGGCGGACATTGGCTGAAATACGAGAAGGGAATTTTTTCAAAGAGAATACAACAGGGGCATGGAATCAATGGTCTTAAAACATTTCAGTTGAATATAATAGAGGCATTGAATCAATGGTCTAAACGCTTTAAAATTAAATGCAATAACGGCAATCGTCTAAAAGTGTTCACTTTAAATACAATAGTAGCATTGAATCACTAGTTTAATACATTTCAGTAGAAATGAAACAATGGTCTAAACGGTTTCAATTCAGGGGCGGAACTACCATACCGCCAGACCCCGCAATGCGGGGGGGGGGGGGGGGGCAGGACGTTTAGGGGCCCAGTTCCGACCAAAAAACAATCAATTTTTTTTTCAAAAATTATGTTTCTCATGCATCTTGAAAGTGGTTTTGTAAAAAATAAAACAAGAGGTCTACTATAGCAGAGATTGTTGGGTAGAAAAATATTTTAAAATCTACAAGAGCTATAGTTTGAAAGGTAGGTAAACATTCACACGACTTTCATGACTTACTGCCCTTCTTTAAAATAGGGATGCCCACGAAGCTCATTTAAATAGTTTTGTACTATGTATATTAAAAAGCAATTAATTCTCTGAATTGTTACTTAAATAAGACGTACTATACAATAGCATAGTTGTAAAAATCAATATTTTCAAAATTGATATTATAAAAGCCACAAATGAAAAAAATAAACATAACGCGAGAAACCATTCACGAATCAAGCTAACGTCTTTATATATTTTTGACCAGCATGATTATGTTTCATTAACAACTATAGATAGGTTTGGACTAAATTTTTTCTGGTTTGTTCTCTCAGAATGGTTATATATTGCAATGAAGTAGACCAGGGGTCGGCAACCTTTTGAAGCGGGAGAGCCAAAAGTTACAATTTTCAAAATTTCCCTGTTTTTAAAGAGCCACTAACATTTTTTTATATCAAATATCTTATTTTTTATTAAGATTATTAGTATTTGTTCAAGGAGCTGGAGAGCCGCATCTTGATATCAAAAGAGCCGCATGCGGCTCGCGAGCCGCAGGTTGCCGACCCCTGAAGTAGACTAAAGTACTCAGTTAGGATATAGATTATATATATATATATATATATATATATATATATATATATATATATATATATATATATATATATATATATATATATATAGGGGGCCCTAGTTTTTTCTTTGCGGGGGAGCCTTTGATTTCTAGTTCCGCCAGTTTCAATTAAAAATACAACAGATGCACTGAATCAACCGTTTAAAAAATATTAATTAAAATATCACAGCGATACTAAATTAATCTTCTAAAAGTGTTCAATTAAAATACAATAACGGTATTGAATGAACCGTATAAGCGTTTTCAGTTAAAATAAAATTACTACACTGAATCAATGATATAATAGAACAGAGAAGTGTATGTCATATTTCATTGAGAAATAATGACAAGGTATGCCTCCATACAGTATCTTAAAAGCTTTAAACTAAATTTGAGACCATGATATAGGTCAAATAATAAGGATGGATGTATCATACATTTGTTCGGCAAAGTTTTATGTACTGGTAATCAAAGGTAAAGTTTTTTGTTTATTTTTTATTTTTTTAGAAAAAGCCTATGAACATTTATCCGGCAGGGTGCACATAAAGTCCTTAAATCCAGTTGCGTTCCAAGGCGAGGTGCGGGAGGGGGGGGGGGGGGGGGTTCATCAGCACAGTGTGACACAATGTACGGGGCGACACCAAGCCAAAACATCGTTAAATTAAGTGTCAACAATGGTTTTTTTACAGTTTAAATGATAACATAGTAGGAGGGGTGCGCCACCGAACCGAAAATGCTAAAACATAGATGGGGGGGGGGGGGGGTGACACAATTATTTCCCGAGTGACACCCGACCTTGCGAAGCCACTGCTAATACTCTAATATTAGGATCATTTACAGGAAAATCCATAACAATTGGGTTCCTGTATGTTACCAGCTTAGATGAACCAATAGGTGACACTTTTCAAAAATATTTGGTGCCACTGTTTTGTCTACAGACTTTGTGTGCACTCTGTGTTGATGCGTGTAGTATATAAGAAGTCTTACAGTAATTGCTATATCTGGGGGCGGCTACAACAGGTCCGTGCCGTCTGACCGGCATGGCGAACGTTCTTGGATGATACACCGAGTGGCCCTTTGTGCCCTGAAAAATAATAAGGTAAGAGGTCATTCAGTTGTGATGGCATAGAGATGTGCATAAATAATTTGTTGTATTAGCAAAGGTATATGTGCTGACACTCAACGTTCTGTATTTCAGGGGACGTTACCGCTATAGTTCACTTCAACAAAAAGAGTAATCCGAATTCGGCAATGACACATTTGTGGATGTATTTATTTTTTAATTATTTATTTTTACGAAAAAATAAAATATGTTTTTAAAAATAACTCATCTTTTTTAGTTAAATACTTTGCCCATTTTTAAAGTGAGTAATAAATAGTTTTATGTTTGTGTTTAACATGGTCTAAAAGACAAATATTTAAAGAGTTGTTTCCCTTGGGGTTTTGAAAGTGAAAAAACGGGCTGGAAGGATTGAAATATTGTTGTCTTAAAAATGCAACTCATGCGCTTTTCGAAATTAGTATACTTTCCGAAAAATTATATAGTGAAAAAATAAATATACTTGTTGTAACATCTATAATTGGACATTTAGTGCTACTAATCGTTGAGTCCAATACATGTAGGCTATTGCGTTATTTTTATTCATTTGAACGCATACTTGATATATTGCATTGAATCAAGATTCAACATGTTGTAAACAAATGTTCTTCTTTACATCAATTTTTAGCATATAAAGTAGGCTCTGACTGTGTGAGCGGTGAGGGGAAAGGGGGGGGGGGGGCGTGATGCTTATTAGACAAATTTTGTTCAATCGTTATTTATAATAATGTTGTTTTTTTTAATTAAAAATAATAAATTTAAGTTAAATTGTAGAAATCGGCGTTCCTTAATCAGCACTTGGAATAATCTTTTAAGTAGATCCAGACATTAAATTGATAAATCATTACACGACTGATAATTTAGTTTTACGAAACGTTCAGGCGACTAACATTAAGCACAACTATTTTTTTTCTCGTAAATATCTAATTTTGTTTATATCAAGTTAGAATCTAATTACATAGAGCAAGAGAACTATTACATTCGGTAACTCGAGTAACTGTATTGTGGAAAAAAAAATAAGTTTCCTAAAGTTAAACATTTAACTGTAGCTAAACTACTCAATTATTATGATACAAGTTTTTTTCAAACATCATCCTACTAAAACAATGTCAATTTAAGGCAATGAATAAATATATATATATATATTAAAACATTTGATTTGTAAAGTAAGCAACTTTTAAATAGCAAGCTAATGAACACAATTAGTGAGGTTGTTAGCACCACTGACAGTATTACAGCTGTCACAGACACGAATAAATAATTTAACCTTTAATTTTTAAACCACAGAACTAATGAGAAATTAGTCAACCACACGATAACAATATGTCCGCTTATCAAGGAACTATAAGAACATTATACCGGCAGTTCCCTGAGATAAAAGCACCGGTACCCGAGAGAACCTTCTGGATAGTAAACACCTACCCTGCGTTCAAGACGAAAGAACAGACGGGCCGGAGGATGCCAGATTTATCCAGCCGCGCAACACACGGACGTTGGTGAGCACGCGCGGGGAGCCAGAGTGAGCACGGTACAGGTAAGGAATGGGTTGCAGTGTGTGGGGACTCTGTGAGCACAGGTGGGGTGGGTAGGTGGGTGGGTGGGTGGGTGGGTTTGACGTAATAGCATGAAGACCTGTGCCAATTTTTTTTAAAATAATACTTTTGTACTCTTAAACATTGACTACTGGTGTAAGCATTGTTTGATTTATTTTTAGATTGATCTAAACCAAAAATCAGGAAAAAAATGTTGGCCATGGTTTGTATGTACAAGACGTTAACATGAGGACTTTTATCATGCAAGTTAACAACTTCCTACTAGTACCTGTTCCATAATTATAAATCCGTTTTCGTCAAATAACTTGTTAAAAAGATGTAATATATGTATTTATTACAGCATCTAGGCCATGATAGGTCGGGATTCTGTAATGAGAACGGGATCTGTTTTGCTTAGCCTGCACTTGAGTCTGCAGAGTTAAACGCCTACGCGAATTCTTTGTGAGTAACGATTTGATGTAAGGAAAAACAAGTTTGTTTTTCTTAAATACTTTAATTTAGGTTAAGAAACGAAATAAAATTTTCTCAGAGGCTGAATAAGGGATAAAACTAGCTAACAGCATAGGTTCAACAATATCAAATGTTCTAATTTAATTTTAACATGAATATTGTAATTCTAATTTAAATAAAATGATTGTTTGTGTAATTTTTTTAAAAATGTTAACTAGTTCCTTATTCTTTTTAAACACGATCCTAGGTCTACTCATCTACACATTGCTGAGTTTAATTTGCTTACGTCACAAGTCTGTCGTGCAGGTGATTCAACTTCAGCTCAAAATAGCTGTGGCTGTACGGAGTTTTATTTGTTAGACTCGCATCCCAAACATTGGATGTTCTTGTGTGAGATTAATCGAGAATCAGATGGTATAAATAGATCTATTTGGAATGTAGAATAGCTTCTTGCAGCAATGCAATCAGTTCGTTATAATTAAAATGATGAAAACACGAATTCAATAATTAGCACCACCAACACCCCTCTCCCCCTAAATCAGATACAAATTTTCTATAAAGTACAACTAGGTAATTTTTTATTTTCATCAAAGCTGATGATTATAATTGCTATCCTCTACCTTCAAATGAGGACTCATCAAGCCCTAAACCCATGTTTAATGTAACCTAGGGTTACAATGTCCAGACGGAAAGACCAGACACTACTTCGTTTATACGGATAAACAAAAGATGATACTGCTGTTTAAACTGACTTTGTTTATCTTAAGGTTTTTTTTTTCTTCCCAGCAGAACTTAACAGACCTATGGCATGACAATACCAGCTAAAAAAGCCTCTCTTTTTTAAACCCTTCACAACATCAAGTAAACAACGCCATTTTGTTTTATCCTTCGTGGTATCTTCCTCCCCACTACCCAAATCTCCCAATGACCCCCCCCCCATTATTTCTAAATCGCCCATCCCCCTCCCCCATCACCCAAGGTGCACACAGAGTACTGTATCAACCTTACACAAATCTACCCATCCCTCCCCCACCACCCATGGTGCACACAGAGTACTGTATCAATCTTACACAATACCCATCCCTCCCCCTCCCCCACCACCCATGGTGCACACAGAGTACTGTATCAACCTTACACAAGTCTACCCATCCCTCCCCCACCACCCATGGTGCACACAGAGTACTGTATCAACCTTACACAAGTCTACCCATCCCTCCCCCTCCCCCACCACCCATGGTGCACACAGAGTACTGTATCAACCTTACACAAGTCTACCCATCCCTCCCCCTCCCCCACCACCCATGGTGCACACAGAGTGTTGTATCAACCTTGCACAAGTCTACCCATCCCTCCCCCTCCCCCACCACCCATGGTGCACACAGAGTACTGTATCAACCTTACACAAGTCTACCCATCCCTACCCCTCCCCCATCACCCAAGGTGCAGACAGAGTACTGTATTAACCTAACACAAGTCTACCCATCCCTACCCCTCCCCCATCACCCAAGGTGCACACAGAGTACTGTATCAACCCTACACAAGTATACCCATCCCTCTCTCACTGACTGGGGTATCGGGTCAAGAATGATCTACCTGTCATTACCACCCACCCCTACCCCAAAAGTTGCCCTCACTTGTCTTACCTGCAAACATGCATGTTGTGAGCATGTTAAGGCCCGTGTTGGGGGGGGGGGGGGGGGGATGGTGTACCTGTGCACATAACTAGATCCTAGTTCCTAGCCCAGCCGTGTATTTGGGTGTGCATGCTAAAAATTAATTTAATTCGCCCAAAGTTTTCTCAAAATAGCCCAAGAACAGAACATAGAAAATTACTTTTAAAAGTTGAAAAACGAAGAAATCTCTATAAATAGCCATACCTCTAGTTACTCCCATCATGGCCTAAGGCCAATAATTATGTGATTAACAATAGTGAAATTTACGTGGGTAAAACGCAACTAACTTCTTAGCTATCAACAGTTTTCATCTAGTGGAAGAAACCATTTTTTAATTGGATCCTAATGAAGTTATTCAGCATAAAAATCGTTTTTAGAACTTTGAATATTTTTTTATTTATGTTGTTGTTGTTGTTTTTACTTCTTAATTATTGTTGTTTTACATGTTTTTAAATACAAATTTATGAAAACAAAGACTAATACCTAACGCATGAAGGTCTAGAAACTAAGAGTGGATGGGAGGGAGGGGGGGAGTGAATCCAGGTTTATGTATTGTATCACGTATACATTGCAGCAAAAAAAAAATGCTGAGGGGAGGTAATTAGGTAAGACGGATGTTGGAAGGTCGTAACAAAAGGTTGGTTGAAAACTAGGTACCAGTCATAGGTAGGTACACATGATGTGTGGAAGTATTGAGGTAATAGACATGTAGACTTACAGATGGTTGTTGGAGATGTTGAGGTATTACATGAGGTATAAACATACAATAGTTGCAAGTCTTGAGGTATTACATGAGGTGTAAACATACAATAGTTGCAAGTCTTAAGGTATTACGTGAGGTATAAACATACAATAGTAGCAAGTCTTTCGATATTATATGAGGTATAAACATACAATAGTTGCATGTCTTGAGGTATTACATGAGGTATAAACATACAATAGTTGTAAGTCTTGAGATATTACATGAGGTATAAACATACAATAGTTGCAAGTCTTTCGATATTATGTGAGGTATAAACATACAATATTTGCAAGTCTTGAGGTATTACATGAGGTATAAACATACAATAGTTGTAAGTCTTGAGATATTACATGAGGTATAAACATACAATAGTTGCAAGTCTTTCGATATTATGTGAGGTATAAACATACAATATTTGCAAGTCTTGAGGTATTACATGAGGTATAAACATACAATAGTTGTAAGTCTTGAGATATTACATGAGGTATAAACATACAATAGTTGCAAGTCTTTCGATATTATGTGAGGTATAAACATACAATATTTGCAAGTCTTGAGGTATTACATGAGGTGTAAACATACAATAGTTGCATGTCTTGAGGTATTACATGAGGTATAAACATACAATAGCTGTATGTCTTGAGGTATTACATGAGGTATAAACATACAATAGTTGTAAGTCTTGAGATATTACATGAGGTATAAACACATAAAAGCTGTAAGTTTTGAGATATTAAAGTATAAAAACAAGCCTTAATTTAATGTACTTATTTATTTAACTAGTGATTTATTAACTAAAGTCGACACATGACCATACGCCATGCTGGATGTCAATATTTTCTTTAACAGTTTCATTGTGGCCACCCCACTTCGGTATTCCCGTGTCAGTTATAAAAAAATTGTTTGGACCACAGCCAAATGGTAGGTGTCAAGAAAAGAAAGATTGTCTTACAACTGTGCCATATCCTATGTAAAAAGAAACGTAGCTCAACTAATTAATCGGGAGAAGATCTAAGCTTAAGTAAACCTAGAACAAAAAACCAAAGCTGGCTTACTCTCTCGCGTGTTGCATGACACACCTAATGTATAAGGCAAAAACGTTTATTTTAATTATGTTTTGTTTATGTTTTTCATAGTATAGGCTGCATTATTATGATTGTTGGTATTGTTTTGTTTTGGTAAATATCCTTAAAGCGTGTGTTTATTTTCTTTAATAATTGTTCTGGCTTATCATTATGACAGTAAATCATTAATGAAAACGATGTAGTATTTTAATTAACACCCGGTAAAAAAAAATTATTGTGGGCTTGAGACTGATCTCCCAACAATATGAGGATCTCTAAGTAAATTGTTTACTAATTCAGAAATCTCCAAACTGGCTTTTGTATACAGTTTCTTTCCTTAAGATATTAAAGAAACCGAAGACAGTTAACTCATTTAAGATAGGGGACCGACTTCAAATAGTAGACAAAAAGATATCAATATCAATGCTAGTGATCGTGCATGTAAGTATTACTTCAAATGGAAGAAATGGTTAGGGGAATCAGCTGAAATAACGTGCTTAGATATTGTTTTTACTTTTTACCCTTGACAACAAAGATGTACACGATACCTCTGAACTTAAAAAGATGATTGTCATAATTTACTTTGAACATTTTAATATTTTTATTGTTTGAGTTTATTGTATGAGATTGTTTGACGATTGTGCGTAGGTAAATATGTAAAATAAAATGAGTGGTGATCAATGGAAATAATAACTGTAATAGGTGTTAGGAGACGATGGTTTTACAAATGTCTTATTTTAGTTGTAAAATATGTGCATGATACATCACATCTGCGATTAGCAATTATTATGATTAGCGATTATGCCATAAAAAAATGTAACATTTAGACCAACGTTTATTCCCTATAATATAATGTAATATTTTAAAAGCAACCACCCCGTCTTATTATATAGCAACCCTCATCCCACCGACCCCTTCACATACATACAAAACACAACATAACGTATTATATAAAGAAAAACTACTTTTGTGTTAAAAGGGAAAATTCATGTGTTAGCTTATTAATTCCATTTAATCATCCTACAATTTGGATTGACAAGAACTTATAAAAATAGGTGTACGGGGAATCAAAGGCAGTTACCTAACATCTATACCACCACAGTACCCAATATAACAAAATACCACCAGTAGATTCTTCGTGATTTAGGCCTCTATAGATACATATATATATATATATATATATATATATATATATATATATATATATATATATATATATATATATATATATATATATATATATGCCCGATCCGTTGACAAGATAAATGTTTATTTCTTGATTAACATTTAAGTTAATAAAAAAACATCTAACTATCTGACAAATACAGTATTCTAAGAGTTCATGGGCTAATCTTGTACAAATCGCAAGTAAACAAATTCATCTAGCAAAATAAACGTATTTTTTCGGAGCCCCACAATTTTTTTTCTGTACTTGTGCACTATGAAAACATTTGAAACCGCTAAAATAAACAGACGACGTAGGAAGTGGTGAGTAAAATGGAAAGCCTGCTGTTTTGCTCGTGAGCACATAGCATTGATATGTGCTGACGGAGAATGCGCGTGCTCACACATTCCATCAGCCTTAGGGTTTTGGCACACGGCTGTCCCAGTTAGTGCTCACTCACTACCTGGTCGGCACACCTCACCTGTGTCAGGTGGGTTCCATAGAGGTGTTGTCTTTGGTTTCAAACTTGGCAACGTTACAAGTTTATCCTGTTTTCTTTATATTTTCTTTGCTAATGATTTGAGTACAGAGCCTTGTTGATTTTTTTTATGAGGGGATCTGCTGCCTGATGTTTAAGCCAACGATAGAAATGAAAAACAACGGCCAGATAAATTTTTCACGTAAAAACCAACTCTACTAAAAATGAAAAACAACGGCCAGATAAATTTTTGACGTAGAAACCAACTCTACTAGAATTTAAATCTGCTGCTTTCACTTATTTACCCCGTTGCATTTCAAGTGGAAGGCCTACAGGCAGAATAAGATACGTTAACTTTTAAAAACACAATAATTTAAATGTAACATTTATCCTTTTACCTTAATCATCTTACAAAAATTCAGCTTAAATTGCTTTTTTCAGATGCCAACCTATTAAGATTAGACTAATCATTCTAATCCTTTTTTTTAGAAGCTGATGTAATTTCTTGGCACTTAAAGCTGCTGTAGGAAATCATGAATCTTCACAGAAGTGGCTCAGCTAAGGGAAAGGATGGTAGGGGAGGGAGGGGGTTGTATCCCAACCTGTTTGTGTATCTTAGACTTATATACATAAGGGCGTCAGTTGACAGCTATGACCCAACGAAAGAAGGATAATGGTGGGGGGGGGGGGGCGGGGTTACTAATTATCAATTTTTAATAGTCACCATGATAAACGGGTTATTCTAGTGGTGTTGAATGATGTAGAACTGTTCAAAAACGGTTTAAAACTAGCGTAAACGTTACAAATATATTGCATGGCATTGGAGAGTATCACAATAAAGCTCAGATTGAAGTTGGTGGGTCTAGCTGATGTAAACAGTTCACAACAAACGGTACAGTAAAAGTATCAAATGATACGCTTAAAACATCTGGGGTTTTCTTTTCCAAGGATCCGGAGTTTTTAAAGAGCACCACAAACCAATTCATATAACTGGGAAATTTCAACCACTTGATGAAATGATTATAATGTATTTCTCTGAGGGTTTCAGCATTTAACAACACTACAAGGTTTAGGTTACCGAGTTAAAAAAAACATCTTATAATGACAAAGTTATACAAATTCATATATAGATATTATATATATACATACATATAAATAAATAAATAAATAAATAAATAAATAAATAAATAAATAAATAAATAAATAAATATATATATATATATATATATATATATATATATATATATATATATATATATATATATATATATGTATATATATATATATATATATATGTGTGTGTGTATGTGTGTGTGTGTGTGTGTGAATGCGGAAATGTGCATAGAGATGTGTTGTTACTGTCAGTCAATCATTCACATATGGGTATAGACACGTCATGTTTTACAGCATAGCAGAATAGGTTGTTTTACAATGGTGTGGATTTTAATGGAGATCTACAAGACTGCCCAATACGAAAATAAATATAACATGTTAATAAGGCGCACTCTGATTTCTTAATATTCATTAGAAGTTTGTATTTTTTAAAAAACAAGTAATTAAAATTTGATCAGATAACTTGACAATAACAGGTGTTAGACACCTGGACTAGCAAGGTGGGCCCATTTATATATATATATATGTATATATGTATATATATATATATATATATATATATATATATATATATATATATATATATATATATATATATAGTTCATATATATATATATAGTTCATATATATATATATATATATATATATATATATATATATATATATATATATATATATATATATATATATATATATATATATATATATACATGCAACTATTTACATCGGCCTATATGCCTATATACTACATGAATAACTCACCATTTGGTGCCATATGACAGGCTCATAATACCGACTCATGTCTACCGTATGTATGGCAATAAACGAAACCACAACCCAGCACCTTCAGTCTCTACCAGGAGTGAAAACCTCAGCGAAATAATCCGAATGTAGCGGACAGCCTTATCACAACACCTTTTCAATTTCAGCGGTGCCACGATTTAACCAAATTACTACGCTGGTTAGAACAGACCACGCACATCCAAGAAACAATCCGCAAGTAAAATAAAAAGCGGTTAAATGAGGTTTAAGTTGTCAAGAGTTTAGTCTTTCTTCCAGACACTCCAGATTCAACCTGACTAGAATATTCCCTGTTGAAATCTGGGCGTTGCCCAGCTGCGCGCGCACTAAAAGATTATAGGAATCGCGCAGAAAGGTAACATCAAAAGATAATGTAAATATAAAGAGAAATAAAAAGCTGGATTCTAGGGAAAAACGAACTTGTTAAAACGAAAGTACAGGTAGTCAAAGTAAATAACTTTAGTGAAGAAGAGTTCTAGTTTGTTGTTATTTGATTGACCAACTCTAAGGCTGTCAACCTAAGTTTTAATTAGTGTTGTTGTTTTTAATTGACCTTAATTGGATGGGTCGCCGTGGTCTGGACAAAGAGTGCTCGAATGCAAACCCGAAAGTCTAGATGTCGCATCTAGTACTGACCACAACGTCCCTTCATATGCCGTGGTCAAGAAACCGATGAACTCTATCAGTTATCAACACTGAATAATCAGGTCCGAAAAGAGAATTTTTCACATTCACTTAAAGGCTACTCTGTTACTAGAAGTCCTAGTGTTTTAAAAATCTCTTTTGTTTCATGTATAAGAAGACTACAGCCAAAGTTTGAAGCTAGATAACTGAAGTACAATTTTGTATCGAGATTACCAGAGGCTAACAGGTAAAACAGGTGACTGCTGTGACAGTTAAAACAGATGAATCCAGTCCAAATGCACGCGTCATCATTCTCATATTATCATTCACAGACCATCATTCACACATCATCGTTCACACACCATCATTCACACACCATCATTCAAACATCATCGTTCACACACCAGCATACACATCATCATTTGCGCATGATCATTCACACATTATCATTCACACATCATCATTTACGCATAATCATTCAAAAATCATCATTCATTCACCATCATTTACACATCATCATTCACACATCATCATTCACACATCATCATTCACTCACCATCATTCACACACCATGATGTAGTACCAACATATAGTAAAAACAACATCAAACATAATGTCACAGAGTGTGCGTAGTGTACACATGTGCCAACAAGCTGAGAAACACAGCCAGGATGAGAGAGGACAAAAAGTTGACCCTAGATCTGTATATGTTACTTATCTGGACGTATAATCAATACAAGCCATAGAACCTTTGGTACAAGCCATCGAACCATCGGTACAAAGCATCGATTCTGTGGTACAAGGCATCGAACCTTTGGTACAACGCATCGAACCTTTGGTACAAGCCATCGAACCATCGGTACAAAGCATCGATTCTGTGGTACAAGGCATCGAACCTTTGGTACAACGCATCGAACCTTTGGTACAAGACATCGAATCTGTGGTACAACGCATCAAATCTAAATGCAACACATTGAACCTGCGGTACAGAACCCCGAACTTCTGGTTGCACCCTAAAGCTTGCAACTCCGATGATTTATGATACGCCCATGTGATGCCGTATCTATGGTGATACGCCCACGTGATACGGTATCTATGGTAACATGTTTGATAACCAAATTTCCTTAAGGTAAACACCGTTCCCTAGCCAACCTTTATACCTGTATATCTACGAAAAAGCTGCAATAGGATGCCGTTTGAGATACGGCAATACCTTATCAAAGCCTGTCTAGAAATGACATTTGCACTTCTTAATGAGATGATTCCCAAAAGAGCTGATACCAGTTACTTGATCAGATATGTGTCGAGTGTAATTTTGGACGAACATGATCAGATAAAACAATAAAGGTTGCACCTGCACATCGTGCAATCACACACACGACTAACTTATGAGCCGTGAGTCGGGTAAATTAGATTGTTGGAGCCATGAGCTCACGTGAATAATTTGACTTAAGGGGCCTTACACTTCCATGAATTCAACACCATTTAGAGTCGCTAGCATACAGTGACATAAAGTGTTAGTTCATCTAACAAGCCGCCCACCAAACATAAAACTGTATGAGCTATTTTATTCTACCACGCAGTACTTCGTGTATAACATTTTATGTGCTACTTCCAACGCCCAAAGTGTGATGTTATATGATTTAGGTTGACACAAAAATGAAAGCCAAATTAGTCCCATATGTGGCCAATATAATTTTCTTTTAGTCAAGGGAAACTTTAAAGGTGTTCTGGTGAGCTCACTATAATTAATGCAAAACAGATGCATATCAATTTTTCTTGAAATTTACATACCTATCTTTGTATGTTTGTTTTTTCAATGTATATATTAACCATACTAATTTCTCTGTGTTTAGTTCAGGTTTGCTTTAAGTTTTGTGTTAGTTGCTGATTACGTTAACTATCATCTCGTATTACCTACAATCAAGTAGAAGTTATCTCCCCAGTGCTAGTACAAGCACCATAGGATGGTTGTCAATTGACTAGTACGATTATCTCCCTTGAGTGACTTAACTCCCCTATACCAGTTCCCTAAAGTGATTTACACCCCCCCCCCCCCCTATACTGAGTCTGGTGCCAAGCTTTAAATGTCGAGGGTGTACGCCATGTCCCGTCCAGACCTTTTGGTGTCTGTTGTTCTCTGATACTGCCGTATGTAGGTGAGCGACTGTACCAGGTGAAGCGGTCCAATCCTGCCGCGTCAATACATTTTTACCTGCAAGCCTTTTCTTGTTGACATAAACTCATAAACTCTGAGCAGATGTTGGGAAATCAGACGTAATTCATGTTCACATTCAGACATGTGTTTAGCTCGTGGTTTTTCCATTTGTTTATGATCACTGGCATGAAAAGTATTTCATCAGTTCTGGATTAAAATCCACCAAATTACCTAGTTTCTGTGTCAAATTTAAGGCTAACTGGTATTTTACGGATAAAGTTAAATGTGAGAAAAAATAATAAGGATTGGGGAGGGGTGATACTGGACTTACACCTGAGTGTGGGGTGGGGGCTTTGAACTTAAGGTTGTGGGGGAGGAGCGTTGACATGTTGCACTAGCCTACCACTAAGCCTCTATCACGAACATATTTTAATGTTTACATTGTTTGATTGGTTAGAAATTTGCTAATCTTGAGCTCTATAAATATTGACCGAGATCAAATGATATGTTTTGTCTGTACAATTTTAAAGTCTATAAAATTTAGGGTCATTAATAAGAAAAATATTTTGTAAACAAATATTTTTGAGCAGTGTTTCTTCCAGACTTTTTTCTCCGGGGGGAAGGGGGGGGGGGACTTTCTTCGGGGGGGGGGGGCTATGCCTGGAAGAAACTCTGTTTTTGAGCCGTTAGCTATGCTCACGTCATACTTAACAAAAGTGTGTTATTACTAGAGGGCACCTTTACATTGGAAAAAGCTTATGATTGGTTCAATGTGTCACGTGTCTGTCAGATCCGTATGTTAGTGGCTGACTAAAACACAAGCTCAGCACTGAATGTTTGAACGTGGCACGATTTTGTTGTCATAAATCCTGGTTAACTTCTCTCACCAGATGTTTTCTATTGTATAAGACTAATACTACTGGTAGTACATGGGAGCTAAGTTCAGTGAGTTCAAATAAAAAAGCTTGTACTTCAACCGATAACTTTTTGGCAATCTATTCGCAGTTTCAATGAATGTTGTTTCCAACAAAAAAGTTAACGCGAGCCAAACAATGTTATGAGTTTTAAACTAGTTAAGACCCCACCCACCATGTCTACGACATTATCACACACCAAATTTAAATTGTTTACTCGATTTATATCACCAAATCTTTTATATACGTAATATCTTTTAAACAGAGATAAACGCGAAATGATTTTGAAACAATCACTTTATTCTCCATAGTTTTTAGAGACGAGAGAAAAACGTGCCAGCGCCCCCGCCATTTTGCGTTGATTTCGCGAGGGATGCAAGACGAATGACTCCAGCATTACCTGCTGATGTTGATGGTCTATTCTTAGATGTGCAAGCCATCAACTTGTTGCTGGCAAGGCTTTCACCTTGTAAGATGCTGACTTAGCGCGATGATTACGTTGGGGTGGAGGGCTGGGGGTGGATTTACTGGCAGTTCACCATGGAAACAAGAGGTTTATACGAAACTAATTTTACCTTAAATTATGGATGAGTTTTGTTTCGTAAAAGTGGGATGAATACAACTACCAATAACTGATTTAGAGAGATTAGTTTTTATAAGCAACTTTGTCTTAGTTAGCTGCACCCCCCTCCCACAACATCCCCCCACCCCCTCAATTTATATCAACCCCACCCCACCCAATACCCATCATTAGGGTCAGGGCCGACTTGTCTATTAGGCACAGTAGGCACTGTATTCGCCCCGCTTAAATACATCCATCACAGTAGTTATTGCTATAACAACATCTGGAGTATCAGTCACGGTCGCCAACTGGGAATCCAAACAAGTGCCTAGACCTAGGAAACAAGTGCCTAGACCTAGGAAACAAGTGCCTAGACCTACGAATCAAGTGTCTAGACCTACGAAACAAGTGTCTAGACCTACGAAACAAGTGCCTAGACCTACGAAACAAGTGCCTAGACCTACGAAACAAGTGCCTAGACCTACGAAACAAGTGCCTAGACATACGAAACAAGTGCCTAGACATACGAAAAAAGTGCCTAGACCTACGAAACAAGTGCCTAGACATATGAAACAAGTGCCTAGACCTACGAAATAAGTGCCTAGACCTACGAAATAAGTGCCTAGACCTACGAAACAAGTGCCTAGACCTACGAAACAAGTGCCTAGACCTACGAAATAAGTGCCTAGACGTACTAAATAAGTGCCTAGACCTACGAAACAAGTACCTAGACCAACGAAACAAGTGCCTAAACCTACGAAACAAGTGCCTAGACCTACGAAACACGTGCCTAGACCTACGAAACAAGTGCCTAGACCTACGAAACAAGTGCCTAGACCTACGAAACAAGTGCCTAGACCTACGAAACAAGTGCCTAGACCTACGAAACAAGTACCTAGACCTACGAAACAAGTGCCTAGACCTACTAAGACATCAAACTACCCAGATTACGGTTCACTCAAAAAAAGTATTCATTCTAAATGTAAGCAATTATAATATTAGCCTTTCCAGAAGGGGTTGGGGGT